CTGAGAAGGATTTCTTCATGTCTTTTCGATACTAAACCCAGTTCTGTTTGTATGATCTCTTTCACCACATTGTTACATAGGATATGTTACCTGCATTTCATGCTGCTTCTGAAAACATGTTGAGCAAATGGGAGATGCTTTTCTCATCAAAGGGGACATGTGAAGTGGATGTGTGGCCTTATCTTTGTGCTTTTGCGGGCGATGTGATTTCTCGGGCTGCATTTGGTAGTAACTTTGAAGAAGGACAAAGGTTTTTCCAGCTCCAAAAGGAACAAGCTGCTTTTGTACGCATAGTTCTGGACTCGGTCTACATACCATTTTTCAGGTGAACTCAAACTTTGTCTACGAAGTGTGTATGCATTTGAATAGCAATACAGCATTGTCTAGATACAAGTGAAACTAGAGAAATCACTCCCCTTTTCACCTCTTGCCCTCCCCATCTTTTTTTTAGTGATTGAGTAAGCCAAATGAGAATCAAGGGACGTGATTAAACAGATCAGTGCAGAAGGTCAAAAGGAGAGCGGAAATCAGTTCTCTTACTAAATTCATTATAAAAGAAAACCACAGGGAAAACCTTGTTTTAGATTATAAGTTTGACAATTTACTAAGAGCTGCAACATAATCATCAATGTGCAGGTTTCTACCAACTAAAATGAATAGGAGGATGAAACAGATCGCCAAGGAAATGGATACTTTGTTAAGGGGAATAATTAACAAAAGAGAGAAGGCAATGAGAGCAGGAGAAGCCACTGAAGATGACTTGTTGGGTATACTTCTGAAATCCAATTTCAACGAGATTCAAGAGCATGCCAATGACAAGGATGTCGGGATGAGTATCGAAGAAGTGATAGAAGAGTGCAAATTATTCTACTTAGCTGGAGAAGAAACGACCAGAGATTTGATTAACTGGACATTAGTGCTATTGGGAAAATATCAAGATTGGCAAATGCGTGCGAGAGAAGAGGTTGTGACGATCTTTAAGAACAACAAACCAGACTATGCTGGGTTAAACTGCTTGAAAATTGTAAGTATTCTCTCTTATTACCATGTTTTTTGTTTTCTTAAAATCTTGACCTGAGTCGCCTACTACATTTTTGCAATCTAATCAATATCGTTCGTTAGCGTCAGTCCATCTATCCATATAGTTCATAACTATTTCTGTGAAACAACTCAAAATGTACATATAAGTCCCAAATATCTCTTTCAGATGAACATGATCCTGTACGAGGTTCTTAGGTTGTACCCATCAGTTAGTTTCACTAGCCGAGAGATCACGAAGGAGACGAAACTAGGAGATATTTCTCTACCACCTGGTACGCAGCTTGCAGTGCCAATCCTTTGTGTTCATCACGACAAAGAAATCTGGGGTGACGATGTCCACGAATTCAAACCCGAGAGGTTTTCTGAAGGGATCTCAAAGGCAACAAAGAATCAAGTAGCAGCATTCTTCCCATTTAGCACAGGTCCCAGGACGTGCATTGGACAAAACTTCGCGATGATTGAAGTGAAAACGATTATAACGATGATTTTACAGCGCTTTACGTTTGAGCTTTCTCCGGCCTACAGACATTCTCCTTTAAATATTCTCACTCTTGAACCTCAATATGGTACTCAAATCATTTTTCAAAAAATCTAAGACTCAAGTTCAACTTTGTTTGTTGTAATACTTCTAATGTTTCCATATAAATAACATGTAATACTTAGCACTTCAAATAAAAAGTTTGTGTAATGTTTTGCTTTGTATGAGAACTTGATTGTTCTAATGATATTTTCTGCACTAGCTTTTATATAAATTGATATTCGATGATAATTTATTTAGTATAAATTTGTCGTTGTGTAAAAAAATAAGATAACGTCTATTTTAAAGAAGTATCTTAATATATTACAATAAATAACTAATTGTATGTAATACGTCCATGATCGGAATAATCCTCCCACAAAATCCTATCTTCATCTTCCTTTTAATAGGAAAGCTTTAGCCTTAGGATGCAAGTACAAATAAGTTAGACAAGCCACTCTGTTTTGTCAAAAAAATTACCGGTGACCATGGCAACTGCCATTGTACATGAGATTTCTAGTAGTTCTAAGCATGTAATTTACTACCTTATCTGGCATGCACTTCCACTTCGAACATATACAAATTAGGGCTTCTCAGATCTTGTGTCAATCATCTAATACACCAAGAAAGAATTTCTGCCAACAAAGACGAGAAAAATGTTCCTAGAGGAGAAGATCATCGTGTCCGAAATCATATCACCCAATCCTGTTATAACAAAAACGATGGAGTGGAAAACATCTTTACCCCAGATTACAAACAAAAATAAAAATCTGTTTTGAAGTTGTGGAGATCTTTAATCACCAAAATATAAAATATGTAATATAAACTGATCAAAGCTTTCTAGCATCTAAACCCTGATAAACTTGTGATATAGAATTGGCATCGATCAATTTATCTTAAATCGTACTTGTCAATTCAATTTAGTGTTGCTACTCTACACTCTGAATAATAGCAGTGGTGAAACTAAAGGTGAAGTAAGCCACATGAGAAGATTGAAGGGAGTTTTAACGAAACACTCCCGGCAATGTTCACTTTTAATGAAGAACCATGTTTTTACCTTTTCCTGGTACTATTCACTACACCTTTATTTGTCATTTTTCATTAAAACTAAAGTTTTTTTAGATTTTTCGTTAATTTTCCTAAGATTGAAAGACATTGCTTAAAGACAATACACAAAACTGCCCAGAGGCACAATTATATCCTGCAATCCTATCAAAACCTCGACAAATTGAAAGAACTGCAGAGCAAATGAACATTATAAACATATTATACAAAGATATTGAAGTTAGTCCTATTTTTATCACATAAACTACATCCTAATTTCTATGAGGGACAGAAGTCCAACCAAAATAAGAAATGACTGAAAATACAAGTATAAACAAAATAAGATAAATCTCAGGAAGAAGTTGTGCTTCCACCATAAAATCAATTGATAGTATAAGGAGTAGTCCAACTTACTTATAAGCCCATACAAAAGTCCCTCATCCCATCAATGTGGGATTCATTCTCAATATTATTAAGACAGTAGTAGGTTTTTTCTACATAACAAGCATCCATTCAACCAATAATGGTGAGCAGTCCTGTTCTCCTAAGTATCACATGCATATTAGCCACAAGATTATATTAGTGTAGATTCAAAAACTTAAAATATTTGACAACTTAATAAAGCAAAACCAAATCAAGTTAATCATACATTTTGATGAATTCTCTTTTTTATTTGGGTGCAACATTTTGATGAGATTCTCGCTAAAAAGAAAACATTTTGATCATATGCATAGTATGCCCTAGGGTAAGTTTTTCTTACCAATGTAGGTAGATGGACAAATGCTTATGCATGTTGCTAGAATGTGAATATAAACTACACTTTCTAACAAAACCAAATATTATTTACGGTTTTTACTCACATTTCTACAACATGTCAACCAAAGTCTTGCAAAAGTACGCTTCAAATTTGCATTAGCTCATTGAGACTGCATATGCGCGGCTTTTATACAAATTTAGAGTGATCCATGGACTTATTTTCTAGCAATACTACGGCAGATAGATGGGCACAATCATATAAATTCTTTGGACAAGACATGTATTTACTGACACATCGAGAATATCTCACTTCTATCAAAAAAAAAATCTAGCTTTAACCCTATTTATTGACCGGTTAACAATTTAGGGTTTAGAATCAGATTAGAATATTTCTTTGAATGGAAACGATGGAGAGTTTAGAATTCAAGCTTTCAGTCTTGGATTGGTTAATTAATGCCTATAATATTCCTTTCAAAATGCTCGCTCTTGAACCTCAATATGGTACTCAAATCATTTTTCAAAAAATCTAGGATCTAAGTTCAACTTTGTTAATTGTAATAGTTCCATATAAATAGCGTGTAATAATTAGCACTTCAATAAAAAGTTCGTGTAATGTTTCTATTTGTATGAGAACTTGATCGTTCTAATGATATTTTCTCCACTAGCTTTTGTGTAAATAATATTCCATACTAATTTATTTAGCATAAGTATATCGTTGTGTAAATTATATTCCATACTAATTTATTTAGAATTGTTCCTAAGAAGAAAAACAGATAGAATTGAAAGGTTTAAAACCATCCAAGATTTTAAACCACTACTTACTCATGGTTTAAAATCAACCTCGCCAGTTTTAGTTTTCCTATTTCAGAAAACTAAGACTTGTCTATAAACCTCAATGATAGGAATAATATCAGAAAACTAAGACTTGTCTATAAACCTCAATATTTGAAAGGAATAATCAAGCAATTCAAGTGATATTAGAGCGCTGGATTCGACAGGATGATGTGGTTTATGGTCCTAACTCGCAGCCGACATGGCTTCTTAAGAACTTATAGGTCCCTTGTGCACAGAAAGCCAAGGTCCAAGAGAAGCTGTATGACCGACATGAACAGCTAGTGATGGTGATAGCATCACCAATTAAGAACAAGTTACAAAAGTTTTCATCTTGTGCCCTTCAAGGTGACCACCTTTACTACATGTTTCATGTCCGTCATAGGGCCTCTGTTGGACTTTCTATGCACAAGAAACGGGCCGATAAGTTCCCCGGAAGCTCAGCGTCGGTTGCGAGTTAGGACCATAAACCACCCTCATCCTCTCAGAATTGGCACTAATACACACTTGATCCAAATTTCCATTTGGAAGCGGAACTACCTTTTTAGTACGAGAGGAAACTAAAAACTTTTTGAGAAACAAAGGAAGTAGCTTAGAATTGCTTTGATCTCTACTTTGTATTGCTTGATCACTTCCTTGAGGAGGGGCGTTCTGGAAATTTGGATGATGGCCCGCAATGCCTACTCTCATTATCCAATCACATCCAAAATTGATGTGTGAAGATTACTCTTAATCCCAAAAGCACTTTAAGAAAAAAAAATGGGATACAAACTTGAAATTTGTATACAAGCGGAACACACGATAACAAAACTTGTCGAAAACAGAATTTCGATTGATAATAAGCAATACGTTCATGATCGGGACAATCCTCCCACAAAAATCGATCTCATTTTCCTTTTGATAGGAAAGTTTTAGCCTTAGGACTCAAGTACAAATAAGAAGGTTGTGTCAAAAAAATAATTACTGATGACCATGGCAACTGCCATTGTACATGAGATTTCTAGTAGTTCTACGCATACACTTCCACTTCGAATATATACAAATTAGGGCTTCTCAGATCTTGTGTCAATCATCTAATATACCAAGAAAGAATTTCTGCCAACAAAGACGTGAAATGTTATGACAATAAAGCAATATGTCAACCCTACACGAGAACAACACCATTTGAACGTATCAGATTCAAAGCAATAGCCATATGTATAGTACAGCAAGTATTAGAATGTCATAATAATGGAATCACGATTTATAAACTTCAGCACACCCAAAATTGCAGCAATACAAACAAACATGTTTTCTTTTACATAAAAGCGAATAGAAGGTGCGAAATGAAAAGTTCATATGCAAAGAGGATTCAAGTAGTGAAATGCCAAATATTACCTTCAATGTTATAATCTTCTGTGAGCTCATCAATCTAATGATCCAAAGCTATCAGGTGGCCAGACCTAGTAATGCCATGAGAAAAGAATAGAACTCTTCAGGTCACCTAAAAGTCTAAATACACAAACACTAATTACCACAAAAAGTCTTCTTAACCCATATTATAAACTAATCACAATTGGTCAGAAGCTTTCTAGCATCTAAACCCTGATAAACTTGTGATATAGAATTGGTAGCAATCGATTTCTCTTAAATCGCACACGTCAATTCAATTTAGTGTTGCTATTCTACCCTCTGAATAATAGCAGTGGTGAAACTAAAGGTGAAGTAAGCCACATGAGATGATTGAAAGACATTGCTTAAAGACAATACACAAAATTGCCCAGAGGCATAAATATATCCTGCAATCCTATCAACCTCGACAAATTGAAATAACTGCAGAGCAAGTGAGCTTTATAAACATATTACACAAAGATATTGAAGTTAGTCCTGTTTTCATCACATAAACTACATCCTAATTTCTATCAGGGACAGAAGTCCAACCAAAATAAGAAATGACTGAAAACAAAAGTATAAACAAAATAAGATAAATTTTCAGGAAGATGAAAAAGCCTTACCCTGCAAAACACTTTGCCTTGAATAAGACCATAAGGTATAGGTCCATATGTTCGTGAGTCAAAGGAGGAATAGATGTTATCCCCCTGAATCCAAACATGCCCCCTAGGCACCTAATCATCAGAGTTCAATAAAATAAAGCAACAAATTAATCACATCAATCAGAAACATTATATAATATTGTCGAAAAGGAAAAGGAAACAACTTCATAGATACTATCAACCAGCATAACAATGTATTCTTAAGACAATAGCTTTCTCAGTTTCGACATTACAAACATCCATTCAACAAATAATGGTGAGTTACATAAGAGCAGCTTTCCTACCAAGTTCATTACAGGGTGTTTTGGTTGGTGCTCTCTGCTCTGTCATTGCATATAAGCTTTGCATGATAAAGCTATGGAATAGTTGAAGAGAATGAAGAGTAAGGACACTGGCTTCTATAGGGTTGTTTCAGTGGCTTCTTGCTTAAATTTTTTATAGCTGGAATTCGTGTGTTCTTTTTAAGGTGTTACAAGGGAGGTGAAAGGATATAACAACCTAAGCAACCCAGCAATCATGCTGAGGAAGAAGGTAATCTACACTGTCCCAAAGCAGTTAATGGCAGTACAAAACTCTCGATCAAGTCTCATAACTTGACTGTTAACAGTAAGCTTCATGGTATCTACTTTAGGACTACACTTCTAATTTTGGACTGCGGAGATTTAAGCTACCCTAGTGCCCAGTTTTCAAAGTACAAAGAATTGAGTTATAAAAACATGGAAAACATAACTAGAACACTGCAAAAAATCATGGCCAACTCCAGCAAAATAAGGATTTCTGGTTTACTCTTGACGCAATCAAACATTAAAATACAATATTGCATTTACGGCGTACTAAACCAGCATTATCATAAACCAATAACTCTTAGACCATCAACGACGCACCAAATGAAGGTACGGACACGGGCACAGACGTGAACACAGGGATACGTCAAATTAACAAGAAGAATTGATGTATACCACAAGGGAATACAACACGACACGGGATATGCATCGTAGCCAGCCACTATGAAATGTATCAACCATTCGGCCCTCCTCCTAACCAGTTAACTGAGATTTTACCATGAATTCCATTATTTAATAAATTGGTCATTCTATTTTTCCGACAGAGGCCATAGAAATGTTATCAAAAGCACCACATGTTATGATGTTAGTCATCATCACAACCTAGAGCCTAACAGAGGCCATAGAAATCTATACACACAACTCCTAAAAGGAGCTCTATGGAACCGAAACGACCAATGCATCTTCTACGAGCCCAAAGACACTATATGGTAGTGATCATCGCAACCTCGAGTGATACAAAATCCATTAAAATCTATACACACTACGCCTAGAAAAAGCTCCACTGAACCGAAACGTCCAATGCATCTTTAACTAGTATGAGCAAGCCATTAAAACCACCAAAAAACACGGCATTTGATTACAAGTTACTAACTTTTTTACTAAATGAAAAATACAACATGCAGTGAAAAATTGAACTCTACCCAAGAAAAATACCAACTTGTAATCACATACAAATTACCAAAACCATCAAAATCCAACAAAATAGACAAAGAAATAGCAAAATATTCACATACCACGGTCGTATGCAACCTGTCGCTGTGCTTTGGATCGACAAAGTAGGTGACTTTATCACCCTGCATACCCAGGACACGCTTGGTCACAATCTTCCGGGGGTCCGTCGGAGACCGAACCAGGACCAAATCGCCGGGACCCACCTTCCCAATGCGATGGGACACGTGTTCGGAGAGGAGCACGTCGCCGGAGATGTTCAGGGTAGGGAGCATACTGGGGCCGTAGACCTGCAAGCAGCGGATAATCAGACGACGGCGCATTTGGAAAATGGAAATTGGGAAAGAGAAGGAGTGAGGGGATTGTTAAGAGTGACGGACGAGGGTGGAGGAGCAGAGGTAGGCGTCGGTGACGTGGAGCAAACCCATGAACTTTGCTACAGTTACTGACAGATCCATGGCTTCTTTTGCTACGCTTCGCCATTGTCCCAAGTAGCTCAGCAGCCTCATCTCTCTCTCTCTCTCTCTCTCTCTCTCTCTAGAAAGCTTGAAAGGCTGTAAATTTTGTAAGAAGTTCGATGAATTTGAAGGCTGAAGGAGTTTGCTTGTGTATCAGGCCAAGGGAAAAGCCAGGACGAGCCGACCAACGGGTCGGGTTAGGGTGTAATTTAGCCAACAGGATCCTATCCGGATCCTTTTGGTGTTGATTTTAGAATATGTGAATTGTGTACGTTTATCGTACATTATACGGTCAGCTTTTATCAAATATTGTTGTATTTAATTCTAAATAAAAATATTTAAAATCATGTGTGACGTACAATGAACAAACACGATTTACGAATCTCTGCGGATTCGTTATTTAGCGGGCAGAATTGGGCTAGTCCACAGTCAAAACTTATGATCCAACCATTTGATTTGGTTTTTTTCTTTTAATCAATAAGCGACGAACTAATTAATATTACAATCTAATAGTATTCATCTTTAATTGTAAATGAAAAATCTTATATTTGACTCGCATGTATGACATTATTAAGATAAGCACATATGAATTTGCCTAATCCCTTAAATATATCGTATATAAAATAAAATAAAATCTTGAGCATGACAAAACTTTGGAATCAAGACGCCGTTGATTGACAAGAAATTTTTCCGTGTGACAATCATTTTCCTGCATGCGAGATCTTAGTTGGAACGATACACGAAATGCGTAAGTCGTTGGAGAAGTATCAACAAGATATCAAACAGTGAAAATATACTGGTGAAGATTATTGATGACCTCAGATTTTTATTGTACAACAATGGTGAAGTATCAATTTCATTGTTATGAAGAATGTATAACTAAATCAACACTAGAAGCAGTGGCTATCGGCTCGTCATCATTGGCAGAAGCACTTTTGTGCATGTGCAGAAAAGTGCTTGCAGCGGTAGACACTTTCAATCCTTAGCCTTTCTTCATTCTGCCTGAAGAGTGCTTGTCTATACTCACGATCCAAAAAAATTAGCCCGCTAATCAATCCGTTGAAGATTGAACATCACCATATCCTCCAGTCCTAATCGAAAAGCAGTCTTGGGAAGACACTCGAGATTTTGTATTGCAAGATGAGCTTTCTCTTTCGCTAATTCTTGTGCTTGTTCAATCCCCCCACAAGCCTTAACCAATGAAATGGCTTCGTCGAGGGAACCAGTCTCGCTGAATTCTGATTCAATTATGTCTCTTAGTTTTGGTTCTTTCTTCAAAGCAAATATAACCGGGGCTGTCAGGTTTCCTTTGGCAAGGTCAGTTCCAGCAGGCTTCCCCAGCTGCTCCGCCGACTGTGTGAAATCCAATATGTCATCAACAACTTGGAAGGACAGCCCGAGATTCTTGCCATAGTCATACATTTTCTCCATTACATAGTTGTCAGCCCCACTAAAAATGGCAGCTCCTTTGGTACTTGCAGCGATTAAGGAGGCTGTTTTGTAGTAGCTCTTAAGCAAGTACTCCTCAAGTTCGACATCACAATCAAACAAGCTAGATGCCTGCTTTATTTCACCACTTGCAAAATCTTTGATAACCTGCCATAGCACTAACAGAATTACGTCTAAATTAAAGGTTGCAACTTGCAGGTATGTAAAAGACTGCAACCTCTTTCTATTTTTTTGGTTCTTCAACTTGTGAGTTTGAAAGTGTCTTTTAGAAAGAAGATTCGATTCATGAAGGCTTCAAGAGTATAAATATGACACAACTTACCTGGCTGATGAGCTTGATGACCTGAATGTTTTCTAGATTTGCAAGATACCACGACGACTGTGCAAACATGAAGTCCCCAGCAAGCACTGCCACTCTTGTACCGAACATTTGATGAACAGTTTCCTTCCCTGCAAATAGGGTTCAAATTCAATGGAATCTGATCGCAAGAGGATGGAAAATAAAACAAAGAAATGAAACAATAATCATAAATTTGGGTACCATGGTAATCGCTCTGTATTAGTCTATTAGAGAACACTGCTGCTCAATGTAACACAACTTACTGGCAATGCTTTCTAGATAATCTCTGCCCTCAGCCAATGCATACATTTCAAGCATTTATAACAACGAGGAATGTCAGGTCTAGATTTAACGTCCATTCCGTTTTCTGATAATGTTATCAAGTTCATTCAGACTACATATAATTAAAGGACATATACTGTAGTAGCTGAAATTTGGGGCCAAAAATTAGGTATGTGATATATTTTGACACGGAGACATCTCTATAATTTTACACGTGACATGCATAAGAAGATAATAATGCCTACCTCGTCGCATGTCACTTTCATCCAAAACGTCATCATGTATCAAGCTTGCTGTATGGATCATTTCGATGATCTCTGCCAATCGCCGATGCTCTTTGGTAAGTTCCCTGAACACAGAAGTTTAGAGAGAAGTTATAATCTGTTAACCTCATACAATACAGTGGTTTAAGAACATTGAATGAAACTCACTTCAATCCAACTAGTTCTGCTGTTGCTCTAGACACTAGAAACACCAATGCAGGTCTCATCCTCTTCCCACCAGCACCAAAGATCTGCTCGGCAGCTGACATTAAGACGGGGTTTTCTGCACCAACAATCTGAAACAGCATATTATCACGAAGTGTCCTTTTCTCTTAAAGTAGGTATAACAGAAAATAAGGGCCTGATAACATAACGAGTCCCCTGACACTGGTATGTGCACTAATCTAATTATCCATAAATCGTCAAGCACGTAACTTATTTATTGTACAGTAACACTTAACCACAAGGAGTAATGAGATGAAACGTTGCATTCGCATGGTTGATTTTCTTAACACTTGCTAAGTAAACTATAATTATCATATTAGCAAATCATATAATGCTATAGGATATTAGAAATAACGTCTATAACTTTATACCTGGTCAGTCTACCTCAACAAAAATCTAATCGACAAACATTTTTGGTACGACAAGGACTCCATAACTCGACAGTGAGAGAATGAAAAAAGTTGACATTTCTAGCAAAGGATGATTGATAAGAATTTTTCACAGTACAACAAGTTCAAGATTGGAAAAGTATTCCAAGAATGCAGCTCACTTAAACTAATGAATATAACACCGTCATGCCAGACTGCCACATAAATTTCTTCCTTTGCAATCGACAACATTCGGAATGAAGGAAAGGATGATAATTTCAAAAAGACAGAGAAAATTTGTAGATGGGATAAGGTAAACAAGAAAGAACAGGGTAAAGAATTATGTTGCCTACCCCAACAGTTGGAGTAAGGCCTTCTGACCTCTGCCATTGGACATGTATGCTCAACTATAACTGATAAGTGATCAAATGGATAACAGCCATATCTACATAGAACGGGAAGACATGGACAAAATAAGTGAACAAGGATGCTATTCATTCGTAAGGCCGAACAATAAAATGGGAAAGGCAAAATAACGTCCAAACAAGCATAACACTTCCACTTATCAGTACATTTATCATAATGATTCCAGCTTTAACAAGGTCCTATCGATCTTTAAAAGAGCTATCCATCGTGATGTCAAAACAACCAAAAGGTTCCAAATTGCCAGCTTCTAAACTAAGCACATTGCCACACCAGAAAACACATCCACACACATATTCTCGTTTGTCAGTGAATTACTGATTTTCGCATAGAAGCATTGCAAACTTTATTTTCGAAAAGGCTTAACGGGAAAACATAGTAACTGATAGAATCTCATCAAGCAGAAAAGGATTGTTTAAAACTAAGCTCAGCTAGGCCCCGGCACAAACAAATGATTAGATACTGTAATAACATTCTATACCATAAACTTCCTAATAACTAAAATTATCACACAGCACCAGGAAATCCAAAAGGAGTACTTACTGACTGAAGATTTTGATTTAATGTGAGGAGGTCATCAGCAACAATTTCAAACAAATTTGTCAGCGAAACCGGCTTTCTGGATTGTTTCTTTAAATTTAAAACCTGTGGAAGACCTTCAGGCACACCTGTAATTCAAGCATTTGATAGAAATAACTCATATGGTATTGAAATAAATGCAAGTAATTAAAAGTTCAAACTTGAAACAAAAAGTTCTATTATCTTACCATTCAGCAGAGCATTATCTGCCTTCTTTGGTACTGGAGTCTCAGCTGTTGTCATTGAAGAAACTCCACACCGAATTCGATTCAGCCGAGCTCCATAACCTCTACAACTGCCCTTGGAATTTGCCTTCGAGTAATTCCTCACCGAATAGCGGTCCAACAAAGCATTGGAAGAACACCCACAAGCCACAAAATCCATCACAGCTCTCCCATCAAGAGTGTGGCATGTCATTGACATCATTCTAACCAAAACCCAGGAGCCGAAATCACCAAAGCTCAATAACCCAGAAGTCAAAATCACCAAAGCTCAAAAACCCAGAAAGGAAAATCACCAAAATTTTCTCAGAAACCAAACACCAGCAAGAAAATAGTCATTAAAACAGTTGTGTGTAATGAAGAAAACTCTGTAAAAACAATCAAATGGGGCCACTTGGAATGGAAAGCTTCTGTTTTAACATTGAGCACAAGTTGGAATAGCAATTGAGTGGATCCAAGAAGCCCACGCATACGTATAAATATATAGAGAGACGGAGAGAGTTCTCTTTGCACCTCCTTATCAGCTGGGAGAGAGTGAGAAAGATGAGTGACCCTCAGAAAAAGAGTTGGCCTTTGTGTCCTCGCAATTTTTCAAGTTTGTTGGTGAAATAAGAGCCAGAAAACCAATTTCCCTCTAAACGACTGGCGGTAATGGATAATGGATTTTCCACCTATCAAAGATTTTCTCCTGAGAATGTACTGAATATTATTCTCGTCTGATTTTTTTTTTTTCACTTTAGTAATTATTATACTACACAACACAAATATTAACTCAAATAATTGTTCTATTGTGCATGTGTAGATGCGGTTTAGGTCAATTGCGTAGGGTATTATAATTGTCTGATAGTGTTAAAGTTTGAATTCTCGTGTTCGTAGGTTAGAGCAATTTAGAATAGGTATCAAATTTGTGCCCGTTAGGTCGGTTACGTAGAGTATTGTGCTTGTTTCCTAATAACAATCCTTAACTATCGTCTTGTCAAGTAAAACATATGGTAAATTTACCGAGTTATCTTATATTTATCCGGCCTCGTATAAGATCCAATGAGGGGTCCAAAGAGACCACATGGCATAATACAGGAAAAAATATATCATGTAATCCACTTAGATACATCAGGCAATCACATTAACATGATAGTTGTGCAAATATCGTTTCTTAGGAAAGAGGACACCGAAGCTCGAAAATAAAAAATATATAGTTGTGCAAGTATCATTTTATTACACGTTTTATATGTAAAATAATTAATACAGTAATGTGCAAAGTTCACTGGCTGAATGTTCACTTTTGTATTCAATAACAAAAAGAAAACAATAGCGAGCTAATTAGAGGTTTTAGAATGATAACAATACCTTTGTACTTACTTTTGGGTCGAATAAGAACACTCAAAGGTAAATAGATAATAATATATATAGAAGTGCTCAAGTGTAAACTAGTTAATAACTTAATAAGGTGCTAAGAGAAATGCTAAGGAGACTCTTTCAAAAATGAGATTTTTTATGAAGTCTCCGCCACCTTATGTTTTTTTAAGAATGTTTTATAATGTTGGTATCGAAATTGACGTTAGAATGTGAGCTGTCAGAAAGTCAATGGAGAATCCTACTTCAAGGGAGTTTCCTTAGCATTTCTCAAGGTTCTAATTACTCATTTGGGTTTACTTCACAAAGTAATCTCATGATCTAAACAATCTATTTTTTTAAGTCATTATTGTTGCAAACAATTGTTTAGATCTTTAATTATTATTGTGAACTTTTCATTGAACGATTTCTAATTTTAATAATTTTTTGTAAAAATGATCTTTCGATGATAAATTAAAAACAATGTTCATTTCAAATTACAAGAAATATCATGAGCTGAATTGAAATTAGCAACTTATGTCGTATTAAGTTATTAACTAGTTACCTCTTAAGTCAACGAAAAGCAAGACAGGAAATTAATGGACCGCATCTTTTCCTATCCCGACATCAGCTCACTTGATGCACATTGCATGGTCTTGTTTTCAATCAAAACATTAGGTGTGAGGAAAGCCTTTAAAGAAAGGGATTCTTATTTTTCAAAAAAAAAATTGAGGACATCCTTTTAACCGTTAGATTTGGCTGTAATGAGATCCTATGATTGAAATTTTGTGGCATGTGATTTAATTGCAGTTACAGAATTTCATTAAAGTCAAATCTAATAGTCAAGAAGGTGTCCCTATTTTTTTTGAAAAATGAGAATTCCTCCCTTAAAGGGCTTGTAGGTGTGAGTCTTTATTGATTGGTAGGAAGGAAAGTGTGAGTCTTTATTTATCTACTGCAGTCGGTGATGACTCTCAGCTACTATTTTAATTAATAAATCATTCAAGTTTCAACAACTAAATGTGGAAGGAAGATAGCATCAAATGGTTGTATAGGAATTATGTGTAATTTTTGTACCTACTGCCTATTAAGGTTGCATTCGTTTGATTTTATAAGATCAAATTTCGGTCCTTTATGTGGTTATTCCTACAGTATTTATATAGAAGTTTCACTTTCATCTGTGCAGTTGCGATTCACATAGAATTGATCGACTACCAGTTCTCTTTGTTTGTTTTGGTGCACTCGCTTTATATTTCTGACACACAAGGAAGGACACAATGGCAAGGAACCAGCCCCAGCCTCTATTGGGCCGATCATTCCGCTGGCATCTTGCATATGTAAATTTGAAATTTTGCGAGACATTTGTTTACTAATTGTTGTAATACAAAGATAATAGCGAAAAATGTAGAAATTGTATTTTAACTTTAATCTAATTGAAGCAATAATCTCTCATTTAAAAATTTGTGATCACTGATTTCTTAACTTATCAAAACGTGTAGCTATGGTCCTTTTGATCAATTTTTTCAAAACTTTCGTTAACATGAATCGTGTTGGAAGAATCATTACTACAATTGGATAAAAATTGAGGGTTATTTTTCCAATTGACTTAAAGTTTCTCATTTATTTTTTCATATTTGCCTTTGATTCATCCTCACATGCATGGCACGTCACTCATTTTGACTGAAGTTCTAACAGATTTGATAAAAATGATCATAGTTGCATGTTTTGATGAGTTAAGGAACAAATGGTCATGATTTTTTAGTTGAAAAATCATTGCTCCAATTGAATTAAAGCCAATGAACTATTGTTATAATTTTCTCAAGATAATAACTTGCAAGTTTCTTCACAGGAACTAGCACGTTTGAGACACATATAAGGTGTTTCACATACGAACAATTCTAATTTATTTTCACATCCTCATTCATGTACTAATTTGTCATATAAATTGAGTTTAATCCATATATTTATTCTTGAATCGCAACAATTACTTAACTACAAATTTAAAGTCTTATCAAAATCTATCCATTTGAGGTAATGTGAAAATTTGACATCCCCGGTAGAACATTAAAAGCTAAAATTCTACAAATTAACAAACAGAATTTCCTCAAGATTTCCTTCTAACGATCCCATGCACTTTCTTTTACTGAGGACTATACATAGATGCAATCACCATAACCTGCAAATCAATACAAAAATAAATAAATAAATAAAATGCCAGACAAATTAAATGAGTGACGTTCTTCATGAAAAAAATGTTACTTGAATCAGTCACGATAATGAGAGCAGAGCCTCTAAAGTCACAGCTCCACTTTGCTCTCATTGTTATGACTTAGATAACGGCGTAATTTAGATTCGATAATAGCGTTGTTTTATCCGACGAAGGTCTGGCCACACACCAAGTTGTCTGCATTTGAGTAACAGAACGAGAAAAGTTATCAATTTAAAGTGCATTGTTGTAGGTTTGTATTTGAATTTACATTCTTCATATTTTTGAGTAATTTTGGATATATTAATTACCTGTCCGTTTACCATGAGCAAAATTTTGTATTTGAATTTACATTCTTCATATTTTTGAGTAATTTTGGATATATTAATTACCTGTCCGTTTACCATGAGCAAAATTTCTGCAAAGACAACAATAAATTTGAAATTGGAGGTTCGGAACTGAGATACCTAAAATTAGACATTAACATGATAGTTGTGTAAATATCGTTTCCTAGAGAGGAGGACACCCGAGGCCCGAAAATAAAAAATAATTGTGCAATTATCATTTTATTTACACGTTTTATATGTAAAAGAATTAGTACACTAATTAACATGCAAAGTTTAATGAGTGATTATTCATCTTCGTATTCAACAACAAAAAGAAAACAATAGCGAGCTAATTATAGGTTTTAGAATGATAATAATACTTCTCTAATTTCTTTTGGGTTGAATAAGAACACCCAAAGGTAAATAGATAATATTATATTTGGGTACGCCCAAGTGCAAACCAGTTAATAACTTAATAAGATGCTAACTATTTGTTTGAATTCACTTTACAAAATAATCTCATGATTAACATCCTTCATTTTTAGGTCATTATTGTCACAAAAAAAAAAAAAAAAAAAAAAAACATTTAGATCTTTAATTATTACTGCGAACTTTCATTGATAAACTTTTAGTTTTAGCTAATTTCGGTAGGAACGATCTTTTTCTTGTTGATAAACTGAAAACAATGATGGGTTCAAATTATAAGAAACATCGTGAGCTGGGTCTCTAAATAAGTGATTTACATCATATTAAATTACTAACTAATTAGCATCTGAGGAGAGTAATGGACCAATTCTTTCCCTTCCCTGCAAACAGCAACTCACATGACGGACATTGCATGGTCTTGTTTTCAATCACATCATGTGGGTGTGTCTTTATTGATTGGTAGGAAGGAAAGTGTGCGTCTTTATTCATCTACTCCATTTCTTGTTTGATTTTGTAAGATGAAATTTGGGTCCTTTATTTGGTTATTCCTACAGCAAATATGTAGAAGTTCCACTTTCATCTGTGCAATTATGCTTGGCATAGAATAGTTCCACCCAGTTTCCCTGATTTTGTTTTCTTGGTGCACCCGCTTTATATCTCCGACACACAAGGAAGGACGCGGTGGGATGGAAGCAGCCCCAGCCTCTGTTCGGCTTATCATTCTGATGGCATCTTGCATATGTAATTTGAATTTTGTTTGAGACATTTGTTTAATAGTTGTTGTAATACAAAGAAAATAACTTGATTCTGCCAGTTTTTCACGGGAACTACCACGTTTGAGGCACACGTAAGGTGTTTCAAATACGACGTACAATTTCAATTTACTTCCACATTGCTACTCATGTTCTAAGTTTGTCACATAAATTGAGTTTAATCCATATTTGTTCTTGAATTGCAACGATTACTTTAACTACAAATCTACAAGTCTTATTAAAATTAAAAGCTAAAATTCTACAAATTAACAGCCAGAATTTCCTCAAGATTTCCTTTGAATGATCCCACGCACTTTGTTTTACCGAGGACTATGCATAAATGCAGTCACCATAACCTGCATATCAATACAAAAATAAGTAAATAAATAAATAAAATGCAAACAAATTAAATGACGTTCTTCATGAAAAAAAGGTTACTTACTTGGATCAGTCACGACAATGAGAGCAGAGCCTCTGAAGTCACAATTCCACTGGTTCTTTCCCTTGGATTGGAAATACATGTTCATGGCTATGGAGGCACGGTTCATGAGATTATCCGGCGATGAGCACGGGCATCCTTTTCGAAGAATCTGACAATCTACGTTCGCGCACGCGTAATTTAGATTCGATAAGAGCGTTGCTTGGTCGGACGAAGGCCTGGCCACACACCAAGTTTTCTGCATTTGAGAAATAGAACGAGAAAAGTTATCTAGGTTTGTATTTGAAGTTACATGTTTCATTTTTTTTAGCAACTTTTGACATATTAATTACCTGTCCATTTACCATGAGCAAAGTTTCTGCAAAGACAACAGTAAATTTGAAATTAGAGGTTCGGAATTGAGATAAGTACAGTGCATATAAGTTAGTGCCAGTCAGGTACAATGATAAAACATGTAAAGTGGAAAATCCGTCTTGAAACTGGTTATATTTTCCTTTTAGATACACGAAGAGGGAGATGGATAGAAAACGAATAGACAACACAACTTAAAATGTCAGTTGTAAAGTGATAATTAAGCAATAACTCGCATGAAATTTAGCACAATTCTATATTCCAAGAGCAAGAAAACCCAAAAGAACAAAAAATACAACACTCCAGACTCCGACGTACAAAAAGTTTTGACTGTTACATCCTAATTATTGTATCTTTGACGAAATCTAACTTGGTTTTTTGCAAGAAGTACCTGGGACAAGAGCAGGAGAAGAACAGAGAGAGCTGCTTTAGCCATCGAGAGCTGTCAGAAAGAAGAAAGAAGAAAGTTGAAATATTTTGTGTCTGCTGAGGGTGGAATGGAATTAGAGAGATAGAGACTTGGGATTTTTAAAGTGGGAGAAAAGGGCAAAGTGTAACGGCTATATTAAATGAGCCGTTTGAGAATTCTCTTGGAAAGTTGGGAAGAGCTTTTGAGAACAACATCCACGTGGAGGGAGGGAGCCTGACTGACTTTGCGTCTCCCTTTCATCATCAGCCACCTCCGATTCAACTTTTAGTTATCTGAATCAGTGACCAACTGACTGATCTTTTCACATTTTAATGATTCATATTTTTTTAATACTATTAATGGGGGATTTTTGTTTTTTTTTTTTTTTTTTTGGGTGAAGATTAATGGGGGAATTTCCCTAACCTATATCGGTTACGTTTGTAGCATTGAAGTGAAATCCCTGTTAATGGTCAAATTTACAATCCTAACTTTTGAGTTACGGTGACTTTCTTGGGTGCTTTAGTGTATCGAGTACTTAATATTTTGTTCGTTAAATTTTTATTTAAAAATAAAAAATTAAGATTTAACTTGCATTGTTAATTGTGTAACCAATAAATTAAGGAAACTTTAACGAAAATATTCCTGTATTGTTCATTTTAACGAAAAATCATATTTTTACACTAAAAAAAATTAATCTTGATACTATTCACTTTACCTTTTATTTTGTAAAATTTAAAATTTTTAAACTTTTTTCATTAATTTTCTTATAAATTAAGGCTCGAATTTACATCATGAATTTACATTCATCATGGTCTCTAGTTCTAATAAAACAATGATATGTGTAAAGTTCTAACACATGATATTATATTATTAGATTGAGACCTCAAGTTGTGATCATGAATTTGTTCCATATCTACAGTTTGGATGGAAAACAGGTTTTCCAAAAACCAAAAATTGAAGGCATGTTTGAAGCTCAAGCAATTTGCAGTCCCAAATGGCTCCAATTTCCCACTCCCACCGGGAACAGCATTCCCAAACCCAGAATTGGATTCCCGACTGGAATTTCAAACCCAAATGTTCTCATTTGCCAAACCCCCATTCACTTCCCCCGTCACAAGAACATCAAATCTCAGACCCCTTTTGCAGTAAATGCTTCCTCAGCTTCAGGTGAATAATTCCCACTTAGCTTCCTCATTTCTTGTTTCAATTATCTGCAGGATTTAATTTTAATTTCTTCTGTGTGAAGTGAAAAAAGTTTTGCTATGTTAATGTTCATTTGAAATTTCAGTTGTCATGGTAAATTATCTGCGGAGAAATTTGCTTTCTTTCTGTTAAAATCCCAATTGGGCTTTGGGGTGTTACCCCAGCAGTAACTTAGAACAAGAAATGTATGTAGAATTGTTCATCAGGCGAATAGTGTGACTGCAGAAAGCAAGCTCTGGTAAAATCTTGTAAATGTATGTGGTCGAATTTTTTGATATGATTAATGTTGTTGAATTGAGGTGGAGGAGAAGAAAGCAATCAAATTTCTGGTCAGAGAGTGAGTATATTTCCGAAAGTCGGTGACTTTAGTCGATTATGTGATTGTATTGCTTAAAATGAAACAAAAACACTTGGTGAAGTTGTAGAATTTGATACTGGTTTCGGAACTTTGAAAACATGGAGACAATCTGATAAAGATTTAACTTTATAGACACATTGAACTCCAGTTGTAAGAATGTGAAAGAATGCTACTAGACTTAAGAGTGGTTTCGCTTTCTGAAATTCCTAATGGCCAGGTCTTATATAGAACATAGAACACAGTTTTCATCATCAGGGTGATTAATCTGATGTGTTATGGTTTTTCGTTGAAGACTGAGAAGATAGAACACAATTTTAATCATCACCATGAAACAGATCTAGCTGGTTCAATATAAAATCTGTTATCAGTGGTATCGTAATCACGAGAATGCATTTAAGTTTTTGTGTTCAAGATTTACTATGCTATTCCATTTCAATCACTCATTATATTCTCCTTTGATTGCATTCATAACAAAACCTGATGTACTTTTCTAAATATACAAAGCTGCGGTTGGAAGTGCAGAATACATAGAGGAACCTGCTACCAAAGAGAAATTTCAAACATCTTTGAGTTTACCGGGTTGTTCGAGTTCATTGACGTTGCTTGGAACTGGTTAGTTGCTTCAAATCACATATAGCAAAGTGCATTCACTCTAAGAAAAAGAAGATTTCTGTGTGTTTCCTTTTGATACAAATAATTGCGTGATAAATGTAGCAAATAACCTCAATGTTGGCAATGGTTGTAGGATACAGGGAAAAGGTCTTTGCAATTATTGGCGTAAAAGTCTATGCTGCAGGACTATATGTGAACCAGTCTGTCTTAAATAGTTTGCATGCTTCGAAAGGAAGATCAGCTGCTGAGCTTCAAGAGGATTCATCCTTGTTCAACTCTATTTTTCTATGTAATAATCATAAAAAGTATGCATCTTCCTTGCCGCACACACTCGCACATATAGAGGATGCTAACTTTACCTTTCCTAATTGCAGCTCCTTTGGAGAAATCGTTACAGATTGTTCTGGTTAGAGATGTTGATGGGAAAACTTTTTGGGACGCCTTGAATGATGCCATCTCTCCAAGAATCAAATCACCAACCCCTGTTGATGAATCTGCACTGTCCACATTCCGTAGCATCTTTCAAGGGCAACCTCTTAAGAAAGGAACTTTCATATTTTTGACTTGGCCAGACCCTTCCAAAATGCTTGTAAGTTCGAATTTACTGGTTTCTTATGCATGCTAACTAGTGCAGTCTTTTGGAGTTCTATGTTTCCCTGAATTATTTCTCTCGGACTTCCTCTAACACGCATGCTAGTTTGTGTTTTCAAATCTAAACCAACATAGTTATGTTATGCTTCTTCAATGTGAATTTTTTCTGTGCATGCAATCTTATCAAATGAGATTTATTGTGATATTTAGGTCTCTATCTCGTCTGATGGGCTTCCTTCTAGTGTGGGTGCTGAAATTAAGTCAGAAAACGTGGCTTTTGCTCTTTTTGATGTATTCTTTGGAGATACTCCAGTTTCTTTCTCCTTGAAAGCTTCGGTTGTGAAAGGACTGGAATCAATCCTCAAGTAGATGCTACGAGTAAGCTTTTTCATGTTCTCTATTAGCCACTTGAGCCTGCCTTTCGTTTATGTATCTATTTGTGTACCTTGGATTGGACCAGGAAGTGGTATAAATTGAAAGAAAATATATTTCTCAACCATCTTATGGTGGCTATCTTGCCGATAACTCTCCGGTTAGAATGCAATCTACAACACAAATAAAATAATGCTTACATAACAATAAGCCATAACAGATGTCTACTTGAATTGCTCATCGTTTTTGTATATATGAGAGAAAGGGCGGAAGAAAGATCCAGGTACGGGCATTTCAAATATAAACAGATGTACGAGTTTAAGTGTCTTTTACAAGTTTATTATTATTTTTAATCTTCTCAAGCATCTTAACAGCTTCACCATGGTAGGCCTCTTTGAAGGCCTGGGTTCAAGGAAAACTAGTGCAATACTAAAAACGATGCTAATCTTGCCGACTGAACCACAACCTAAGTTACTATCAAGTACATACTCCTCCCTTCTGTCCTGAACAACCGCCCTCACCCGCAACATCATTAACCAATTGATTTGCAAGTTCTGTTTTGTTTAATGTTCTTCTTCTTGTATTAATGTTCATTCTTCCCCTGAAATTACCTTATGCACTATGCACATTTGATTGGTTGAAACAAACTTTCTTGCCAATCATCAAACCATGTTTCTAATTCTAGTCTCTAACTAGTTGCTAGACCTGCTCAGCACTGAATTCTAGTATAGATTAACGAATGCTGATTTTAGGCCTAAAACACCGTCTAGACAGGCAACATAATCAAACAAGAAGCTGCTAGCCTTCAAACCATAGGTGGCGGGGCAAGGCATGCCTTCCCGACTAACAGATTGCAAAGCTATTGAGAAACCATTGTAGGTCATTGCGATTGCAGTAGTGTAACTATCAATGTATATTCCGTAACAAAGGTTCAAACCAAATAAAACCATTAGTTGATTATGATGAGAAGGAAAGTTTGAGCCCCATTTAACGAAACTAGTGAAAATAATACCGATTTTGAATAGCAAGTGGTAGATTGTCCTAGTGATCAGGGCCTCCCTCTTCAACATAGGCATCGATAGACATGAATTTGGAACTGATAGCGAGTGGTCGTAAATACAAACAGAAAGTTCAGCTAGAAGATATATATATCACTGATAATGATTATTATAATCATGAATCAAGACCACTAAAATATGTAGTAACTAATAATTAAGAAAATATATAGTACACTTCAAAATAATCATACGGTAGGGTTGAAAAGCTGCAAGCAAGCCATAGTTCTTTGGCTGTAGAGCAATGGAAGACTTTTCTGAGTGCTGAAGGTGAGAGTTTAGCATTCATCACCGCCATCACTGCTTGATCCTTCCTGCACCATAGCTAATAGCCCAGATTAACCAGCTCTGCCTCATTGAATCTTGGACGATGAATTTGTCTGGACATCTGAGTGAGCCATCGATGTAGCATATAAGATCATAAGCTCTCAGTATGGGGACGAACAGATACCTCTAGATAATGAAGTTGGTGCCCTCCAGCTTCATAGGCATAAGATTGTGTATATTCGGAGCAGGTCAAAAATAGGACGACGTGTCAAAATAGAGTTAATTTCTTGATATTTTCATCTCCCAATCGGAGGATTTATATAGGAATACAAGCAATGATGATCAGGTATGAAACCAGTACAAGAAGTCATAAAAAAACTGCTATGAAACTACTGCCTATATCTAAATTTACTGCTTACAACTACTCTATTAATTACAATGGATTTCATGTCTGATTTCCTAATTCTTTAGTCAACAATGGCTGCTTCAGTTAACACTCCCCCTCAAGTTGGTGCATAAATATCTCGAATGCCCAACTTGCTGAGTGAAAGATGGAAAATCCTACTTGACACTGCCTTTGTTAAAATATCTGCTAGCTGGTCATCACTCTTCACATAAGGCAAGTTAATGGTACCATCAACCAACCTTTCCTTAATAAAGTGCCTATCCACTTCAACATGTTTAGTACGATCATGTTGAACTGGATTATGAGCAATGCTAATGGCGGCTTTGTTATCACAATAAAGATTTGATGGCTTTGTAGAATTGAAACCCAATTCTCTCAACAAAATCTTGAGCCATAACAATTCTTGCACGCCGTGTGCCATACCTCTAAATTCAGCTTCAGCACTGGATCTAGCCACTACATGTTGCTTCTTACTGCGCCAAGTAACTAGATTTCCTCCAACAAATGTAAAGTATCCAGAAGTCGATCTGCGATCAGTTACTGACCCAGCCCAATCTGCATCAGTGTATCCTTCAACTTCTTGATGTCCATGATTGGAAAACATCAAGCCTTTTCCAGGAGCAGACTTCAAATACGTGAGAATGCGTTGTACAGCATCCATGTGGGCTTCACTTGGCCTATGCATAAATTGACTCACCACACTTACAGCATAGGCTATGTCAGGTCGTGTATGAGACAAATAAATCAACCTCCCAACTAATCTTTGGTATCTTTCCTTGTTAGCCGAAACTTGATCAGGATAGTCTCCTAATCTATGGTTTTGCTCAATTGGTGTGTCTGCAGGTTTACAAGCTAACATCCCAGTCTCAGTTAATAAGTCTATAACATATTTCTTTTGAGAAAGAAAAATGCCATGCTTTGATCTTGCAACTTCAATACCCAAGAAATATTTCAAAGTACCCAAGTCCTTCATTTCAAATTCCTTGGCTAGATACATTTGAAGTTTTTCAATTTCCTCGACGTCATCACCTGTAACCACCATATCATCCACATAAACAATTAAGGCTATAAGTTTACCTTTATCATGCTTAAGAAATAAGGTATGGTCAGCCTGAGTTTGCTTGAACCCATAATTTCTCATCGATTGAGCGAACCTGCCAAACCATGCCCTTGGTGATTGTTTCAATCCATACAAGGACTTTCTCAACCTGCATACTTTGCCAATATCACAAGTGGTAGTGAATCCAGGAGGAAGATCCATGTATACCTCTTCATCCAAGTCTCCATGTAAAAATGCGTTTTTCACATCAAACTGTCGTAGAGGCCACCCCAGATTTGCTGCCAATGACATAAGAACCCTAATAGTGTTGATCTTTGCTACCGGCGCAAATGTCTCTTGATAATCAATGCCATAGGTTTGAGTATAACCTTTGGCTACCAATCTGGCCTTGTACCTCTCCACTGAACCATCAGCTTTATGCTTTACTGTGAACACCCATCTACACCCAACATGTTTCTTGCCTTCAGGAAGTTTAACCAGTTCCCAAGTGGAGTTTTTTCGAAGAGCTTCCATCTCTTCAATCATAGCTTTTTTCCATTTTGGATTTTTAAGAGCATCCTGTAACTTATTAGGAATTGAGACTGATGACAATTGGTTTGCAAAAGCTATATAAGAGTCTGACAAGCGATGAGATGAAACAAAATTAGATATAGGATATTGAATACCCTTTGTAGAAGAATGACCATAACGAACAAGGGGTATCCCTCGATTTTCTCGAATAGGATAACGAAAACCAGACTCATGATGTGGTTCATTTGGATCAGCACTTAATGAAATCTCATGATTGGACTCATCAAATATAGTAGGCTGAAGAGAAGGAGAATGAGTGGTTACCTCAGGATAATTCGTATGAGTAGCAGCTGATTGGTCAGAGAGTTGGTCAATGAGGGGATCTATATGTGGGTGGTCTATCTCATCAGCCACTTTTTCTTTTTCTTTTCCTTTATCTCCCCTTTTTCTTGTCCTCTCATATACCTTCAATATTTTTCCACTCTTTGCCTCATCATTAGGCAAATTTGGACCATCACCGGCATCAGACAAGTGTTCATCCGAAAAATGCATACCACCAATGTCAAGTGGCAACTGCTCTTCCTCCTTACTCCCATCTCCCCCTGAAGAGAAGTGACCGAATCTCCCTCTGAAAAATAAGCCTCTTGTTCTTGAAAGGTAACATCCATAGAGACAAAAATTTTCCCATTGGGAGGATAGTAACATCGATACCCTTTCTGAGTAGCAGAATAGCCAATAAACATACATTTGATGGCTCGAGGATCCAACTTATCACGATTTTGCATGTGGACATGAACATAGCAGACACAACCAAACACTTTTGGAGGAATATGAAGGAGTGAAGGAAGAGAATGATACTGGGAAAGGGTTTGGATAGGTGTTTGAAATTGGAGAACACGTGATGGCATGCGATTGATAAGAAAAACAGCTGTGTGAATGGCATCACCCCAAAAACGTTTAGGAACATGCATAGCAAAACATAAAGATCGAGCCACATCCAAGAGGTGATGATTTTTACGTTCTGCTATACCGTTCTGTTGAGGAGTATGTGGACAAGATGTTTGATGAATGATACCTTCTTGTTGAAAAAATGTTCCAAGTCCATAATTCAAATACTCTTTCCCATTGTCAGATCGAACAACTTGAATTTTAGCATTAAATTGGGTTTGAATCATTTGATGAAAGATTGGAAAAACAGACATAACCTCACTCTTACTTTTTAGTAAGTATACCCAAGAAACTCGAGTGCAGTCATCAATGAAAGAGACAAAGTATTTAGCACTAGTATAAGTAGGAATATGAAATGGTCCCTAAACATCAGAATGAATAAGAGAGAAAGGAACATCACTTTTATTGGAGCTTAAAGGAAATGAGACACGATGATTTTTAGAAAAGATGCAAGTTTCACAATGGAAATTAGAAACCTTGACTTTAGAAAATAAAGAAGGGAATAGATATTGCAGGTACTGAAAGGAAGGATGTCCCAATCTTTTGTGCCATAACCAAATTTTTTCAGAAGCTTCAAATTGTTTAGCTTCCACTTGACAACTGTAACTTGTCTTCTCACAATCTGGTGGTAAGTCCAAGCAGTATAGACCTCCCCTCTCTCTACCATGACCAATCAACGCTTTCGTTCGAATATCCTGAAACCAACAATGAGTAGGAGAAAAGATGGCAAGACAGTTTAGTTGATTTGTAAGTTTACCAATGGAAAGCAAATTGTGAGAAAGATTAGGAACATGTAAAACAGATGAGAGAGATAGGCATGGTGTTAATGAGATGGAGCCTGCTCCAAGCACTGTAGTGGAAATACCATTAGCAACTTTAACTGTATTTAAAGGTGGAGTAGTGTGAGAAGCAAACCATGAAGAGTTATTGGTCATATGGTCAGAAGCCCCCGAATCAATGATCCAAGGTTTATTTGGAGCACCAAATGTGGTGTTCAAGGCAAAACCAAAGTTACCTGCGTCGACTAAGGAAGTAGAAGCAGTAGTAAGAGAAACTGAGTGAGCAGATTGATCTACTCGAGGCACGGAAGGGGTTGGTGTAGACAGGTGTGCTTGTGATCCAACAATGCTTTTCTTTTGATTTTCCTTCTTTTGAACCCACCAATCAGGATATCCATGCAACTTAAAACAAGTGTCTCTAGTATGCTTATCCTTGTCACAATAAGTACACTTCCTTGTATCAGTAACTTTAGATCCACCTGATCGAGAATTCGAGACTCCACGGGGAAATCGAGACGGAGCAGCTACCATGGCTGATCCTTCCACTTGTGGGCCAACCAACATAATGGTTTGCCTACTTGCTTCAGCATTCACAAGAACACAAGCAGCACGAACAGATGGCAAAGGTGTTTGAGTCAAAACTTGACTGCGAACATGATCTAAATGAGGATCAAGGCTAGCCAGAAAATCATACAATCTTTCTTCTGAAATTTCTATCTCTCGAGCAGCAACATCATCAGCACATTTCAATTTTCCAGGACGTAAGAAATCTATTTCTTGCCATGTTTGCTGAAGTTTACCATAATATGCAGATAAAGGCTCACCATTCTGGCGAGTCGCCAGTGCTTGACGGCGAAGTTCATATAATTTTGATGCATCTTTTTCAATTGAGTAAGTTTGGGTAACAGCATCCCAAACATCTTTTGCAGTAGAGAGTCGGAGAAAAATGGCCCGCAAATCTCTAGTCATGGAGTTGAGAAGCCAAGATTGAACCATGGCATTCTCTTCCTCCCATATAGCATACGATGCATCGGCTTCTGCTGGTGCCTTCTTTTTTCCACTGACATAAGACCATTTGCCTCTGCCAGTGATGTAGATGCGGACACTTTGGGACCACGAGGAATAGTTGGACCCATCCAACTTGTCTGGGGTGATATGCAGAGACATATCATTTTGTGTAACAGCAGCTGAAACAGTGGTCTTGGAGTCACCCATTACTACTGCAACGAATTCTCTTTATTGAAACAATAGAGAGTCAGTCTCACTGAGAGAGATGCAGGAACAAAATGCAAGGAGGAAGAGGCAATGGCACGGGTTTGTTGGGTGATTCCAACGGGTATGGTTTATAGGGTATGGGGTAGTATTTAAATTTTTTTTTTTGTTTTTGTAAAGTTTTATGGGTTCGTGGAGATATTGCAAATGGACAGAAGATGGGTAGAGATGCAGCGGAATGTATATGGTTAACAAGCTCAATATGGGTAGTGATGTTGGCAGATATGGCCAAAGAGAGATTGGATTCGTATGAAAGTAGAAGGCCTACTATTCTGCAGGTCTTATGGGGTAGATGGCAGTAGTGCCAGTAGGTTAATCAGAATAGAAACTCCTTTTTTGGATCAGAATGGCTCTGATACCATGCCAAAATAGAGTTAATTTCTTGATATTTTCATCTCCCAATCGGAGGATTTATATAGGAATACAAGCAATGATGATCAGGTATGAAACCAGTACAAGAAGTCATAAAAAAACTGCTATGAAACTACTGCCTATATCTAAATTTACTGCTTACAACTACTCTATTAATTACAATGGATTTCATGTCTGATTTCCTAATTCTTTAGTCAACAATGGCTGCTTCAGTTAACACGATGCTTCACAGATAAGCAGCAGCAGCAGGAGCAGTGGGTTGACGATGTTGAAGAAGAATTAAGCGGAGATGCCATTGAAACTGGAAGTGAATTAAACGTATATATGCTTACAGAAAGCGTTTAAAATGATTTTCAAACCTTATAGGAATTTAATTTAATTTTTGTTTTCATAAGAAAGCTCTAGGTACAAACATTTTAGGTATAAACAGGTGTACAAATTTATGTGTCTTTTACAAGTTTGTTATTTTTTATTTTTGATCTGCTCAAGCATCTTGACAACCTCATCCATGGTAGGCCTCTTTGAAGGCTCCGGTTCGAGGCAAATTAATGCAATACTAAAAACAGTGTTAATCTCATCGATCGAACAGCAGCCTAAGTTACTGTCAAGTACATACTCCTCCCTTCTGTCTTGAACAACTGCCTTCACCTGCGAACATCATTAACCGATTGATTTGCAGGTAGGTTTAGTCACTGATCAACAATGGCAGCAGTTTTATGGCAATTCAAGTAAGAACATGGAGGATTGCTATTGCTTATTGAAGTGTTGAGTTCATAACTTACCCATGTCACAAGCTTTGTTCCCTCCTCAATGAATGCTTCATCCGTAGGTTTCTTTCCGGTTAGAAGCTCTAGTAAAACCACTCCAAAACTGTAAACATCGCCTTTCGCTGTTGCTCTTCCCGTATCAAAATATTCTGCAGAAAAATGGTCTGTCTTACATCAATACACAAGAAAGTAACTGAGCAGTATGCTACTGACAATATTATTGTAAATTCATGGGTGAACTTCAACTGTACCAGGAGCTAGGTATCCGAAAGTTCCAGCTACAAGTGTTGAAACATGAGTCTTATCCGGTTCCATCAAGGTGGCCAATCCGAAATCAGACACTCGAGCCTCCATGTTTTGATCCAACAAGATGTTGCTTGATTTGATATCTCTGTGGATTATGTGAGGGATGCAATCGTGATGAAGGTACGATATTCCTCTTGCCGCACCTAATGCTATTTTGTATCTGGTAGGCCAATCCAAATGCATCTTGTCCGTTGATCTTCCTGCATCATAATTTACCAGATGATCACCATAGACAAATGGAAATTTTGCAATTTTGTAAAATTTGAGTGCATATGTATACCATGCAGGACTGCATCCAAACTTCCATTAGGCATCAGTTCATATATGAGAAGATTATAGTTTGGAGCAGTGTAATATCCATGAAGGGTGACGATGTTGCGGTGTTTTATGTCCCCCATTGTTTCGAGCTCTCTCTCGAAGCCTCGATCTCTATCTGGACTTCCTCTGCTCAATCTTTTCACAGCAAAGGCTGTGGAGTCATTTACTGTCAGCTTATAAACCGTCCCGTAGCCTCCGGAACCAATGATGTCCTTGTTGCTCAACTTCAGTGTCTTCTTCAAGAACACATCCGTTTTCAGAGGTTTCATTGTTGGTGCCCCGAACAAAACCATTTTCCCACCTGTACACATGCACATTACAATACATTAATCAGGATATATAGTTTATTGCTACGAATTTCATCGAAGATTACACAAAAAATGCGTCATTTTGAGCATCGTGGATGAAGGTGTCATAAAAGATACACTCTAAGACGCGTAAAACCGAGTGTTTTCATGGAGTTTTCGAGCATACCAGAGAAGCCATCTTCATGCACCAAGTGCTTCTTCTTCCAGCGCTTATAGATGAGGACTGAAATAACAATCTTTGATATAATAAAAGCAACACAGCATATGGTTATGTAGAATGCTAAAACCAAAGCCTTTCCCATTTTTTGTTCTTCGCGAATTTGATTCACAAAGAACTACACCAAGGAAATAATTTGAAGTAATGGCCAAGTAGAAGTTTGGCTTTATCTGAGAAACAGTTCATAGAAACAAAGTGCTGTTGGATCATTGAAATTTTGACACAAGAAGTGCGTTTATTAGGGAAAGCGACCAAAGTGCTTTTCGTCTCTCTAATGCATTCACACTTTACTAGTTTGGGGCTGCGAGTGAACAAAATAATTTTCCTCTAACAGGATGTCATTTTGATGATACTTTACGTTAATCATGCACGGTTAATATTGTTAATAATGTGCGCAATGGCACTTTGTATTCACATTTTACTAGTTTGAGATTTTGCATCAAGAGTAGAACTTCCGTACAACTAATATGTCACTGTGACGTATCTCAAATTAATCATACACTGTTACATGAGAAAGTTAAAATGCATGGCCATCTTGAGTCAATAGTAGAACTTTTACAACTGAGATGCCCTATAACGGTATCTTAAATTAATCGTATACTGTTACATGAGAAAGTTAAAATGCATGACAATTATGATTGACTTAATCTATCGCAAAAATAGAGTGATTACTTAGACAAAAATCAAATAAATTAAAGTAGATAAGGACATAAAAAGAGTGGCATGACAGCAAAGTCACCAGCAACCTAAAACCCAAGAGAAAGGGGCAGCTGAATGTCGCATCATGTGAAATTCAAGCTGATGTCACAAATTATTCCACTCCACCTGTCCTTTGACATTTATGTCGGTGTTCAAAATTCACAGGACTAACACAGTACATCGCTTTTTGGTAAAGAAAACACGGCTGTTAAGTGTGACCTGTGAAGGTTATTAGCTCGATTGATTTCATCATGCGTGGTCATGAACGCATATCTCAAGGGTAGGAGATACTTTTAGTGTGATGAAAATACATAACGGTTCACTAAATAACACCGTATAATTAGTTGAGAATTTTTTTTTTTTTAAGTATTTAACTAATTGTATTATAATACTTGATGTATTGGACTGTGTTTCCGATTTACTGAAAATCTTTTCGAAGAGTGGGAATAAATAAAAAATTTGAGATGGTGTGACTATCCTGTCAAAAAAATTGTTCAGTAATTCGATGAGTGTACTGTAGGAACCATCTTTAATGAAAGTAGCAACATAATTAGCAAATTGAAAATGTTAACAACTTGCTCTTCAAATTAAAAATGCAACTTGCGTTTTTGAATTCGCCTATGTCCAACGCAATTTTAAACATAATCCTGCAGATTATTGCATAGTTAAAATTCACCCAAATCCAATTCGACTTCAACTCGATCGTTTATTGAGCTGTTTTTCCCTCTCATGCCCCCTATAGACCAACTTTTAATAGGATTGCTGATTGAACTTCAGATTACAAGACTTAAGTTTGTTGCTTGTTTTTGTTGACTTGTATTAGGATTCCTACAATTGTGGGATTCCTACCATATTTGGTTTCCTATTTCTAGGATGTAATTATTCTTTCCTTTATTCTGATAGGATTGTATATGATTGTATATATACCCTTTATTGAGATGAATATACAATAGAATTGAAAAAGCATTCTTTCTTCTTGGCACCAGAGCCGAGTTAGAAAAAAAGAAAACACCAAACCCTAACTGGGTTTGGATTTGCCCGTGACTCTGTTCAATTGCAGCGAGCAAGAAATTGTTGCTGCCCGTGTCTCTATTCAATTGCAGTGAGCAAGAAATTGTTGCTGCCCGTGTCTTTATTCAATTACAGCGAGCAAGAAATTGTTGTTGTCCCTGTTCTGTCACTTTGTTCCGCTGCCCAGTTTCTGTTGTCAGTTGATTACTGGGTCCAGATTCCAATCAACGCTGCTGCAGATTTTAGGTGATATCGACAACAAGACTGATGGCTGAAGAAAAGGGGGTCGGTTCTCAACTTATTCCCGCGGCTGCTCCAATTATGGTGCAGTCAGAGAATTCAAGCTTTAATATTGGTATGGTTTTGGATGAAAAGAACTATGATTTATGGGCTCCTCTCATTCAAATCCATATTGCTGGAAGGAAGAAGATGGGATATCTTCGTGGGTCTATCAAGGCACCTAACGAAGACGATCCTAAATATGATGATTGGTTCTCTGAAGATCAAAAGATTAAGAGTTGGCTTTTATCTTCAATGAAACCAGAGATTATGAAACGGTACATTCGGTTGTCTACTTCGAAGGAAATTTGGGACTCTCTTAAAGCAGCCTACTTTGATGAGAATGATGAAGCTAGAATTTATTCGTTGAATCAGAAGGCATCACGGCTTCGTCAGAATGGCCGGCCTTTGGCTACCTATTTCGGGGAGCTAACTGAGATTTTCCAAGAATTGGATCACTTTAATAAAGTATCTATGGAGTGTGAAAACGATGTCAAAGCGTTTCAAAAATCCACTGAGAGACAACGAGTCTATGTGTTTCTTGGTGGTCTTGATGATGGGTTTGATCAGGTTCGTGGAGAAGTGCTGAGGAAGGATCCCCCGCTTGGCCTTCAAGCTTCTTATGCATATGTTCGTCGAGAAGCTGATCGAAAAGAAGCAATGAAGACGGAGGTTAACAAGAGTGAACCTGTTGCCATGGCAGCAAAGGCCCGTGGACCATCTTCTTGGTCGAACCGAGACGGATCACAAAACCAGTCAGGACAAAATCGTCCTAGCCAGACAAGTCGGGATCGTCCCCAAGGTAAGTGCCCACATTGTGGCATGACAGGACACTCCAAGAGTCGTTGTTTTGAGTTGATTGGATATCCCGAGAATTGGGATAAAACACGTGATCCTCGGTGCAACAAATCTCGAGCCTCCGTTGCAGAAACAAAAAATAATTCAGACTCAATTGCGGACAAGGCATCTGCCATGATTGCTGCGGCAGGTAATGATGGTAAGGCTCTAAGTACTTCTACTTCTGTTATGAATAATACATGGATAATTGATTCCGGAGCTACTGAACATATGACATGTGATTCTAGACAGGTTCCATCAATAAAAACATCCACACAAACCATAGTCAATGTTGCTGACGGTAATGTCGTCCCTGTTATTGGGGAAGGCACTGTTTCCCTTTCTGATACCATGAAACTTGACACTGTTCTTGTGGTTCCTTCTCTCAATTATAATTTGTTATCCATTGCCCAAATAACCCTTGCCTTACATTGTTTGGTTATTTTTTGGCCCTACTTTTGTATTTTTAAGGACATCCGGACGCGGAAGACGATTGGTTATGGTATTAGAAGAGGGCAACTTTATTACTTGGAGTTGACGACCGGTAGTTCTGGCTCGCTGACTCAGGCTCTTTCCGTTGATGATTCTCAAGGGGCTCCTAATAAAGTGTCGGACATCTGGATGTGGCACCGGCGCCTTGGGCATGCTTCCTTTGGTTACCTGCATAAGTTATTTCCTAGTTTGTTTGTCAAGCATGATGTTTCTATGTTCAAGTGTGATGTTTGTGAAATGGCTAAAAGCCATAGAACTTCATTTCCTTCCAGTTTCAATAAAAGTACCGTTCCTTTTATGGTTGTGCATTCTGATGTATGGGGGCCGTCGAAAATAGCTACTCTTGGTGGTGCTCACTGGTTCGTTACTTTTATTGACGATTGTACCCGAATGACTTGGGTTATTTTGTTAAAGTCGAAAAGCGAAGTTAGTTCGGCCTTTCAAAAGTTCCATAAAATGGTTGATGTGCAATACAACAGGAATATCCAAGTTCTTCGAAGTGATAATGGTGGCGAATATGTTAATATGGAACTTCGTTCATTCCTTGACCTGCATGGTATTGTTCATCAGACCACGTGCCCGTATACTCCTCAACAGAATGGTGTTGCTGAACGAAAAAATCGACACCTACTAGAAATGGTTCGTGCTTCACTCATTGCGGCACATCTGCCTCTACATTATTGGGGTGAGGCACTTACCTCCGCGGCCTATCTTATTAATCGTCTTCCGTCTCGTACTGTCAACTTTCTTACGCCGTTTCAGGCTCTCACATCTCAGACTAGCAGTCCACCGACTCCAAATCTTTCCCCACGGGTCTTGGGGTGTGTTGCTTTTGTTCACCTTCATCCTCCTCAACGGAATAATAAACTTGAGCCTCGAGCCATTCGTTGTGTTTTTTTGGGTTATGCCACTACCCAGAAAGGATATCGTTGTTATCATCCTTCGAGTAAGAAAATGTTTATCACTCAGGATGTGATTTTCCATGAGAATGAAATGTTTTTTGGATCATCCGCGTCCTCACTTCAGGGGGAGTATCGAAATAGTGAAGTTCTGACTCGAGATTATAATGAGTTTTTGACATTTGATTGCTCTCCTGGTGCTAGAACCGAGCTGCATGAAGAGCAGCAGCCCATTATGGAGTCCACGGCATCTGAAGCAGAACAGCAACCCACGGTTTTTGGTGATATGTCCACTGAGCGGCAGCAACCAAATATGGTAGAAGACCAGTCCACGGGTCCCACGGAGTTTGGATTTGAAAATGAGCAACGGCCCACTAATTGTAACAGAACCGAGCAGCCACTGTCCCGAGTTTTTACTCCTGATGCTATATCAAGTCCAAGTATGAACCAACCTTCTGTTAACTCTCATAACCAATCGTCTTCTACATCGGATGCACCTCCACTCCGTTGTCTTCCAGAGCGTATTAATCGAGGTATTCCCAAACCTACTTATGAGGCAGATCCTAAGTGTAAAAACAAGTATTTTGTGAGTGAGCAAAATTCGGATTCAAGAGTGAGATATCCATTAAACAATTATGTGTCTACCTGTCACCTGTCAGAATCAAATAAGTCATTTGTAAATCAATTATCTACTGTATCTATTCCTAACAGTGTGCAGGAGGCTTTAGCAGATTCCCGCTGGAAAGATGCAATGAATGAGGAATTGAGATCGTTGAAGAAGAATGCTACCTGGGAAATAACTGACTTGCCAGCTGGAAAGAAATCTGTGGGATGCAAATGGGTCTATACAGTAAAATACAAAGCAGATGGAACGGTAGACCGCTTTAAAGCAAGATTGGTGGCAAAAGGGTATACACAAAAATATGGCATCGACTACACGGATACGTTCGCACCAGTGGCAAAGATCAATACAGTTCGTGTTCTACTGTCCTTAGCAGCAAACCTAGATTGGCCTTTGCAACAGTTCGATGTAAAAAATGCATTCCTCCATGGAGATCTAACCGAGGAGATTTACATGGACCTTCCACCAGGGTGTAATGATCCGGACACACAGAAACAAAAGGTATGTAAGCTCAAGAAATCATTGTATGGGTTAAAGCAATCTCCAAGAGCCTGGTTTGGTAGATTTACCAAATCCATGAGAGCATTCGGTTATAGGCAAAGTAATTGGGATCATACGTTGTTCCTAAAACGCCAGAACGAAAAGGTTACAGCTCTCATTGTATATGTTGATGATATGGTGGTTACCGGTAATGATCTCGTTGAGCAAGCGGCTTTAAAAAATTATTTGTCCACAGAATTCGAAATGAAGGATCTTGGTTCTTTAAAATATTTCCTTGGGATTGAAGTATCGAGATGCAAGTCTGGGATATTTCTATCACAAAGGAAGTATGTTCTTGACCTGTTAGAAGAAACAGGTATGACGGCGTGCAAACCAGTGTCTACTCCGTTGGCTGAAGGAATGAAGTTGGGTATTGATCAGAACCAAGTACCGGTTGATAAAGGGAGGTACCAAAGGTTAGTGGGAAGGTTAATGTACTTGGCCCACACTAGGCCGGACCTTGCTCATGCCTTAAGTGTAATTAGCCAATATATGCACAATCCAGGAGAACAACACATGAGTGCAGTTATGAGAATACTGAGTTACTTGAAAGGAAGCACGGGTAAAGGAATCTTGTTTCGGAAAAATGGGCATTTCAGAATTGAGTGCTATACGGATGCTGACTGGGCAGGATCGACAGATGATAGACGCTCAACATCCGGGTATTTCACCTTTGTTGGGGGAAATTTGGTAACGTGGAGAAGCAAGAAGCAGAATGTCGTATCAAGGTCAAGTGCAGAAGCTGAATTTCGAGGCATGGCACTTGGTATTTGTGAAATCTTGTGGCTTCAGTTTCTGGTACAAGATTTGGGGGTCGAACATGGTCAACCGATGAAGTTATTCTGTGATAATAAAGCTGCTCGTGATATTGCTCATAATCCAGTGCAACATGATAGGACCAAGCATGTAGAGGTTGACAGGTTCTTTATTAAAGAGAAGTTAGATAGCAAAGTAATTGAGGTTCCTCCCATAGGAACGGAAGACCAAGTAGCAGATATTCTCACTAAGGCAGTTTCAAGTGACAAGTTCTCGAGGTTTCTAGACAAGTTGGGCATGTGCAACATTTATGCACCAACTTGAGGGGGAGTGTTGACTTGTATTAGGATTCCTACAATTGTGGGATTCCTACCATATTTGGTTTCCTATTTCTAGGATGTAATTATTCTTTCCTTTATTCTGATAGGATTGTATATGATTGTATATATACCCTTTATTGAGATGAATATACAATAGAATTGAAAAAGCATTCTTTCTTCTGTTTTCATCTGGAAATGAAGTACTGTTTTTTATTTTTTTTCCTATGCGCTTTGTTATTGTTTCGTCTTTTAATCCAAACTTTACATGGTTCAAACTTCACTATTTGATTTAACTTTTAAGTAGATACCCATTTTTGGAGTTGAATTTTAAGTTTTGGCTGAGTTATGTGATTTAAGTTTAAGTAGCATTGGTTTAACTTTTAATTTTTTTTTGTAAAAAAGAGTGTTATTGGATTAAACTCTATAAATTTGGGTACCTCGTGAAAGATATAATGAATACTCAATATAATAAGAATGCTTGAATGAATAAACTCAACTCGACGAATAATGATTGAGCCTGCACGTTCATTGTACACTGTCACATTAGATGATACTGTTACAAGTGAGAGTTATCTCGAATATCAAACTGGCTCGATGTGTTCGCTTGTGAAGAAGAGCGAGAAGAGAGAAATTCAAACTGGTTCGGTTTTGGCTTATCAGTTGGCTTATCACGCCCCTGCAAGCTGAGCGATTGTTGGTGAACGAGAAGCTTGGAAATTGGGTTGGTAAATGGTGAAGAGGATAAACGTTTGGTCAAAAGATCAGCAAGCTGATTAGTTGAAGCAACACAGTCAACAACAATCTTCTTGCGAGTGACATTAATGTAATGATAATCCATGGCGCATGCGTGCTTGATACACAGGATTAGAAGCAACAGCAAGAGCACTGATATTATCACAGCACAAACGTGGAGGATCAATGAGAGATATGTAGATCACAGAAAAGGTTTCGAAACCAAGAGAAGCAATTGAAGTATCTGCAAGTTCGAAAAAAAAAGGTACATGCAAGTTGACGATATTCCGCTTCAATATTAGAACGAGACACACCCTGCTGTTTCTTAGAGCTCCATGAGATTAAATTATCTCCGACAAAGATGCGGTAACCACCAATGGAGTTACGATCATCAGGATCACCAACTTAATTTGCGTCGACATACGCAGTAATGGTAAGAGGACTTGGCTTATACATGATGCCGTGATCGTGAGTGGCTTTTAAGTAACATAGTATTCTCTTTACAGCAGCCCAATGAGCACTTGTAGAAGAATGCATGAACTGATAAACTTGATTAAATGCGAAAACGATATCAGGCCTGGTGAAAAAAAGATATTGCATAGCCCATATGAGACTCCGGAAGTCAGTACCATATGAAAGTGGTTCTCCTGCATGAAGACTTAACCGATGACCACTAGGTTTGGCATCAAGCATCTTTTGTTTTCTTGAGTAGGTCTAGGATATACTTGGACTGAGAGATATACAGATCAGTCGGCATGCGAGTCACTTCCCTCCCCAAGAAATAATGTAAGGGCCCAAGATCCTTCATAGAAATAAGCGTCGGAGGCACAACTACCATGCCACTTATGCCTCTCAGTCCTCTATACGAGTCTTCAAAAACCATAACTATTAGGCATCATTAAAAAAATTTCTTTGTTAACATAGTTGACACTATTTAAACTAAAAAAACAATCGAATTGAATTTCACATACCGCTATTGCTGTGCAACTTTTGTAACTTGTGTCACTACTGTCCAACAAAATTTCAAAAGGTAAGGGACCAATTTGTAACAAAAAAAAAAAAGAATTTAGGATTTGAGTGAAACAAATACAAAAAGTCATGGGGTAGTTTTGTAATTAGAGAGAAATAAATAAATAATGTAAATAAAAGCACTGAGCTAGTCGTTGCTGAAGTCTCCACTCCAAAGTCCAAACTTCTTTAAACCCTTCTCCCTCGCTCGTTCCTTCTCCTCCCGCACTCGCAGAGCAAATTCTCCTCCTCCGCCGAAATCTTGTCTCTCAGAAAGCTTCAATTATGTACGGAGGCGGTGAGTTCATCAAGAACCTAACTGCACTTGCATGCCATTAGATTTCTCATTCTTTTTCTTATTTTTTTTCTGATTTCTTGGTGAATTTTTTTTTGGGGATTTCTGGTTTCTTTGGTTGCAGATGAGGTATCAGCTGTCGTACTCGACCTTGGCTCCCACACTTGCAAAGCCGGCTATGCTGGCGAAGATGCGCCCAAGGCCGTCTTCCCTTCCGTATGTGCTTACTTTCTGCTCAATTTTTTACTTCAATTGTTCATAGTGGCAGTCACATTTAGTCTCTCTTTCTTTTTAAACCTTAATTTTTGTAGAAAATTTCACAACTTTGTTGGTACGTTTAACCGAAAATGTAGTACTGAGGATTTTCATTTTATAGATCCGGGAAATGTTTACCCTTTTTGCCATATTTAGTGGTAATGCAGAATGTGTGTTTTGCAATTGCCCATTTGAAAACTTTTAAGATTATAGCTAAAGATTTTGTTCTTCATAAATCCTTTTGGGTACACATTTGGCGTTTCGACCGTCCCAAAGATATTTGAATTGTAAGTTGTTTTTTACCCAGAAGAATGATGAGTCCAGAGTCCCTCGTCGCTATTTTCTATACCATGATGGATAATGTGAGACTATTGGGGGAACATCTTCAGTAGAGGGGGCGTTAAGGCTGGTCAGATATACGTGTTTAGGCGGGAAGCTCATGGTTGTGCTTAAATGACTAAGGAATTTTTGAAAAGTGGATGAAGCTTTTCATTTTATTTTATTTTTTGAATTTTTTGAACTTATTAGTTATGAAGTTTATATGCATCGAATTTCTACATATTAGAGGATGGACCTTACTTATTAAATTAGTCACATTAGGTATAAAATTTGTTTACTGTGCGTCTGTCTGTCTGTCAATTGGATATTCATCATTACTAGTTCATAAGTGAATTAAAAATTTAACCTGGTTTTGGCATCTGTTCTTGTTTGTTTAGGTTGTCGGGTCAATTGATCAAATGGAAGTTGATGCAACAGAAATGGAAAACAACTCTGGACCTGCTGTAGATCCAAAGAATAATTCAAAATCTCTTGATTCTGACAAAGCCAAGGGAAAGCGCAAATTATTTGTAGGATCTCAAGCCTTAGGGTACCGTCGGGATCATATGGAGGTCAGTTTTGAATTTAAAGCTTTTGTAATTGAAGCACAGTTTCGACCTTTTGCTTTTAGATTTTGATTAACTACTGCTGTTGTATCAGGTGCTGTCATCCATAAAGGATGGAGTAGTTGTTGACTGGGATGCTGTGGAGGGTATATGGGACCATGCTTTTAGGTAACTACTAATGGATGAATTAGTAATCTACTATGGGTTAAATTTGTTTTCTCATTTCAATTGTTGATTAATAATTTGGTTAAGTAAATATAAGGCATGCATATAATGCAACACCCTGAACGGTCGGCTTCTTCTATTACGCTTATGGTTTTAGTAACATTAGGATATAATGATCAACAAATGATAATGTTTCTAGTACTCATTTCTGTATACATCTTCACCGCAGTAATGCTTTGGTACAAATTTTTCTCACTGATCTAATTGGGTCAGAAGAATACTGATGTCATCTGTTTTTGGGGAGTGATCATCATATGTTAGAAGTTCTTTTGTTCAACCATATTCCATTATTCGCGTAATACGAGTTTGAACTTAACAGATGTACGTAATACAGTAGCAGCTCATATTCAGTACTGTTATATAGTGCGAAGGCTTGGCTGTTATCCTTTTCCCTGTGAACTGTCCATCTGGCAATATATGTTTCCCAATTATTTAGGTAGATGTTTTATTTTGGTATTACCATATCAGTAAGTGCTTGCTATTATTTCAGGGAATGTCTATTGGTTGATCCCAAAGAGCATCCAATGCTACTTGCAGAGCCATCTTCGAACACTCAACAACAAAGAGAAAGGTAATATGGTAATTATTAAATTTTCTCATCAGCTAAAATTTGTAACTATCAAGTCGAGCTAAAATGCTTATGTAATAGCTCATGTATTCTTTTGTAATAAAGTTAGACTTCACATTGACCCCTATGCCTCACAAAGCTCAGCTATACGAACTTTTGTATTTTTATTTGCAGACTGATGGCTTCTTTGTGTCTGTGTACAGTTGTTGCATACCTAGATTTTTTGTTCTTAGGTGTCTAACTTGTAATAAGTATGCCGGCCCCATTGATGAAAGGTTTTATAGAAATGATATTATTTGTTCCATCATTATTGATGGTTTAGTTGGTGTATCTTTATGCTGTTTAGTTTTTAGGTTAAGTGATTGAGTTTTGTGTTTTACCTGACAGGACGGCAGAGCTTATGTTTGAAAAGTACAAAGTTCCTGCCTTTTTTTTGGCCAAGAATGCTGTATGCCCCTGTTCACCCCTTCTCCCTGATTCCAACTTGTAGAACATGGATTACTATTTGCAGACTCTGCTCTTTGTTTCCTTTTGAAATTCAGTCTGTAATTAGTGAGTAACCGTTATAACTTTTTACTTATGTCAGGTTCTCACATCATTTGCATCAGGTCGAGCTACCTCGTTAGTAGTAGATAGGTAGGTAGATGACATCATTTTGATTCTTGCTGTATATAATTTTAGTACTTGCACATCATCTTTTGTTCTGAACCAATTGTATATAATTGGATTACCATTTCTATGATTGCATCCTTTCATTTTCACACTTATGCATAAGCTTATTTTAAGTCAATCTGTCCACTTGATGCAGACCATAGATCCACATGATTTTTGTTTTATGTTAATCCCATGAAAGAGAATGTTGATGGATACAAATCAGTAGTTCAAATTCTAATAAATGTCAAAAGAATATCTATCTCAGTGGCCTGTAGGTAAAAGTGGACAAATGCAGAAATTTCTGAAATTATGAATGTAACTTTAGGAATCATAAACCAAACGATAATGTATCAATCGAATTTAAACTTTATGAATACTACATCTATGAATTTGATATTCTTTTATATGCAATGTACAACATGATTTTTTAATATCGTTTCTAGTGTGATTTGATAATGTATTTATTGCCCCCTTTATATTTTGCCTGATTATTGCGAATGCAAAACTAATGTACGGTATTTCGCAAAAATTTAAAATTCATCTAGTGGTGGAGGATCAACTACAGTTGCTCCAGTTCATGATGGCTATGTTCTTCAAAAGGTATTTCTCACTTTCCTGTCAAATTAGATGATTGATCTTCATTCATAACAAGTTAATTTGTAGCATATTTTTATATAATTACATTTCAAGGTGCGCCACATATACATACATACATACATATATATATATATATTGTATAATGCCCTCTTGCACTCTATAAACGCCTTTAGAAACCTTCTGTAAAGTGAAATAAACCGAAAATTTATGATTGCTTGTTTCTGGATTCCATGTATAAGAATTTAACCAATCTTTGTCAAATTTTGACACCTGTTTTTTCTTTCCTATTTTGTTATTTGTCAACTTGTTACAGGCTGTGTCATCTTCTCCTATTGGGGGAGAGTTTCTTACTGATTGTTTGACAAAAAGTTTGGAAAGTAAAGGCATGATGGTGAGTGACCACCTAAATTTCGTTTTGGAGGGGAATCATTTGCCCAAAATTGCTGTTTTTAACTTATTTAGTCCTTTTCTTATTTATTTGTAGATTAAACCCAGATATTCTTTTAAGAGAAGGGAAACACGACCTGGAGAGTTTCAGGTACCTTTGGATTTTAATGGTGGATGTATTCTAAATTAATGGAATGCTAAGAGTAGCAAAATATGCTTCCAGTCTGAATATTATAGTGGTGGCTTGGTGCATACTTGCTGTTGGGTTATTAATTGTTCCTCTGTAACTATGCATCCTTCGTTTATCTTGTTATCAATTGTGAGACTTCGTCAGTATTATGGATGAATATTTTTGTTTTACTTTTTGATAGCTTAATATCATATTTGTTTAGCTTAATGATATTCTCAATGTTGTAGGTAGTAGATGTTGATTTTCCAAATACCACAGAAAGCTACAGACTCTATGCCCAGGTCTGTCTGTGATTGACCAGAATATTACTTTTTGAGATATGATATATATTTTTTTTCATTTCTGCTGAATGTTCCTTCTTGGCAGAGGATAATTGCTAGTGACATCAAAGAATGCGTGTGTAGAGCCCCGGACACTCCATATGATGGTTTGCTATATATCCCTTTCTCATGCGTTTTAATGTTTTTTAGGCTATAAACTTTGTCAGTGATGTTACGTTTTAGTCTTGATTGCAGATTTCGGGGAAAAAAAAAAAAATCAATTGGTTATTGTGTTATTTTTGCTACTGGGTTCAAAACATATTTATTTGTTTAAGACCTGATATTTGGAAGGGCAATTTTGCATTTATTCTCTTTATTCACAAATGATATCCTTGATTGTTGCTTGAAGGTCCATATATGACCTTATGTTCTCTTAAAAGTTTTTTGATCTGGAAATTCGTTCAAATGTTGATACAATTAGTACTTAAGGAGTACAGAGATAGCTTAATTCTTTGATAGCTTGATTATTGGAGTTTTCGGAGTTTTGCAGGATAGAGCATCTTAGCTCTTTGAAAACTCAATTGCTTGGAGTTTTCAAGATATTGTTTACTTTTACACGATGAATGGATGATAGTTTATTCTTTTTTCTATGATTCAACCTTGTTAGTTGTTTTCACATTGTTCATAGCTCCTGTATTAATTGCTATATTCTTCAAACAAAGATAAAAAAAATGTTCAATTAGCGTTCTAATAGGATTTTCATTTTTTTTTTTCTTCCAGAAATCGCATATTCAAACATTCCAATGACCTCATATGAGCTTCCTGATGGCCAGTGAGTCCTATTCTTTTGCATCTTGGTTTGTTGTAACTTTTCTATATTTTTAGAGGGTTACACTTTCCCCTATTGAATTCATTAGATCTGTTCTTGATCTTGTTAATTCATGGTGCACTTCGTTAAATGATGACTATCTAATTTTGCGCATATTGTATACTGTTTAATTAACTTTGATTTTTGTTTCTAGTATAAATGTATAGTTACTTTATGAACCTGCATGATACAGGACAATTGAAATCGGAGCTGATAGATTCAAGATTCCTGATATTCTCTTTAACCCATCCTTGGCTCAGGTGGATGTCTTCTAAACTATATGATGCCAGTTTTTTACACTTTCCTTGAATCCTTGAAATCTCATGGGACACATTTGCATTTCACCACGATCTTATTATTATCTGTTCAATAATTTCATTCAACTAACGGTTCCTAGTTCCCACTTCGTCTTAATATGTGAACCTTGTGCAAAGTGAGACATGACTGTTTCATCTTGAGCATTTTTTTATGGGACAAGAAAACAGGAACTTTATTGAAAAAGAAAGATAATCTACAAAGTACTATGGACACTAAGTCTATCATATGCCTTGTTCATTTTCAGCATTTCTTTATGCTTAGATAACTGCTGACTTGAAAGATATCTTGAGTTTGTTTCTGTGGGCCATTTTTGGTTTGATCAATAAATTGGCTTTCGTGGAATAGTTCATTACTTGATTACTAATATCTTCATGTCTACTAATTGTATGGGTAATATTTGGATATATGAAGGCCACTTTAAATTTTAAATGAAGAACGCTTGTGAAATAGAGCTGGGTCAGTCCCATAATTTGATTACGCTCTTGGAATTTTAGAGGATTAGATGTTACATTTTTCAAAATATTTTTTGTATGGTTGGACCACATTTTATCAATCAATTGTAAATTGCACTTCAGAAGAAAATTTGACCCCTGATAAAACTTTGGTTGAAGCAATTGCTGGATGGATTGGTTGCATAAATATAAGTTTTAATTGGTATTGAATAAAATATTTTTCCTGCATCTTATATCTGTCATATTTGTTTTTATGAAAATGTCAGACAATTCCTGGTATGGAGCATTTTGCAGAAATTGCTCCCACTGTTCGTGGTCTGCCACAAATGGTAATATCATACTTTATTTGACAATAAGTGGGTGTATCCATGCAGTTGCTTCTCTGTTTTTCTTCTCCCCTCTCCCCTCATTTTTTAATTCATGGTTAACTTTTCTTGTTTCTTCTCTCCAGGTTATCGAGAGCATTAACAAGTGTGATGTGGACATCCGCCGTGAATTGTTTAGTAGTATACTGGTAAAATGATGCAGTCACTTATTTATTATATTTTTTTGGTTGGAGCATCAATTTACTTATTTTTTGCATGAATCAGGTTTTTTTTTTTTTTCCCCAAAGAATTGACAAAAATTAATAGCATAAATTAGTTTAGTTCTGGATGCAAATTGATATCTTTTGGTAGGACTTACCGAGTAAGTGTTGCAATTTCTATGGTGAATATGCAGAATTCCTGAAAATTTTCTTAGTTTATCACATCCATTGACACCAATTTTTCCACGGAATTTCTTGACATGCAACTTGAGAATTATATGACATGGTTTTTCCTTCTGTTATTTTATACAGCTTGCCGGTGGCACAGCATCAATGCAACAGTTGAAGGAACGCCTTGAGAAAGACATGCTGGAGGTATGTCTTTTAAATGAAGCACTACCATGGTCATGTTTCTTTTTCCCTTTTTATTAATCCCAGCCAACTGTTTTTATTATTGAATTTGGCTTCTATTTGGTATATTGTTTCAATTGTCTAGCAGTAACAATTTCATGTTTTATAAATTCACTGTAAGATCTGGGTACTAAATTTGTTCTTTAATGTGTTTGTGGCATTGCAACTTAGAAGAACTAGTTTCTCATCGCCTTCGTTCTATAACTTTTGTATTGTTTATCTTAGCACATACTATCTTCAGGAAGCAAAGCACTGGCATGCTTTTCAGCATTGGCCATTGGCTTAATACATCGGTGTCGTTGAACTCTCTATCTCTCTCTCTGCATGCTAACATCATTTGTACTCAAAGTAGTTAAATTGATTTCAGCTGGTACAGTATTATTTGTGTAATTATTAGTATGAAATATCAAAATGCCATCATTCAACCTGCAGGAGTCCCCTCAAGCTGCTAGAGTTAAAGTATTGGTGGCCGGGAATTCAACCGAAAGGCGATTCAGGTAAATATAAATTGCTTCAAGTCCTTTGTTCCTCTCTTTGCCCATGCTAGCACAGAAGATCCCATACATAAGCAATTTGGCTGCAACTCTGCAACTGTTATTTGATTTTTGGATTACATTTTTCATGCGAGCACCCTGAAATTATTCTAGGGTCATGTGATGGCAGTTTGTCAGTCGCTTAACTTTGAACTTTTGCATCTCTCATAGAGAATACACTTGAGGCATGTTTAACCGTATAACTTCGAAACTCACTCAAAAGCTTTCAAGTTTCACCTTTGTGTAGTTATAGGTTATGCGCTTTTAAAAATTTAATGTTCATAATATACGTACATGCAAAATTTCTCCTTTCCTGACTTCATGTTGGTGTTTAATTTTGCAGTGTTTGGATAGGCGGAAGTATATTGGCGTCTCTCGGTTCATTCCAGCAAATGTGGTTCTCCAAGGCTGAGTAAGTTTCATGATTTCACCTGTGTCTTGCTCAGCCATATCAAACGATCTACATTGTAGATGATTAAGAAATCATGTAGAGTGTTTTGGAGTCGTCTACTGATATTTTGCTTCGTGTGATTGCAATTGACAGGTACGAGGAGCATGGGGCTTCCTACATACAACGAAAGTGCCCCTAAAATTCCTGTCTTCTGATCGAGTGCAAGTAGGAAAGGTTTGTGCTTGATGTCAACTTAGTTATTACTTCCAGACTTCAATCACAATTATTTTTTCCAGAAGAAGAAAAATATAAACACGAAATTACATTTCTACTTCCAGGCGTCACGTGCTCCATCACGCTGACCTTTTCCAGAATGATCAAAGCCTCAAAGCCTGTGTTGCCGAAACAGGACAGAGCGATGCTCTGTTTTGTATGAATCGTCACTTATCCTACGTACCGGAAGACATTTCACTGCTGTAGTTTATGTTAATGTCCATTGATTAGGGTTTTTATTGTGGTGCTCACTGTTCGGAGTGTTCATCCAGTTTTAAACCAACTTTGCTACCTCTACTGGTTATAAATGACAAAGCCATTTAACATTTCTAACACCATATGTTGCTCCCGATAGCAGCTAGTTTCTATTTATTAGCTAATCAAAGTATGGCGTTTTTCTCATTTAACCCAACCTCGCCGGGATCTTGCCGGAAAACTCAATGTGTATCATCAGAATCTCTTCCATTTGTCCCTTGCAAAGAGTTGCCGGAATGTTCCCTGAAAACTGATTGCTTGCTCATGTAGCAAATGGTTTTTGGAGCCCTCCCTTTAGCCGGGCCCGAGGCCAATCGCACTTTCTGCCCCGACTCTGGTTAGAGCATCTCCAGCAGTCACCCAATTGCCCTTGCAATTGGGTTGAACTGGTTGAACAAAGCAGGTCCAACGGAGTAAAAACAGGGGCCCCTTCAGCTGCCTTCGCATGTACTGTTGCAGGGATAGAGATCTCTCTGGATCCCTTTCACCTAATCCTCCTCATCAAACAATCCGGACCCTTGAAGTTTGATCCAACGGCTAAAAACACGGGCCTACTTTAAAAATTATAATAACTTTAGCCGTTGGATCAAATTTTAAGAGTCCAAATTGTTTGATGAGGAGGATTAGGTTGAAGGGATCTGGAGAGGATCATTTTCTCCATTGCAGCTGCCCAATTGCAGCAGTGGGACCAACACACGTGACAGCAAGTTCCCTTGCAGACCGTTGGATTTCCAACTGTTCTCTTATTTGGACCATTGGATTTTCAATTTACAAAAAAAAAATTTGAAATTACCAAACAACTCTAAAAAAACATAAATGTTTTTTAAACAACACACGTAAAATTAAACACACGTAACAAAAGGTTTAACTATCTTCTTCATTTGCCTTTTATTTTTTTATTAATTATGCTTGTTTGTAACGCTATGCTTTGTATTTAAAATTAAATTATCAGAGTTAAATAGGGAGTGTTATTTTCAAAGAACAAACTAAGTACATACTTACAAGGCATAAGACATAAAAAATTATATGTGATTAGTAATCGCCATTGTCTTTACCCTTCCTCTTCTCAAACAGGTGCACTTGCACAAAAGCAAATATTTTTCATGGTTCCCTTGCCCTCGCCCTCCAAAAACAGGTGGAGATGCTCTTAGCAAAGATAACTTCTTAGAAAAGCATTAAAAAAATGAAGGGAGATGATTTTTAATTTCTTTTGCATCTCACAAGCAACTCTTTACTTATAACCATCGAATTGACTAAATTAAACGAAAATAATGAACAAGATTAAATAGGAGCGTGTAACCACTCAGTACTACAGTCTGGTATTATTCTTTTCCACTTTGAAGTGAGAGATTTTAGGTTCGAATCTCATGGATGATGAATTCGATACAAATTAGGTTACCCATTGTGTGGCTTAACAGAACTCTTCCTCCTTTAATATAAAAATATCGGTGTACCAGAGCTTTTCGTTAAAGTTTTATTTAAAAAAAAAAAAAAAGCCTGAAAAGGCGCGTTTGGGTTCAGAAACCAAAGTACTCCGCAAAGCACTGGATCATCACCCATCTCAAACCGCAAAGTGGAACACACAGAAACAACAGTACCAACCGTTAGTTGACAGCGGTCACTCAAAACAACCGCTGTTTTTTTCTTTCCAAAAACCAGACAGAGCGAGAGTTTTAAGGTTTTTGGGAAATAAACCCCAATAATTCCCAAAACCTCGACAACAATGGCGGATGAGGCAAAAGAAAGAGAGGAATACTCGCTGCTGAAGGACTTCAGAGCGGAAATTGAACCAAAAGATGGAGCCTTTTCTCTTTGCTTTTGGCTCTACCTCACGAGCTCCGCTGCCTCTCCTGCCACGCTCATTCAGGTCTCTCTCTCTCTCTCTCTTTCCCTTCCTTTTAATTAATGTTTTTAGCTATTACAATGGATGCCCATTTCTCATTTTTGTGTTCTTGATAGTTTCTGATGATTTCTTGGACTTTTTGGTGATCAATTTTTGTTCTTTTTATGTTTTTTTTTTCTAGAGTTGTTCTATGAATTTCAATGCTTGTACAAGTTTGATCTCTGTTTTCAGTTCTTGGAGCGATTTCTGTGAACGATTATGTTCGAATTTGATTTTCCTTTTATGGTTTGGAACATTTTGTGTTTGGTTCTTTGAGTGTGTTCGATGATGTTTGTTTTTTTCGTTTCTTGTATGCAGGAGCAGTCGGGTGCCACTGGAAGTGCGCCCTTTCTTGTTTTGAGCGAGAAGAAGAAAATGGTGCTTTTGCCGTTGGGAATCTTGCACAAGGAAGCTCCTGAAACTTGTGACTTGTCTTCGTTGTCCGAAGATTCATATGTATCTACGGAGAATGAGTTTCCAACGGAGAAATGGATTCATGTTGGGTGTGAGGTATGGCTTATTAGTTATTTAAAGATAGGCTCGTTTCCAAGATTTTGTTTTTGAGCGGTAGGTTAGAATGGGTACTAAACAACAACAACATCAACTACAACAAAAAGCTTTATCCAACTAAGTGGTGTCGGCTGTATGAATCCTAGAACGCTATTGCACTCGGTTTGCGTCAAGTCTTCTGTTAGCTCCGAGTACTCCATGTCTTTTCTTAAAGTCTCTACCGCTAAAATTTTCTTAGTATGCACCTTTTGGGTACTAAAAAGAGAATAAATTTGTTATACATTGGTAGATATAGGACCATAATGCAATTAAGAAGAAATAGGTGTCAAGGAAACAAAAGAACTCAGATTCTGTTTAATGATAAGTTATGCAAATGAAGAAGTTAACTAAGATTTTTCTTGTCCAAAGAAATGAAAAAGGGAAAAAGGGGAAATATGAGAGTAAACATTCAATTTAATTAAGATCCCGTGCCTTCGTAAATAAATTTTGATTGAAACCTGATAAAAGCCGCACTTCTTTGTTGCTTAAGGTGAGGTTTATCAATGCATTATTGTTTTGTTTTTTAGTTTTTATATACTAGAAACAGTTTGACTGTGCCTTGTCGGTGGTGAGATTAGTGTGCACCTTTTGTGTTTAATATATCAAATGCTAAGAGTTTATGACTTCATTTTAGGTTTTGTCTGATACCTTGCGGCTGCATATTGATGGTGAAGCTGTGGGAAATAAATCTATGTCGTCTTTGTTCAACAAGGACTCCATTGCAAGTGGTTTGACGAAGATCATTTTGGTATCTGGTGGCAGAGAGGACAATAGTTTGCAGGGTTACATCTGCAATCACAAAGTTTTGCCTTTAACTTCATCTATTTTGGAATACTATGCTAAGGTGTGTAGACCCTTGTAATTCTTTAACGGGATTATTATAATTTGCATCTCAATTGACTAACTCTCCTAGCCCGTTTAGCCCCCTATCCACCAGAGTAAACGTCTATTCTACTAAGAAATATATTTGTATCGCAGGACCCACCGCTAAAATTATCCATTGATAATTCATCTGCTTCTGAGATTGAGGTAGACAGTGATGGTGTTTGGAGTATTGTTGGCGGCAAGGTTAGTAGTTCATTTCCACAAATTGATAATTCATCTGCTTCTGAGATTGAGGTAGACAGTGGTGGTTGATGCGTTTTATAAAATTGATTTCATTTATACCACAAATCCCAAATATGAACGATGTCAAGGATCCAGTAGTTCTTTTCACAACTTTATCGATTCAAATTTTTATCTCTTCAATTGGATATGCCTATTACTTTTTCAAAAAAAAAAATTTGTCATGCATATACATGATAATCCCAAACATTCTCTAACAATGTTACAATAATGGATGCTATCTAAAGTTAAGGGTTACTGCACTGAGATATTTTCTAACTGATATTGCCACTTTTATTTACCATATCACAGGCCTCGTGTCGCAGGATTTTTTCACTGGATGTTGTACTGTTAGATGCCTTTTCCCATCCTTCAAACCAGGAGTTGGAGGTTTGTATTTGTGTTTTGACATTTTGTACACTTTATGTACTGTTAATTTCACTTTGCAACATTGAATAAATATTAACATGCACAGTTGACGTTGGTTCTCTTTCAGGTTATTGCTTCCCTTGTGTATGCTGACAATGGGGAACCTGTGGAGAAGACAAGTGATGGGGAAGCTCCGCTTTTGGCAAGTCATGATGGGTTTGAATTTGCTTTTTCGGACAGACCAAGTAAAACATTGAAAGGGCATGCGTCTTTTAAGCTCAAGATATCCCAGGTTCTAATTTTGGAAATGAAATAAAAGATCTTTTTGGTTCCTCGTGTTACCATCCCGTAATTTTTTAATTGAAATGTTCCTTTTTCTGAGGTGCAATACACAGAGGTGTATTACTGTGATGAATTTTTTCCATGTTTGCTAGAATTTTCAGTGACTATCCTTCTTTCTCCTTTCAGCTTTCATCTAAGTGTGATAATCGGATGTTCCGCGTAATGTTTCACATCCCAAAATTGGAAAAGTATCCTTTCCTCAAGGCATTCACTCCTCCAATTCGTTGTATCTCAAGGAGCCGCACTACTCGAATATCCACTACAGCATGGAAAAGACCAGCATCTGCCAGTGATCCAGTTAGTTTATCTCAGTTATCGGGATTGGGTGATGAAACCTTAGAACTTCAGCACAGTTCTGTTAATGAAGAGAAACTGAGTCCATCATCAAAACGGTGTAGGTTGGGACAAGATAGAATACGTGCAACTGTTTCCGCCTTGGAGCAACCCGATGACGAATGCAACTCTCATGCTAGAACTGCTAAACAGGTATTCATCTTTTTTCTCTGATTTTCACAAGTGTGCTTCATGATAAGAAAATTTCGAGCGGATGCTTTTGTTTGAGATTCCTATTCTGTTGGAAGTAATATAATGACAAATTAGATAACCCGTAGAGGATAATATAATATCATAACCAAACTTGTCTTCTTCAGTATTTTTGTCACAAATCTTCCTATAGAAGGGAGTCCTTATGAGTAACCAAACTTGCTATTTTTTCCTTCTAAGGATACTGATATTGTAAGGAAAGATATATACTACATTTTCAGTATTAGAAGTATACATGATCCTTTGAGATTTGTAGTTACTACCTTTGAGCATATAATTTGATGATTATTATAGATGATATTTTATTTTTATTTTTTGGCTGGAGAGATGAAGACCGTCATGGAATGATCGTATTTTCAAAAGCTATGTAACCTTTAGAAAACATTTTGTAACATCGAGATATGGTAACGTCTGTTGTGAATATAGACAAGAGTCTGATTGAGAAAAATTGAAAATTAGGTTGAAGCACTTGCGAAAAATGTGGTTGGTAGACCCAACAGTGTTGAAGAAATAGACGACTCCCGAACTGATTCAGAGAGACCCGAAGTGAGAAACCCAGATCTTATGAGTACATCAAGTAGTAGAAATCCAATTTCAGATGCAACTATTTTCAAATACTGCCTAGCAAGTTTATCTGAGAAGACTCTTCTGCTCAAAGAGATTGCCAGCACTGCTTCCAATGAAGAAATTTTGAGTTTTTCCCATCAGGTTTCCTTGTATTCAGGATGTTCACACCACAGGTAATCACTAGTCTTTTTATTAATATAATCATATTACTGGCTGTATCGCTCGAGTTAACAGAACATGTGATGATATCCTATCATACTTGTTGGCGTTAAGAAATCGGATGATATCCTATCTTGCTTGATATTTCACGTTCTTGTTCATTATGACAGAAAAACAGAATATTGCTTGGATCCCAAATTCGCAATACTCCACTGGTGGCCAAACTTAGCTTCCGTTTTAGTTTGAGATTCCAACTAGACATTTCTGTGAAAACTGACTCATGACTGATCGAAAATAATTGTAGGAAGAAACTAGAAAGTAGCAGACCCGATGCGCTCATCTCATTAGATTACTGATAATGTAGTCACTAAACCCCCTTCCTTGTGTATATCGTGTCAATTTACACTAAAGAAAAAAATGGACAAGAGTTTGATCATCTTTTACCCACTGATCCTTGATTTTTGATTTACGGTACCGTATATTACTTATCCTTGTATAATCAGAATCCTTTTTCTTTGTTGTTTATTCCCCCAGGCACCAAGTAGAAATGGCAAAGAGTTTGGTAGAAGAAGGAACTAAAGCTTGGAATTCCATCTCACAAAATAACCGCCAGGTTCCATGGGAGAGTGCAGTTTTTGAAATTGAAGAGCATTTCATGAAGATTGCTTGTTGTAATTCTCGGTCTCTCACGCAGCAGGTACTCTCTCTCTCTCTCTCTCTCTAGTTTACTCTTGGTTGAAATATGTAAGGATTAGACATTTCGAATCTCCTGTGGGATCAAGTATCTCATGCTCATAATACACCTACACCATAATCGACTATTTATTAAAGATTGCTGTATGTCAGACAACCGAATTTGGTGGAGCAATCAACATTACATGATCAAGCTTTCAGATTAGTCGTATTTTTTTCAATAAATTTTAACTTTGTGTTCAATCCACTGAGTTTGTGAACCTTTTCTCAGAAAAGATTTTAAATTCCTAGTCTAGTAGGTTTTTTTATGTTGTATACTTTGAGTTACAGCTTGAAAATGAAAAATTATAAGGTAATATAAACGCCTTGCTAAACTCAAAATTTAAAACACCTGTTAAACGCCCTGGGCTACTTTACGAGTATAGCAGGTTTTTTATTTTTTGAGTCTGAAGCTGAAGGATTGGCGTAATTCGAAGTCTTAGTAAATTCTTAGCAACCTTGATGGTTGTCTCTTTCAAGTCTTTACTCATGTGGAGCTCCAGTGACAGCATCCATGTCATTATTTGGTTCAACTTTCGTTATCGTTGCTTGCTGCGATGAACTTTGTTAACAGAACTTGGATACAAATTATCAGTTGGTTTGTGTGATTCCACAAAGTTTAGGGGTTTATCTTGTTTTTTCTGTTTCGTTCGGCTTTTCTGAAGTTTAATTGCCAAGAAGAAATTTTGTAAAAGAATTAGCTTCCAAAAATTTAGTCTTTTCCTTTGGGAAATGCTTTCAGGACTTTGAGCTACTGAGGAGAATCGCTGGTTGCCAAGAACATCTTGCCAAAGAGAACTTTGAAAAGTTGTGGTGTTGGTTATATCCTGTAGCTTTTACGTTATCAAGAGATGGGATAAATACAATGTGGAGTTCAAAATCTCCCAAGTGGATAGAAGGGTTCATTACAAAGGAAGAATCTGAGACTTCGCTTCAAGGTTCAAGGGGTTTCCAGGAACCTGGAACATTTGTACTCCGGTTTCCTACTTCAAGGAGCTGGCCCCACCCGGATGCTGGCAGCTTAGTTGTGACTTATGTGGGCAGCAAGCACACAATTCACCACAGGCTTATCTCCCTTGATCATATGTTTAGGTGCGTAGTTCGCTTCTTTTGCATTTCCTGATAAACTTTGTTTTTAAATTGCACTTCTGTTGCTTGACTTCGATCAGTAAAGCTTTGATGTTCTGTTTGCAATCTAGTTGTTTCTTGAAATTACTGATGCTGCTGTTGCCTCCCTTATCTTGTAGTCCTGCTGAGAGAGAGCAGAATGCAAAACCACTGCAAGACATGCTTCTTGCGGAGCCTGAACTCTCTCAATTGGGAAGGCAAGAAATTTGTTCAATTTACTTCACCGTGCATTGTATTACCATTTACTAATATTATTGTTCATAAATTTGTTGCTTAAAATTTTGCAGGATAATAAGAAGTCACTAAGCGAGCTAGAGATGCGTAGATAACACCATTCTGTTCGTGCGAGATCAATTTTTTCGGGTGTCTATTATTGCAGTCGTGCATTTTATGTGTAGATTAGTCTTCTGTTATGTCAATATCTCAAAAGTGGAAATGTCCATTTTGTAGAATCCTCAGCAGATTTCAATTGCAAGATTGAACTTTTATGGCCAACTTTTTTTCTGATACAATGAGCTTTGGATGCTAGTGATGCACACAGTTGTGACATATATGTACATTAATCATATGTGATGCTTTGCACATTCCGAATGGCAAATGGCCGTATTGTCAACCTGAAACCAAGAATCAAACTTTGTAATTAATCACATTTACTGATCACTTTGCTCGTAATCTCTTTAACAAACTTGCCTCTACATTACTTATTGGCCCGAGATTTTGTTTCTCTCTATCCCACCCCTCACGTAAGGGGTGAAATAACAAGAAGGGGAGATAAAAATCCGCAACAGGTGAGTTTTCAACTTTTAGCCGTCTCGGTTGATAATACTATAAATGTGGTATAATTAATATCGGCCTTCAATTTTTTTCTCTCTTTCTTTTCGATACAATAATATTTGGAGTTGGGATTTTGAGTATGGAACTTGTCATCAATTAAGTTAGAACATTTTCCTCTCACTTACAAATGAAAATAAATCCGTTCTATAGTTTTAGTGGCAACTTAGGTCTTGTATTAAGTCGCGAATCCCTGCAAGTATGTTCAAGAATTTAGCCTTGTACTATTTGGTAGGATTTGGTAAAGTTGAGAAACGGTTGAGTCCAAATAAACATAAACATAAGGGAAATTTTATTTGGACTCAGTTGTCTTATCTCTACATTCAACTAACAAGTTTTATTGACTAAACTTCCAATTTTACCCTTAAATAAATAAGAATAAGAAAAGAAAAGAAAATAAACATTGGTGTTTTTTTCTCTACACCCCATAACTCCAAAATTGGCACACCAGTGCACTCATTCATTATTTTTGGCAAAACCCACTCAAATAACAGCAAAATATTCTCTTGAGTTCATCAACAAGTCAACTTGCTAGAAACCCTTATCAGCTCTCATTTATAATTTTAGCATAGGTTTTCGGCTGATATGTTTGCTTGTTTGAACCATTATCTGAGAGTTGCCTACTTGCATAAATTATTAAAACTAACAAGTCAGCTAGCTAGAAACCCTTGTTGCTATCTCTTCTAAATAAACACTGACATGGAAGCTTTTTTCTCATATTGCAGAAATTTGTTTCATGTCCAACGAATTGGTAAGAAGTTTTCTCTGCTGAAATTATAAATAAGGGATGCTAAGGGTTTCATGCAACAAGGGTTTCTCGCAAGCTTACTTGTTGATGAACTCAGGAGAATATTTTGTTATATGGGTGTGTTTCGTGAGAAATAATGGAGTGCAGAGGTGTCCCATTTTTTTGAGTTATTGGGTGTAGAGATAAAAATACTAATGTTTATTTTCTTTTATTTTCTTATTCTTATTTATTTAAGGGCAAACTTGAAATTTTAGTAGAGAAATTTTTTTAGTTGAGTGTAGAGATAGGATAGTTGGGTCCAAATAAAATTTCTCAAACATAATTGTATGTTTATGTTGTAAAAACCAAATCAATTTGATATCTGAAAAGACTAAAATATTTATTGTAATATTTCTTTCTAAACCTTATGTGAGTCTTCCCGGCCTCTAAAAGCGTAGACGGTGAAATCACCGACTAATTCCTTCTTTTTTTTTCCCCTATAATAAGCAACTACAACGTGTATATAAAATGGTGAAACACACTCAAAACTCAATTGCAATCCATTCTTCATCAAAATTAACTTGTATATTTTTTTTGTTTCTTCACAAAAAGATGAAAGCCATCAAATCCTCAGTCAAGCAGCTTCAGTTTTCACAATTTTCACCACCATATGGCTGCTTCAGCTTGCTTTCACTAATGGTTTGCTTGCTTTTCACTAATTCTTCAACCCTAATGTCTTGTAAATTTGGAACTTTTGTACATGCGTAACATGATAATGTAGAATTATAACTCTTTATGTTGATGTGTGAAAAATATTATGACTCCACATATTTACAAAAATCATGACCAACAAGGAAGACCTCGAGTTGACGAACCCAAATAATATAGTTGGTGGTATAGAGTTTAAGAAATTGAGCAGTGTTTTGGCAGAAAGAGAGGAAGAAGACGACGCCACAAGACAGAATGGCTGGGAGGGGTGGACGGCAAACAATTTGGGAGTTGAGTTGTGTTGTTTTTTTCGTTGGTTAATTTGGTATAGGTTGGACGGCAAGGTAAGAGAAAAAGATAAACCCTAGGACGTAAAGAGAAAACTTAGGGTCTGAGAAAAAACCTAGACGAGTGATATTATGTAGATCTATGACTCTTTATATTAATGTGTGGAAAATATTACAATATACATAGAATTATAGTAATCTCTATTTACGTAGCAATCCTACACTAATTACAACTGAAAATTACATTCCGATAATACATACTACAATTACAGTGATGATTCCAACTAACATATACCAAGTTAGATATCTAGTAAGAGAACGTTACTCTTATCCTAAACGTTAATTAATCTCGCATGCTCGTCACATTGCAGCAAGAATCGAGCCAAATGAGTACCATAAGTGTTCAAAAAACTTCATACCATAAGTGTTCAAAAAACTTCATCTCGGTGATACAATTCCCCGACGCCAAGCTCCCCTCAGGAAGGCGAGCTTTCAACGTCCAAGTTCTGAATGCGTGCCCAAGTGAGGACTGCACAATTGGGCAAATCCGTCTGAGATGTGGCTCGTTTCACTCCGAGAGACCGATTAACGGGAGAATATTCAGGCGATTGAGCAAAAATGAGTGTCTTGTAAATGATGGGTACCATATTGCCACTGGTGGAACTGTCTCCCTTGAGTATGTTGCACCCAAGCAGATCCCTCTTGCCGTTTCCTCTATATCTTACTCAAACTGATGTATTCATTATGTAATAACACCAAGTAATAAAGAATGCTAGTTTATGAATTGCGGACTTGGATAATGGGATTGAGATCGTCTCTGGATGTCTGTTTGTCGAGCTTGCGGACTAAATAATCTAGACCATTCAAATTAATACTGCGGCCAAGATCAATTTTAACTTTTAAAAATTGAACCTTCCTTTTGTTGTCTAGATTTCTTTAATAAAGAAAAAAACCTCTTTTTTTTATATTATTTTTTTAAACAAACGATATTATTATCTACATTAAGAGCACTTCCAGCGTGTGCTCTCCCTTGAGGGACAGGCCAATGAACAGTGCCAGAGAGCCCGAGCAACCAAGTCCAGCGTGTGTTGGCGGTGGAGCACGAGCGGGCCCGAGGGAAAGGTCTGGCACTAGTTGCCAGCTCGAGAGCCCGAAGGTAACGTGATGTGGGCTGACGTTAGGGTGGCGTCAACCATAATATAAAATTAATAAAAAAAATAAAATATTAATAAAAAAAATTAAAAAAGTGTAAAACCCAGGCTTCGAACTCAACGGCTCTTGCCGGAGTTCGTCGCTGAGGTTGATGAACACCCACAGACAAATGGCAGAGATCCCCCTCCGCCGCAACTGCCGTCACACCCCACACCGCCTTCACCCCCATGCACTCGTGATCCTCCTCCTTCCACTGGCGCACCAAGATTGCACGATTTGGGATTTGTTTTCTGGGGAAAGAGGAGAGAGAGAGAGAGAGAGTTTGGTAAGGGAGCGGGAAAGATCGGGACTGTTGATGGAGGCCGAGGTGGGTGGCATGGTGAAGATGGAGGAAGAGAGGCGGCGGTGGGGTGGTGAAGATGGAGGAAGAGAGGAGGAGGGTTTGCTTGCGTTGGGGGGGGTTGTGGGGGGGACATGGGTTGAAAAGAAAATGTTTGGGCTTTTGGGATGGTGCCAATGCACCATGTGAAAGAGTAGAAGAATAAAAAATAATAAAAAAAAAGGTTTTGGATTGGGATCATCATGTGAAAAGAAAAAAATAAAAAAAATAATTTTTTTTTAATAGAGAATGGTACAATGAGACCGATAAAAAATTTTATCTGAAATTACAAATAAAATTATTTTGTATTATTTAAAAAAAAACACTAATATTTTTTTATTTATTGCCAAGGCTATTCAAGTGCAGAGATGCAAAAGGTAGTTACTGTTTATTAAAAACAATTACTGTTCACTAGGTGGATTAAATAGTGAATAACCTAGGAGAGGGTTTCCCACGGTGGAAGTGCTCTAAGAGGAGATGTTGGGCTTAACCTCAGAGTTGATCAATAATAATATGATTCAAATTCATTTTTGACGATAATCGAATTAAAAATCTCTCACTTACATTTGAAGAGAAATATCATTAGATGATATATTTTCAAATTTTAAGGGTAAAATGGGAAAGTAAAACTCAGATAAGATTTTGGGTCCCAATTCTCAAACATCAAAAGCAATGAGTGCTATCGGGTATCAATAAGCGTCATCGCTCTGGAAACTTCAGTCGGAGAGAGAGACAGAGAGCAATGAGTGCTATCCGAGCTGCAGTTTTCTCACTGTCAAATCAATGGCACGAACAAGTTCAAACCCATTTCCCAACCCACCCAAACAGATCAATCAACAACGCAAACCCAAATCTTCAATCCAATAGAAGAAACCCATTTCCCTGTTTCTCCGTAGACGCATCAAAATCCCCAAACCCAGCAACCCCGCCGCTCGTGGTGGTCGGCTCAGCCAATGCCGACATCTACGTCGAAATCGACCGTCTACCCAAAGAAGGCGAGACCATATCAGCCAAGAGCGGCCAGACCCTGGCTGGCGGCAAAGGCGCCAACCAGGCTGCCTGCGGCGGCAAGCTTTCTTACCCAACATACTTCGTCGGCCAGGTGGGCGAGGACGCCCATGGGAAGCTGATCACCGAGGCTCTGGAGAGCGGCGGGGTGTGCCTGGATCGCCTGAGTGCGGTTTCTGGGGCGCCCACTGGGCATGCGGTGGTGATGTTGCAGTCTGATGGGCAGAACTCCATCATCATTGTTGGTGGGTCCAACATGGAGTGCTGGCCTGAGAGGATTTCTGATGAGGATTTGGAGGTTGTGAGAAATGCTGGGATTGTTTTGCTTCAGAGGGAGATTCCGGAATCTGTCAACGTTCAGGTTGCAAAGGTCAGGGCTTTCAGTTTTTTCAATCTATAAGTTCCCATTTTGCTTAGGATATTGCTCGATTGTGGTAGATTAGGATCAAATGATCTTGCTATCTACTTGTAGCATATGCGTGGATTCAATTAAATTTCTGTGTTATTTTCTGCCATGTTTATTCCCCACTGCTGGGCAATGAAGTGAGTTACTAATGGCAATTTATATGAAAATTATTCCACAGCTGTAAATGATTAAATTGGTGTGAAGTCCTATTGATTTTTAGGTCCTTGAGTCTTGAATTGAGGCCTGTGTCTTGTAAACAGCAGAGCACCATATAGGATCTCTGCAGGCATAAGGTAATTTGCTCAATGTGGATCCCATAGCAGATCACGTGTAGTCACGTAGCCCCTGTTTGGCACACCGTATAAGACACCGGATATTACTAATAATACGGAGTACGGTGTTTGGTGTCTGTTTGGATTAAATAGCCACCGGATTAAATAATCCGGCCCCACTTCCTTTATCCGGCTGATACCCGCTTAGTTGTACCGCCCAAAACCATGGTATTATTTAGTCGGGTAGAAGCACGCCTCTCTCTGTTCCGCCCTCCTGCAACTTCTCCTCCTCCTCCTCTGTTCCGCTCTCCTGCAACTTCTCATCCTCCTCCTTCTCTGATCACTGCGAACTGCGTAAGCGGAGGAAAGAGGAGAGTCGCGATGGACTGACGAAACTCAATGGTTGTAGCTGTCCTGCAGCAATGGCTGCAGTGACCGAGATTATCTTTATCTTCTCTGCGTTTCCCTTCACCGCGGCTGCTGCACGTTGTTGTTCCGATACTTCAATGGCTGCTGCATTCCCGTTTTGGCTTCCGTTTGACATCGGTGGTGATGCTTCAAATGACAGAGAGGTGGAGATGTGAGAGGCTTCGGTGTAGGACTCGATGAGAGAGAGGACACGAACGGGCTTTAGGATCTGCTTCTACATCTGAGGGCGTTGATGGTCTTTGTAGAGTGCCCGTCTCCATTTCATTTTGCTTTGGGAATGGGAGAAGCAAACTGCTTCTTTTTCTGCAGTGCAAAGTGAAGAAACAACAGTATAAATATTTTGAATTCCATTAATCATCAAAGTGCTTTATTTTGAATTCCATAAATATTTCTGCAAAGTGCTTTTTTTTTTTCCATTAATCATCAATTTTTATCTTAAAAGTAATAATATTTTGAATTCCTCCTATCCGGTATAATACCAAACACAGTATAAATAATACAATTATTAGTCCGATATTGCACCAAACGTCCGACTAATTTAGTCAGTACTATCCGGTGGCTATTTATCCTATCCAACATAAATAGTCAGTACAGTTCAAGCTGCCAAACAGGGCCTAAAGTACATGACAGTAGGTCTGTTTGTAGGCATCAAGAGCGACCATAACTTTCAATTCCTCACGTAAGTTTATTTACTTTGAATTTCAATGTTGTGTCCCTTTATATAGCAGATGTGACTGTAAACATTTTGATGCCATTAATTGTTGTTGTGTTCGTAACAAATTTATAAACTGATATACTATTTTGTAATTAGGCTGCCAAGAGTGCAGGTGTACCAGTCATTTTGGATGCTGGAGGGATGGACATACCAATCTCCAGAGAACTATTGAACTTTGTTGATATTTTGAGTCCCAATGAAACTGAGCTTGGTCGTTTGACAGGAATGCCGACTGAAAGCTTTGAACAGATTAGTAATGCTGTGGTGAAACTCCATAAAATGGTAAGTTGTGCGACACTGAGTAGTTTTCATAGCTTTGAACAGATTAGTCAAGCTTCTAGACTGTGTTTTCTATGATTTGAAGATTTTTGTTATTATCGTTGCATAATTTCGTATTCGGTGTTATATCATCTTGGACAAAAAGGGAAATATCTTGCAGATATCGAAATCTGATCTTTTCATGACATTCTGATACTGTTTCCATCAGCTTTATTGCATTGGCCCTTATGTTGTCAGATAGTATTGATTTTAGCTGATAGTAGGTCATGTAATCACACCGGGAAGGTGCTCTTATATTCTAGCTTGACTAAGGCGTAATTTTGTTTTATGTCTAATTTCAGGGCGTTAAGCAAGTCCTGGTGAAACTTGGGGACAAAGGGTCCGCCCTATTTGTAGATGGTGAAGAACCACTCAAACAACCAGTCATATCTGCTGCCAAAGTACTTGATACTACTGGAGCTGGTGATACTTTTACAGCCTCTTTCGCGGTGGCTCTTGTGGAGGGCAAGTCCAAACGAGAATGCTTGAGATTTGCAGGTAGGGGCGACAACACCTGTTATTCTGTTTTGAGTACGTTCCTTATAACACTTTCGTTGATGATTCTTTTCTATTCTCATTTTACCAGCTGCGGCAGCTTCTCTTTGTGTTCAAGTAAAGGGAGCCATTCCTAGCTTGCCGGAGAGAGAATCAGTTTTGAATCTTCTTCAGTCTCTCTGAGGATAGCTTCTACATAAGATAGGTACAATAAATTTTCGACATGCTTGTTGGATTTTTCCTTTATCTAAACAGTTAAGGTCTATTATATATCCCAGAAGCTACTCCTACAAGCAAGTTGGTATTGCTATGCTTTGAAAAAAAGCTGTTTCTGCTGTGCTGTGAGAATAAGCGGCTGTGAAATAAAGCAGCAGAGTGTTTGGTAAACTTTTTTGTAAAAGTGCTTTTGGAAAAAGAAAAAAAAAGCAGTATGATAGTGTTTGGTAAACTTTTATGCAAAACAGCTGTGATTGTGTGAAATGACCAAAAATGGTAGAATACTAAATGTGCTATTAATTTAATTTTCTTAACAAATAGTTAATTTTCTTTACAATTTTTAATCCACTATTGCCATTTTTTTATTTCATTCCAGCATTATCTAGTCATTATTCTTACAATATTTTAATCCACTTTGCCATTTTTTATTCCATTCCATTATTGTATGGTCTTCTTGTTCAATGATACAACTGCAAGCACTCCATCCAAATCCTCTCTTTCTCTGCAAAGCTCAAATCACCCTCTTTTATTTATTTATTTATTTTTTGTGAAAAAACCCATATCAAAATTCTTCATTTTCGTCGCCATCGGGGGTGCCCCGATCCCAATCGACCGAAACCGGTGCAATGCAGCACATCGGGTTCATCTTCAACCCCAATCAGACCATCCAATCAGACAAAAAGCGAATTCGATCGTTGAAATCCGAATCCCTTCCAGCACCAATCAAACGGCTCCAATTTATACAAATGCAAGACCCGATCCAAAGTCAAAACGAACCTTAAAGACTCGGAGCTTCTGGTTCTAGAGAGAGAAAGAAAAGAGAGAGACAGAGACTCATGAAGAGCTCTGCGCAGCAAGAAGGAGAAATGGAGGAGGGTATTTTTGAGATTGTGAAAGTTTCATTAAATTCTACTATTCACTCGCCTCTTGAAAAAAAAAAAAAGCTAGTTTTGAGAGCTGCATTTTGCTGCTTCAGCTTTTTGCCACTTTTCAGCTTCAAATGACAGTGACTTTGAAAATAAGCTAAGTTACCAAACACAAATTTTACTCCAGCTTTTTTTCATCCCAGCTTTTTTTTAAATCACCTCAACACCAAATCATACCTTAGTCCGAGGAATTCTAATGCGGGATGAAAAATGGGGGCATCAGTGATGACATGAGAGTGCATTCACTCGCTCATTCTCTCGCTCTTACATCCCGCATTTTTAAGGATTCCTCGGTTTAGTATTCGTTATGGAATCGCCCTATAGCACTCGCACTCTACGCGATGCTCCTCTGGAGGAATACATTCTCTCCGGAAGCCAGTTGTTATAGGAACCGAATATGAGCAAATTCAGAGCATCCAGATATGGTGGGGTGGGTATTTAGCACTGCCAACATTTATTTTATTTTTCTAACACTTATACTTTATGTTTTGTCAACTGATAGTGGTTTTTTAGCCCTAAAAATAAATTGGATCCATCTTGATTCATATTTGAATTCATTTATAATTTTAATTATTGGATCGATGTTGCATCGACGTTATATTTTGAATGCATAATAAAATAAAATAATATGTTATAAACCTCAAAAGGGGTCTAGTGGAGAGGGAGTAAAAATTTGGAACTCTCATTCCGAGTTTAAACTCTCACAGATGTATTCTTTGAGGTTATTGACTCCGGTTTGGCACACCGGTTAACCTAAGGGTTAAAAATACGACGCTACTTTCATATGATACTGAAGTTGTATGGGAAGGAAATTAGTTTGTCATTAATACATGACTCGTTTGGAAGTGTTTTTAAAATCGCTGAAAGCGCTTTCTTTGGATTTTAAAAGCATTTGAAGTGCTTCTGTAAGAAACATCAGTTATGTGTTTTTTTCAAAAAGCACTTTTAAGTGTTTTTTCAGGATTTACTTGTATTTTTACTAAGGATTGATTCCAAAAATATCTTCGTCAAAAGTGTTTAAACCATTTTAAAAGCATTCCCACACAAGCTCATAGAATACATCTTATAATAAAAAAGAAAAAGGAAAGTATGTAATATATTATTCTGGTTGAGTTTATCATTGTATTAGATTAACCGTAACCAATACTCCATCCATTGTCAAACCTTCAAATACGGATTGTATTCAAATTATCGTATTAAAAGTTACAATTCATATCCTATTAATTACATCAAATTTGGATCACATTTGAATCAAAATCCGATTCGCCCCTCTAATAAGAATTTTGTTTGATCAAACCCTAGTTTTTTTGCCCTTCAAGGTAAATAATGAAAAACAAAACGTAACATTTAGAGTTGAAAGCAGAAAATTTGGAAAGATAAAAAAAGTTGAAAGCAGACAAGGAAAAGAAAAAAAAAAAAATTCTATGTTTTGCCTTTTTGTGGGTAAAATTTAGGGTTTAAAATTTTTTCGATAAAATATTAAAAAATCAAAGAAAGATATGAAAATTGATGAAGAAACTTACAAGCTTGGCTAAAATCGACATTTAACATCGATACTTTCATATATGTTAAATATTAGAGAAACTTTTATATTTCGTCCAAATTATTTGTTTTTTTAACAAATAATATTTTTTACACTAAAAAGAGGATGTGAGCGTAGTCTCACAATAGACAATATTTTCATCATTTCATTCTAAATTTCCATCATTTCCACCGAAATCATATTTAGCAATATTTCTAAAAATTTACATAATCATATTTTCATGATACCAGTAGGGAAGTGTTATTGGCACTCCAAAAATCTCATTGTACATTCGTGTATTTTTCTTTCTTAATATAAGATGTTTGGAATGTAGCATGAGATTTTTGAAGTGCTAATAATAATTTTTTACCGATATTTTAAGCAGTGTAAAGATTTCTTGCCATTTCGGTCAGTCCGAGGAATAGTCTTTCCTATATTTTGGGGCGTTTCATTCTTTTCGCCCTACAACCCTTCCTTCCTTCTCTTGGGCGGCGGCAGTGAGCGACCGAGGCCCCAAGTCTTCACAACTAGGGTTTCAAGAAACCGAGACGGGGACTTCGAAATCGAAATATCACGATTAAGGTCTTGCACTGAAACGAAAAAAACCCTTCACTTCCGTGTCAGGTAACTAGATTTCCTTCTAACAATTTGGTATCAGAAATGTGGAGTCTGAAATTTGGATTTACAGTTTTAGCTTAAATGTCGTCCCTAACATTGTTTGTGTACTTGGAAATTATAGAAATTGGTGTGGAAGAAACGGGATTAGGGGTAATTTCATTGATGTTTAGTGTAAATTCATTGATGTTTAGTGTAAATTTTATTGATGTTTTCGGTTGTGCGTGTGATGGGCATATTAGATAATCAGTAAAGTTTAGAAATTTTAACAATTTATTGTTTTGGTTTGGCTGGTTGAATTTGATGCTTCGTCCATGGAGGTTTTGCATATGTGTGTGATAAATTTGGATGAAGCTTTATATGTATGTTTAGCTTTATTCCTTTTTCCGTTGTTCTTTTATTTTATTTTTCTGGATGCTTTCGAAAACACACGCGGATACTTGATTTTGCAGATTGAATTGTAATAATCAGTTGTCTTTTGCCTGTTACAGACAGTTGTTTGGGTAACAATACTCAGCTGCCGTCTCAAGCTATTTGCTTTGGCGGGAGTTTGAATTCCAACTCCTAATGGCTGACGATTCCACGCCTTCAAGTGCCCAGCTTGCGAAAGTAACCTTAAACAACGCTCCCTCCGTTCTAAAAGCAGAGTTTTCCGACAGAGTTCTCATCCGTTCCATTATTTCGCGACCTGATGGAGGGTCTGGGTTGGCCGGGCAGACGGTCCGGATTGGTGGGTGGGTGAAGACTGGTCGGAAGGCAGACAAGGATGCATTTGCATTCCTGGAGCTGAATGACGGGTCATGCGCAGGCAACCTTCAGGTGATTGTAAAAGCTGACAAGTATGACCTTGGGCAGCTTGTACAGACTGGTACTTGCCTGTCTGTGGATGGTGTGCTTAAGCTTCCCCCTGATGGGAAAAAGCAGAAGGTGGAGCTTGATGTTGAGAAGGTGGTCCATGTGGGTCCGGTTGACCCAGCTAAATACCCATTGCCCAAGACCAGGCTCACCCTTGAGTTTTTGAGGGACCATCTTCATATGCGTTCCAGAACCAACACTGTAAGTTGTTTGCATTAATTGGAAACACACTTAATCTCATAAACGCATAAACACAGATATACTAAGTGCCTGTAAACATTTAGATTTTTACTTTTACCCTTGGGTATGTTTGATCTGTCCACTTTTTCTAATTTTGTTTATCAATCTGATTAATACACTATAGTGACTATACATATACAGTATAATTTTAGTTGGTTCTGTTTGATTAGAAACTTGATTAACATGTACTTATCCATGAGTATTCTGTGGTATAAGTGGTGGAAAGGAAAAGATTTTGAATTTTTTCACTAATGGGTATATAGTAGTTATCACCTTGTTTTATGTAAAAAAAAAAATGAAGAATAGTAGTAGTTACTCAAAAGAACGATTGTGCTACGGCTAATTCCAGCTGCATGTTTTTTCCCTTCTTGTCTTAGAAGGCATAAGGCAGTTGCTGGAAGAAGCAAAAAATTTGATGGCATTGAGTTTTTTCTGCTATTTTATGGTGTTTTACCTTATTTGGTTGGAAAGGAAAAGAAGAATTTTTTGAGAATCACAATGGGAGGGGATGTATGTGTAAATGGATGAAGTGAGATTGGCCTTCTGTTTGTGCTTCAATTGTTTTCACATTATAAGTCATTACTTTTTTGTTTAGATTGGGAAGCAGCTATTTCTTAGGAGCCTAATTAATGTTTTGGTTTTCGACTTGTGTTAGAAAGTGAATTGTTTTCCATTTTAGCGTACTGCTTACTGATGTACTGCTGATTTTGGATAGCTTGTCTGCTCTTATTAATTTTTTATTAATAAATCTCTGTTTCGTATAGAAAATCATAATGGAGTATGAAATTAGTGGAGCCCTTTTGTTTTTTTCCCCTTTTAAAAAGAAGGTTGATTGAACATGACTTTGGTTTTTTATGGAGAGATGTTAAAGGGCAGTCATTGTTGATGATAATGTGTTAACTCTTAGCCTCCGTCTTGCTTGTAGAGCATCTTATACTTTTAAAAATTAATGTTTGATTAGTGTGAATCTGCTTTCAGATCTCTGCAGTTACTCGAATCAGAGATGCCTTGGCATTTGCAACCCACTCATTTTTCCATAAGCATGGATTTCTTTATGTGCAAACTCCAATTATCACCACCAGTGACTGTGAGGGTGCTGGTGAGATGTTTCAAGTCACAACCTTGATTAGTGGAGCTGAAAAGTTGGAAAAGGATCTGATTGAGAACCCTCCTCCATCAGAAGCAGACATAGAGGCTGCCAAGCTTAATGTCAAGGAGAGAGGAGATGATGTCGCTCAGCTGAAATCTGCTAAAGCAAGTAAGCAGGATATTAATGCTGCTGTGGCTGAGCTTAAAAAGGCAAAGGATAATGTCTTCAAACTAGACGAGCGATCTAAGCTTCAACCTGGTATCCCTCAAAAGGATGGGAAGATTGATTATACCCAAGATTTCTTCGCCCGTCAAGCCTTTTTGACTGTTTCTGGCCAATTACAAGTCGAATCTTATGCATGTGCTCTTAGTAGTGTCTATACATTTGGGCCTACTTTTCGAGCTGAGAACTCCCATACTTCAAGGCATTTGGCAGAGTTTTGGATGGTGGAGCCAGAAATTGCATTTGCAGAACTTGAGGTATGTGAAGCTGTATTGTGGTCAAATATGCATTTTGTACTTTAATGTTAGGTTGTATATATGCCCTCTATGTTATGTCCTTGTGTTATGATTCGGTCACTTCCACTGAATAACATGTTTATATGAAAAATCCTGGTCTCTGATCCACCTTTCAGCAGTCTCTCTTAACAGGCTTCCAATAAAGGTTTTACATGGGCCCTCTTTTCATTGTTGTTCTGGTTTAATTCCCATTTGTTTCTTCTGTCTTCATTTGAATTTTGAAGTATTGTTGAAGGCCCCTCATACTCACTGGTCACTATTGCTAGTGATGAATTATCTGCAAGATGATGGCAACTTTCATGTCGAAATGCTTTTTATATGCAATAATTTTAATAACAAAATCCTCAGCATTAGGTTCACTTCGCTACAATATGTATCTTTACAGTGGTCCAAGAAAACAACTATCTGGCCTTCTCTTAGGATTCTCTCTATTAGAATTCACATCTGCTTTCTAGTATCCTTAGTTTGAAGTATTGTTAAGGGTCCTTTATTTTCAAAGTTCATTGTTTAGATGGTTGTCTGAATTCAATTCTCTCTCTCATTTTTGAATGCTTTGTAAGATGAAGAGAATGGTTTGTTTTCTGCGGGAACATAGGAGCAGCCTCTTAACTTTCAGTTCATGATTTTTATTATTTTTGAATCCTATTGTTGTGCAGATGTCTTACAGTTCGTGTATTCATGTAGGATGATATGAACTGTGCAGAGGCATATGTGAAATTTCTGTGTCAGTGGTTACTTGATGAATGCAGGGAAGACATGGAATTTATGGCTGACAAAATTGATAAAACTTGCATTGATCGTCTAGCAATGGTTGCTAAAACACCCTTTAAACGGATTAGTTATACAGAAGCAGTGGATCTGCTAATTGATGCTGTGAAAAAGGGTAAGAAGTTTGAGAACCATGTAGAGTGGGGGATTGATTTGGCATCTGAGCACGAAAGGTAGCCCCTTAGGATTATTCCACTGGTTTGTCGTATTATGGTTACTGATTAAATTGAGCTTACCAGTTCATCCTGATTTTTGCAGATACCTGACGGAGGTATTATTTCAAAAGCCTGTTATCGTTTACAACTATCCTAAAGGTATCAAAGCATTCTACATGAGGCTCAACGATGATTTGAAAACAGTGGCTGCTATGGATGTCCTGGTACCAAAGGTGGGTATTATACTCTGAACTTTGTATCATTGAGTTCACTGCTCTGTTGTATACTTCAGCATTGTGTCTTTCACTTATCATATATGGTTTTCTTATATTTCAGGTGGGAGAGTTGATTGGGGGAAGCCAAAGGGAAGAGCGTTACGATGTTATTATCAGCAGGTATTATTCTGTTTTAGTGATTTTATCTGCCGTTATTATTTTTTTATTATTTCCAGTGGAGTCATCTCCTGCACAATTTTTTCCCCATACTTGGGAGTGGATAGTTTTATGTAATGTTTGAATAACTGACAAATGTATGTATTGCGTGATGAATCTATTACTGCAGGATTGAGGAGATGGGTCTGCCTGTTGAGCCATATGAGTGGTACCTTGACTTGCGGCGCTTTGGGACTGTCAAACATTGTGGTTTTGGTTTAGGATTCGAACGAATGGTTCTGTTTGCTACCGGGATTGACAACATTAGAGATGTGATTCCTTTCCCTAGATATCCAGGAAGGGCAGATCTTTGAATTAGTCTATAGATTGAAAGGGACATATTCGAATTAGTTGTTATGTCCTATGCCTTTATCTACGTTAAATACAGTATTGGCCGACCATCATAAGGAAGAACATAGAACAAAGAATTGCTGTTTTCAAATCGATGTCATATTCGAGAAGCATATCTATTAACATATCTGTGTTTTGTTGATTCTCAACTTTAAATTGTGTTTCGTGTGATTTCCGGAGCTCCATTTTGATCTTGATTGTGACTTCTTGCGTGTGGGAAGATTATGGATGCATGATTTGTTGCTGGTTGATGTAATTTCTCCTCCATCGATTGTTTCTTTACCTTTCTATGAGCATGTGAGAGAGTAACACCTAGTTCTTGAATGTGTGCCACGCTTTTGATTAGCTATTTCTGGCTTCCTTTTGTTGCGTTTGTTTGTAAATCCTGTCCAGATAGAAACACGATTAGCTGAAGACATTTACAAACAAAACCACAAGACGCTTACGTGCAATTTAAACACTAAGTTGGCGGTGTTCCAAACTTATCACTTTTTGTTAAGTGTCACCTATTTCATTTGGTCACAGCCGCATTGTCCTTGTTACATGCATAATTTTCCAAACACGACAAGTTCGTCTAGTCGTCCTCTTTTCGTCTCTACTCACATTTCGGACCAAAGGCTGAAACAACCAATCAAACTTGAATCAATCCTGAATGAAGCCTGCAATGGGAGGACTTATATGTCACATATACATTGTCACAGTGACGTCTTGGGCCAAGTAAAAATATGTGTAAGTTTTAGTTCATATGCCATTGTTTCATTGGTACGAGAGGTCACATGACAGTGTACCCTTACTACATAAGTAGTTCTCCTGCGATATATAAGGATGAGGTTCATATGCATACATGCGTGTGCATGCACTTTTGATAGTCGTACTACTATCTTTTCTCGTCTATATAAAACTTTCTGAACTGATCATCTCCCTACGCATTGCATTGGACCCTCTCTCTCTCTCTCTCTCTCTTCTTATCGTTGATCACCATTATTCTATCCTGATTTTTCACTTACTAATGAAACACTATGAACTTTTACTTGTTTTTTCTCCTAATCCTTCTAGTCTCCCATGATCTGTTTGCTCACTCAAGTTTGGCCACAAGAAAACTACAAGGTCTCTCTCTCTCTCTCTCTCTCTCTCTCTCACGCGCGCCCACATACACAAAATATACATTCTGATGAGTGCTACTTGACATGAACGTGTGTTTGTTCAGATATGGAGACCAAGACTAAGAAGTTAAGAGGAGCATCAAATAATTTTTGGGACAAGGTAACTACTGACCGATCATACAGCATACAAACTAGGATTATGTTTCTCTTCTCTTTCGCACACGCATTTCTTGATGTATTTCATGTCATCAGCAGCTGTACTATTCATCATCTGTCGAAGGAAATCATCATGTCAAAAGGAAAGCGTTGCACGAAGTACATTCAGGAGCAAATCCTATCAGTAATTCTATCAATTCCTGAGCATAAAGGGCGGCATCATCTTACAATCGAAGAAGTGCCCGCCCATACTCTTTTATTTCCTTCATCATATATTCTTCCTTAATTTGAATAGCTAGCTGCTCCAAAATGCATAAAAATTAATGATTAAAAATGCACTGTAGATTTCATTCAAAAGTCAAGTAATACTGTGCGTCTTTCAACTCAACGTAAAGATGTCGATTCCTTTCCCACGTTGAGTTGTGAGATAAGGCTATCAAGATTGCCATGCATCGTAAAGTATTCTAAAGTAGTGGGAAAATGACAAATTAAAGCACAAAAAAAGAAAAAAAAAAAAATCACTTCAGCCACCTATTCAGAGCACTTATCCTATGAGTTTCAAATTACAACTGTTGGTACTTTGATATAAATTTTGAAGAAAATAATTACAGGACCATCAATATCGTATGGTACTATTTTCTTATGTTAAATTTGTAGGTATACGTATTAGCAAGTTTTGCATGTATCTTGCTCACAAATCTGCCTTACTAATTAATTAGGTTCTGTTTGTAAATCTTAACGTAGTGATAAAGCAATTACGTAAAAAATGCGAAGAATTGGTTGGAAGGGGCAAGGGAAAAAATGCTGAGATTATATTATGCAAGAGAGATAAAATAATCGCGCTTTGAGTGAGACACACACACGAGGATATTCCAATCTCATCAAAGATTTTCCCCACCTATAGATGCCTACTGGTACAGGATGTTTTGCATTGTATAGATTATAGCTAGCTGCTGTAGTGATACTTCAGAGGAGATGGATTAATGGAGCAGTGACTAGAGGGCCTAAAGAGCCTGATTGATTTGCTTTAAGACGGCAGAGGGTCACAAGGCAGCAAAAGGCTAAGTTTTTAGTTGACCAATGACATATCATGAACCGAAAATATATGATGAATTTAGGAACAATTCTAGGTAAATCAACATTTTAGATTAGAGTAATGTTAGAGAGATTAAATTTTGTAAATCGCATGATGTGATTGTTGATGATTAGATTAGTACTTAATGTTGATTAATGTGCTTATTTATTATTGATGAACATTATTTGATTTGCAAATTTGGTTTCAAATTTTGGTCTCCTTAGCATTTTCCTTTAGATTAAATTGGCAAAAAAATGTTGTGTGTCATAAATATAAAATAAACACGTTAATTAATATTTAAGGAATAATTCGATCATACGTTATATGGTTTATAAAATTTGGTCTCAATAATTAGTCTCTCTAAAGTTACCGTTAAATAAAAGGCGTCTAAGTATATGTGAGCGTTTAATTTGTACAAAAGATTGACTAAAACTTAAGTGTTTATTGGTCGAGAGGTTCTAAAAAATGCAGGAGGATCCTCTTCAGATTCTGTTTGTAAGGATCTCAAAAATCATTTAATCATATTTTTTTTATTATACATCGTGCGGTCAGAAATTATTATAAATTTTTTATTTAAAATTGAATATAAATAATAACTGATAAAAATTGATCACACAATATACAATAAATAGATATAATTGAAGGATTCTTGAGCTCGTCACAAAGATGTTGAATTGATTGGTGAAGATTTTTTTGATCTAAAATTAAGCAGAAAAAGATGAAATGACATTATGAAAAGTACGATTGTACAATTATAATTAAAAAAAAAAAAAAAAAGCAAATTATTCTTTTCGTTGCTGTTTGCTTTGTAAAAGCGTTTGTGCCGGATATTTTCCCCCTAGATGGACGTTCGGTGATTTGATCAAGAGGGTCAAGATCAATGAGCATACACACAGCATTTTACTCTCTCTATTTTTCATTTTTTTTGTTTCTTTGTTTGTTAGGCATCAGAAATGTTTTGAGCTCTTGGGTTGACAGTATGTGTTGTGCAGCTATGCTTGTTCTTGTTGTGAGGTTTCAGTGCCCTCTCGGCTGTCGGAGCTATCTGACCACAAACGTTTCAAAGACTTTCTATGATTTGCTAGAATACTTCTTGGCTTCTAGTGAGTGAGTGAGTTTAGTGCTGAAGACACAAATATACTTTAGTTTTCAGTAATTCGACAAAATTATCATAAAAAATTAAAGGATTTTAAACCAAAATGGTCTCTGAGATTTGCATAACACATCACTTTAGTCATTGAGATTGAAAATCAATAGAAATGGTCTCTGAAATCTACCATCCATTATTTTGGTCATTCCGTTAAAAACTCCGTTTAGTGTCTCAGAGATCTTGGCCGAAAGTTTGAGCAATTTTCAAAGTTTCGTAACTCAATCGTTTCTAAACCAAATTTGACTTGTAATATATCAAAATGAAGATCGGAAAGTGTAGCATAAGATTATACCTATTTAGCAGTCCAATGGTTGTTGGAGATGGCCGGAAAATAGCCTGAAAGGTGACTGGTCTGGGAAAAACTGGAAAACTCACCCGAAACTGGGTAAACTTTAAACGTTCATAACTTCTTCAATACTCAACGAAATCGAGTAATTTAAAAACAAAAATCATACTTCTCAACGAGACAAAGAGAATTGTCCTTCTTGACGGCTAATTCGATGTAGTTTGGCCGGAAAACGGCTCAAAAGTGGCTAATTCGAGACCAAGACAACCACTTTTGAGCCGTTTTCCGGCCAAACCACGAAGATTTAGCCATCGGGAAAGGTACCATTATCTTCGTCTTGTCGAGAAGTATGATTTTTGTTTTTGAATCACTCGATTTCGTTGAGTATTGAAGAAGTTATGAACGAAAGTTTACCCAGTTTCCGGCTAGTTTTCTAGTTTTTCTGCGGACCAGTCACATTTCAGGCTATTTTCCGGCCATCTCCAGCAACCATTGGGCTTCCAAATAGGTATAATATTGTTCTACACTTTTCGATCTTCATTTTGATATATTATGGGTCGAATTTGGTTAAGAAACTATTGAGTTACGAAGCTTTGAAAATTGCCCAAACTTTCGGCCAAGAGCTCTGGGACATTAACGAGTTTTTAACGGAATGACCAAAATAATGGATGGTGGACAATCTTAGGGACCATTGCTATTGATTTTCAATCTCAAGGACCAAAATGATGTGTTATACAAATCTCAGGGACCATTTTGACTAAAAAGCCAAAACTAAATAACATTGACATTTCTTTATTTTCACTCTATCACTTAATCCTCGTTCAAGACCATTGGCAAGCGGATATCAAAGTTGGTTATGGCACTTCAGGACACCATCATTGAAAGAAAATTCAAGGTTGGTCATTTTATTAACCCTCCTCCTACCAATCGTCTTATAAATTATGACTCCCGACTCTATACATATTGTTTTATTGATCATAACAATACTGACTTAGCATTTAGTAATATGGTCTGGTGGTATTCCTCTTCACTTGTAAGTGAGAGGTCTTAGGTTCGAATCTTGTGGATGACGAATTTGATATCAAATTAGCTTGTCCATTGTGTGGTTTAGCCGAACTCTCACTTCCCTTTAGTGTAAAATGTATCGTTGCACTGGAAAAAAAAATACTGACCTAAAGAAAAAAAATGAAAGAGTAGTACTAAAGGGTGGGAATGTACGCTAAGCACACAAATGATATATCGGTCAAGTACTTAGCGAAATGCCTCACCGAAAAGACCAGAAAACAATTTTGACGATGTGCGCTATTATTGGGTAGATAGAGTTGTGCGCGCGTATGCTGCTACTTAATTAATTGTGCCCCAGTAAACTAATTTTTTAATTTCTCCCCGAGTGAGTTGATATACACAAGTCAGTCCATTGTGTAATATGAGCTTCAAATTGTAATAGTTGTGTGTTTGCATAAACCCTCGCTTGGTTGATGTTTGTAACCAATGCTTGTATTTGACATATATTTGATGGACAAGAAACTTTCCCATTGAGTGTTTAGTTCTCCTTCGTCAGCCCTAGTGTGTGCATATAGAAAATATGTCGACGTTGGTTGTAGTTTTGTGCATGAATGTGTACGTATGTCCGTATATATATGACCATGACGATCATCACTACGCCAACCTCCAAGAATTTGACGATCTGCTTCCTCGAGTGGATCAGAGAGAGAGAGAGAGAGAGAGAGAGAGAGAGAGAGAGAGTGTGTGTGTGTGGCAGTATACATTGGTAATTTGTGAGGTGTGTAGAGGTTGAAACAGAAACAGCAATGCATGAAAACAACGTATTGGTCAAGGAAAATCATGTTGCAGCTTACTGTACTAGTTGTGGCTACTATGACTTTGGCGGCCAACTTGATGACGATCAAGATTAATTAAGATTTGAGTTGGTGACCTTATTCTTCCGGCAACTTCAATACACAAATCACCTATGACTTGATATACAAGGCAAGTTGATTACTACGTACTCAGCTACATGTATTATAAAAAGCAAGATAAATTTTGAGCAAGATTCTGAACTTTGGTTCAATTGGAAGTTTAGTCACTGAACTAAAAATCTGTGAGTATTTGTCCCTAAACTTGTTATAATGTGGAGCAATAGTCTTTTTAGATAATAACTTTGTTAAAACTTCCATCCAAATTAAGGGGTTTAAAAATCGCAAAAAAATGGATAGAAATTCTAACAGAGTTGGCTAAAAGGACCTCAGGGATCAACACTCACGAATTTTTAGTTCAGAAACCAAAGCTCCAATTGAGCTAAAGTTGAGGGTCTATTGCTTCAATTATCTTAAAAGCAAACAATATTGTGTGTTAGAAAAAAAGATCCTCTTGGTCCATAATTAATTTCTTATATAGTGTACTAATGTCATCCTGATAATATCATTACCTTCTCTTAAGTTACTTGGTAAACAATAACTCAAGTTAAATAAAATAAAAGAAAATCGTGATAAAAATCAATTAATTAATTTAATGTTGAGCTTTTTTTTTTCTTCTAAAAACAACTTCGATGATCGAGATAGCTATAGCCATTCATTTTTTCTTAACTTTGAAATTATTGATGATGTGATACTTTTTTTCACTTGTAATTAAAAAATTTTAGATTCGAACATTGTGAATGACGAGTTCATTATAAATTTATTTTTCAACTTTTTATTGTAATAAAAGATTACTGCTATAAAAAATCCTCAAAATAAGAACTAACTATATATAGAAAATATTGTGTTTATCTATTAAAATGAGTGAATATTGTCAATTTTAATTTTTTTTTCTTTCTTTTAAAGAATGGTTCTTTAAACCAATATTTAGGGAAGATTGAAATGCCTTTATGAGTTTTCCCAGCCCTCATAAGGAATGGATCATTACGACTTGCCACAAGTTGTCTCTCTTTTTAGTAAAAAAAAAGAAAAAAGAAAAAAAAAGAAATATTTATGGTAATATTTAGGGGTGGTTCGGTATGGGATACCATACCGAAACTAGTATCCCGAATCCCAAACCGAAATTTTTCGGGACGGGAATTTGAAGACCAATCCCAAACCAAATTTTCGGGAATCCCAAATTTCGGGAATCCCGAAATATTTTCGGGATTTTGGGACAAATCGGGAATCCCAAATTGAAATATGAAATTATGAATTGTTCTTCAAATATATAATTCAAGAACACATTTATGAACTAGGAATTTCATTTCATTCACACTACCATTTAATTGAACATTGGCATGCTTTACTTTTTTTATCATAGTCAAAATTGAAATTAATTAAACTCTTTTTGCAATCTGTTGAGAGACAAAAGAATCAAGCCTTCTGAAATCATCAGCCATGGCAGCAGCAATAATAAAATCCACATGAATATCAAACAGAACATGAAAAATATGCAAGGTGTAGGACATTCTAGGTTGCTAAGCATGAATTAGAAACTACTAGCATCAATTATAAAAGAATAATATATATATGTATAAATATATATAATAATTAATATTATATATTTTCGGTTTGGTATGGGATTCCCGAAATATCGAGAAGCCAATCCCGAATCCCATACCAAAATTTTGGGATTGGTTCTGGATAGCATCCCGAAAATTTCGGGAATTTCGGTTTGGGAAATTTTTGGTTTGGAATTGGGATTTTTTCGGTTCGGTTCGGGATTTTTGGGAATTTTTTCCACCCCTAGTAATATTAACTTACGAACTCGTAATAAATTTGAACACGTGTAAAATATAGTTCAGTGGATTCAAATTGGATAAGCTGGAATTTATTGTTCTCCATGGTTAAATGACCGAAAGAGGCATAGTATCTGAAAGAATTACGAATACGGCCACTGACGCGTGCGCCAGCAGTATACACTAGCGGTATTGGACGGACAAATTTAAAAATATAAAAAAAAGTCCGTTGCGGTGGGTAAATCGAACAAATCAAAATTATCAATTAAATAAAAAAAAAGACGACGACGACGACGATCTCTCTCTCTCTCTCTCTCTCTCTCTCTCTCTCTCTCTCTCTTCCTTTTCTTTGAATTCCCTTCCACTTCTCTCCGATCCGACGCCGCCACCGCCGCCCTACGGGATCTCTCGTTCCCAAAGAGAGCCTAGGGTTTCCAATTTCAAATTTCGAGCAATCCTTGTGGGGTTTGGAAATTGGATTTTTCCAAAGTTTCTAGGGTTTCCTTTCTGAATTTGGGGTGGATTTTGGGATTGCTGGATCTGTGGAAATTGGGAAATTGAGGGGAGGGTGTGGATTTGGATAAGAGAGGAGGTTGGTGGTGTATGCGTTTGTGCTAGAACGGACTCTGGACTCGTCGTTCGGACTGGGGCAAATGTGGATAGTTTAATTTTCTTCTTCTTGTTCTTCCTGGTGCAAAGATTTTGTATTTATAGCTTTATCAGTCGTCGTTTCCTTTTGGAGTTCGAATTTTGTTCGATTACTAAAAGAGCAAGAAGAAGATGATGCGTCCTGATCACCAAAAAAAGGTATCTTTCGTTATCTCTCTGTATTTTTTTTTTTGGAGTTTTTGAAGAACTGGGTTGTGGTTATCATCATCGATTTGGTTGCTTAGAGAATGTTTTCCAGAATTTGGAAGATATCATTCAAAATTTAATGGGTTTATGATTTTCTTTTAACATTTTACTATGGGTCATGTAAAATTGTCGTCATATTATCCATATTTATAGGGTTAGTAATAAACCCAATTTGGTTTTTGGGTGGCATTCTTTTTCCAGTTTCCAGTTTCTTGGGTGAACTGTTCAATTGCTTTTTCTCTCGGGTTGTTTTGTTGATGCTACTGTTTTTGTAGTAATTATTACTATTGGTGCTATTTATTTTGTTTTGGTCACTCCAATAAGCAGAATAGTTTAATTACTGAATGTGTTTTGAATATTCTTTTTTATGTGGTGTTGGTACAGATTGTGTTTTATTTTTTGTTTTCTGATTCTTTGTGGTGGAATTGCACTCAAAGCAAGGAATCTAGTCCCTTTTACAACTGTTAGATACTCCACCATAGCATACTGTTTTAATTTGCTCCCTTTTCTTCTGGCACCTGATTCTATTCTCCTGTTCTATTACTTTCTTCGAGGGCCATTTGAGTTTGTAGTTATTGCAATGTATACCTCGGTTCCTATGTAAACAAAAAGGGTCTCTTGGTAACTCTTTAACAGAACTTTAACAAACTGAGATATGTTAAGGAAACCTTGACCTTAGGAAGAAGCATTTGTTATGAAATCATTGGTGCTTTGTGATCGATCGTAAGCTGTTTCTTTCAGTTCATGAAAATTTGCTGGATTTTTCTGCTTACCACCTAGTTGATCATAAAACTTATGTTATGACATTGTATTTTGTTGTAAAAAGGAAGTTGCAATTTGTTTGATTTTTGGAATTTATATATGCACGTTCATGTTTTTCTAAATCTATTCTTGCTATTTTCAGGAGCTGAAAGAGATGGACTTTTTCACGGAATATGGTGAAGCTAATAGATATAAGATTCTTGAAGTCATAGGGAAAGGAAGTTATGGGGTTGTTTGTGCAGCTATTGACACACATACTGGGGAGAAAGTTGCGATAAAGAAAATACATGGTATCTTTGAGCACATCTCCGATGCTATTAGGATCTTGCGTGAAGTTAAGTTGCTTAGACTTTTAAGACATCCTGATATTGTCGAAATTAAGCGCATCATGTTGCCACCTTCAAAGAGGGAGTTCAAAGATATTTATGTTGTTTTCGAGCTCATGGAGTCTGATCTTCACCAAGTTATCAAGGCTAATGATGACTTGACCTGCGAACACCATCAATTCTTTCTTTACCAGATGCTACGTGCATTGAAATATATGCATACAGGTGACTCTCCTGTTTTTCTCATTTATGCTCATTGTTCTTTATTTGTTTTTTCCATACATTGTTAAATTTCGTAAACAATGTGTTTAAGTACGGAATGTATCCATAGTTGTATTAATTCTTGAATGGTAGATATATTCTATTTTTAGGTTTTTTTGTTATTTATGGAAAGCCAAGGGGGAATTTCATGATAAGTATAAGTGTTTTTGGTTGCAGCCAATGTGTATCATAGAGATCTTAAGCCAAAAAATATACTGGCAAATGCAAATTGCAAGCTTAAAGTTTGTGATTTCGGACTAGCAAGAGTTGCTTTTAATGATACTCCAACAACAATATTTTGGACAGTAAGTAATTTTCAAGCTTCTAATTTCCTTCAAAAGAATTTTATACGTTTCAAACCTGCTTATCAATTAATGTCATCTATGTTGCTTCTTTTGATGCACTTATAGGACTATGTGGCAACACGGTGGTATAGAGCTCCAGAACTATGTGGGTCATTCTTTTCCAAGGTATGGATTTTCTACCATCAATGACTTATATTCAGATTTCAGAGCCAATGGCAATATAGATAGATCATTCTCCATTTTCTTTCGACTGTAAAACTGGTTCTGTTATGATGTTGTATGGTTTGTTATTGACTTTTCTCTTAGGACAGTCTCCTGTTGAATTTCTACTTGTTTTAAATTTACTTGGTTTGACATAGGTGAAATCATGCTTTTATTTCTGTCTGGAATGTCTTCTGAGTGCTTTATAGTAAGCAGTAATACTAGATTATAATAATTCTTGTTCAGGGAGGACTATTGAATTCTCCTGGAAGTTGTATCTGTCATTCAGGTAATTGTGTCAGGTTATGTCCGTTTCTCTGGAGTGATTTAAGTGCTTCATGAGCTTTCAAATTCTGGTTCCATGATCTAATTTTTGCTTGCATCTTGTTTGCAGTACACACCTGCAATTGATATATGGAGTATTGGCTGCATCTTTGCCGAGGTATTGACAGGGAAGCCATTGTTTCCTGGTAAAAGTGTCATTCATCAATTAGATTTGATCACTGATCTCCTTGGAACACCTCCGCTAGAGACCATCTCTGGAGTACGTGCCATTTATTCCCCCTCTCTCTCTCTCTCTCTCTCAAGCACACATGCGTGTGTATTGCTGTTTTTCCCTAGTTACTAATGCCATGGCTATTTTTGCATTCAGGTTAGAAATGAGAAGGCAAGGAAATACTTGATGGAAATGCGGAGAAAACCTCCTGTGCCATTTACACAAAAATTTCCCAAGGCAGATCCTCTAGCACTCTGCCTATTACAAAGGCTATTGGCTTTTGACCCAAAGGACAGACCAACTGCCGAGCAGGTTTGTGTTATGTCTAATTGAGTGCTTTCACCAGATGAATTTTTCCTCAAAATGCATTTAGCACAGTTGGGACTAAAACCTCTTTCTGTTTGTTTTATATAGGCACTAGCTGATCCTTACTTTAAGGGCCTAGCCAAAGTTGAGAGAGAACACTCTTGTCAGCCTATTTCGAAGATGGAATTTGAATTTGAAAGGCGAAGGGTCATAAAAGAGGACATAAGAGAACTAATTTACCGGGAAATACTAGAATACCATCCTCAGCTACTTAAGGACTACATGAATGGAACTGAAGGCACAAGTTTTATGTATCCAAGGTTGAGAGTTTACTTCTTATCAATCCTATAATCCTCTTACATTTTTTCTTGTTATATAGAATTTGCTGTTTCCATATATTTATAACATTTGTTCAATGCAGTGCTATAGGCCAATTCAGAAAGCAGTTTGCTTATCTTGAGGAAAATGGTGGGAAAACTGGATCGGTTGTTCCTCCAGAGAGGAAGCACGTCTCCCTTCCACGGTATGTTATTTTCAAGTTCCTTTCATTGTAGGTCAATGTTAGTCTTATGCTTTCATCAGTAAAGATTTTGATTTTGAGAGTTTTTCTTTGATTATGCATGTTATTATGAATTTGCGCATCCAATCACATTCCTTGTCTTCAGGTCCACTGTTCACTCGAGTACAATCCCCCCTAATGCACAGCCAAATTTGCTATCATATGAAAACTGGCAGACACAGGAGGCTTCCAGCAGTTTTAGAGTAACAGACGCTTCTGGAAATGCACCAAAGGTTTCACGGCCGCCGCCGAGGGTGCCAACAGGTAATCCACTGCCTTCTTGTCAAGCATTAGCTATGGGATGTGATAATATCTAGCTAATCTTATTTTACAGTATGCAATTTCAAATTCGAAGTGGCAGAATTTATTACAATGTACTGATGATTTGTGATGAGGCAGAGTTGGTTTTGGAACCAATAATCCCTCTTTGTGTTCCCCAACACTTACTGTTCTGTTCTGACATTGACTATACCTAATAGTCACATTGGGTCTTAGCTTCAGAAGCGTTAATGACTTTAGTTTTGTCTATTGTTTGATTTATGGCATTCCAGGGTTCCCCCGCGGGGGGGGGGGGGGGGGGGGGGGGGGGTGGTGGTGGTGTGTGTGCGCGGTAGTTCAGATCTGTCCGTTTTGTTTTTGCTTTTGCTCTAGTACTATTACATTGGTGCATCTATTCGTTTTGTTTTTGCTTTACCAGTTTTAATTATATTTCCTTCCCCTACAGCAAAACCTGGGCGAGTTGTTGGACCAGTTCTTCCATATGAGAATGGCAGAAATGTGAGGGAAACCTATGATCCAAGGACATTCTCTAGAAACGCAGTTCCTCCTCAGTCTGTCACTCCACACTGCTTCTTCAGAACTCATACTGCCAATCAAGACAAGGCTGGAGCGGAGATACGGAGGGATGAATCACATGCTAAACTGCAACCCCAGCCCGAACAGCGCAGCTTAGCAGCAAAACCTTTGCCGGGCATGGCCATTGAAGTCAACACGAACCCATACTACCCACCACCCACCAAAGTAGATCAATTAAACTCGATAGATTCAAAATTACTGCAGGCGCAATCTCAGTTTGGTCCTGTAGGTGCTGCAGCCGTAGCTGTAGCTGCTCACCGGAACACTGGAGCTGTTCAGTATGGATTGTCTTAAGTGGGTTTAATGGGGGTATTCAAGAGGAGTGAGAGTCTTTAGATTTGAGGAGGGTGGAGTGGTAGTGTAATCCCAATTTTTTCCTTTCCAATTGTGCCTTCTGTAATTATGTGTATGCACTGTTGGATAATAGTAATTAATAGTAAAGCTTTGTTTTCTAATCTTGTATATATATTGACTTAATGGATAAGGCAAATGATACTTGTAGAGTAACTGAAATTATGCTACTGCCCAAACTATCCAAGCTTGAGGGCGTCGACGAGAGCTCTTGGGAGTCATCAGCTTGTTATTTCCGGCGTACCTTTGATTCGTTGAGCGAGAGCCCTTCCACACGGGAGTCCTAGATCATTGTGGTCGAGGTTCATCTTTGTTCAACAAGTAGGTCTGACAGTCAGGCAAGCTTATACCATTACGCGAGGAAAGAGGCCCCTTTTCCCTTCGCTCAATTGAAATTGCGCGCTTCACTAATATAAGGCTCAAGTAAAAGGCTTTAATGTCAAAGGTGTTTTCAAAACCTTTAGGACGTTCACTGTTCATTCCTGTTAAGGTTAAATATCCAACAACAGAAACATGAGTGAGATGTTGGGCCTTCAACAGGCCAACTGTTTAATTTTAGTCCAAACAAGGTGGTCAAGATGAAAACGTCAGACCAATCGAGTTTTTGGTTTTCAGAAACTACGAAGGCCTGTCCAAAACCTTCAGTGTCTCCTGGTTCTTGCCAAAACTTTTTCTTTTCTTCCATGGGTAGGTTGAAGAACTCTTTTGAGTTTCTGTCTTCATTTTCTCCAACAAGGAAGACCTCACACAGTGGTTTACCACTGCAACATACATAGATATGATGCCTTCATGATTGCTTTCTAATTGCCAAGTTAGTTAGTGAAAGAACCTACATATTTGCGGTTAAAATTATTTAAGAACGCAGCGAAAATCATACGAAATAGCAAATTTAAAATACGTAGGCAAAGTGTAAGTATAGTAGCCAACATGACTAGGGAAAAAAAAACTTGAATTTAGAGTAATAATACATTTACCCCTTTTTTTATACCATATTTGTATCATCTCTTTAATAGAGATAAGACCTACTAATACATATAGGTCCCATCTCTATTAGAAAGATAGTACAAATATGGTACGGATAATAGTTTTGTTGAATTTATATTGTAGCTCATCAAAGATTTTAAGTTCCGTGAAGAACTTACTTACAAATTTAAGTAATCTTGTTCGTATTGATCTTTTCACAAACTAACACAGTACATTTGCATTGTAGTATATATATGTAACTAAGGTAGCTTACAGACTAAGCTAATAGATATAACAAACTCTTAACTAATTGTCTAATCTTATGACACATGTCAAGAGAATAACCTTTAGATTGACTACTCCTTTTAGTTCATATGTTAGCAAACTGCTTAAGTGAAGAAACAAATTGAACCAACAACACCTGTTTTGCCACCCGTTCCCTCACAAAATGGACATCAATTTCAATATGTTTTGTTCGCTGATGTTAGACAGGATTACATGTAAGAGCAATGGCTGAGAGATTATCACAATATAGAGTAGGTGTTCCAGAAATAGGAACTTGCAAAAACTGTAACAATTGTTTTATCCAATCAATCTCAGCAGCTGTTGTAGACAATGCTTGATATTCAGCTTCATTGGAAGAACGAGATATAGTATTTTGTTTCTTGGAGGGCCATGAGATGGGGTTTGAGCCAAGAAAAACAACCAACCCTGTAGTGGATCTCCTATCATTGGGATCCCCTACCCAAGCACATCACTGAATGCTTGTAAATCCAATCTTCATTTGGTATAATGAAGTCCACAGCCTTTAGTAGCCTTGAGATACCTTAGAATTCGTTTAACTGCCACGGCGAATGCAATATCAGGTTGAGTAAAGATGAGGTATTGAAGTGCTCCCACAAGGCTTCTATATAATGCTGGATTATTGTAAAGCTTCCCATCATCATTCAACAATCTATTGTAAGGTAGGCAAGGAGTATCACATGGTTTAGACAATTCCGTTCCAGACTTAATGAGCAAATCATTAACATATTTGTCTTGAGATAGGCAGAAGCCATCTTTCTTATGAACAACCTAAATACCAGGGAAGTAATGTAATGGCCCAAACTCTTGAGTAAGAGCATGTATAACATCTGATATTGCTTGAGATGCACTCTCCGTGATGATAATGTCATCCACCTATAAGAGGAGAATCACAACCATTCACAACTTTAACAAATAAAGAGGAATCACTATAGGTGAATTTAAAACCCAAAGTCGGCAAGAAACTAGTGAATCTGTCATTCCAAGCCCTTGGGGCTTGCTTGAGACCATATAAGGACTTATGTAACTCACAAACATAGTCATTATGAGTGGAATCAAGAAAACAACGAGGTTGAGCTATATAGATTTCCTCTTGTAGCACACCATGCAGAAAAGCATTTTTCATATCAAGTTGTCGAAGATTCCAATTAAAATGAGCAACCAAAGGAAGGACTAACCGCACAGTGGTTGGTTTAACCACGGGACTAAATGTCTCACCATAGTCTATACCTTCCTCTTGATTGAAACCCTTTGCAGCCAATCGAGCCTTATACCTCCCTATTGAACCATCTGCATTGTAACATCCCACATCGCCCAGGGGAGTGTATCCTGTAAGCCTTATATATATATTCCCATCTCTACCTAGCACGAGGCCTTTTGGGAGCTCACTGGCTTCGAGTTCCATTGGAACTTCGAAGTTAAGCGAGTTCGCGCGAGAGCAATCCCAGGATGGATGACCCACCGGGAAATTCTCGTGTGAGTTCCTAGAAACAAAACGATGATTGTATGGTCGGGGCCCAAAGTGGACAATATTGTGCTACGGTGGAGATGAGCCTGAGATGTGGTGGGGGCTAGGGTCGGGATGTGACAATTTGGTATCAGAGCTGATCCCTGGTCGGATGTGTGTTGACGAGGACGTCGGGCCCCTACAGGGGGTGGATTGTAACATCCCATATCGCCTAGGGAAATGGATCCTGTAAGCCTTATATGTATATTACCATCTCTAACTTGCATGAAGCCTTTTGAGAGCTCATTGGCTTCGGGTTCCATTGGAACTTCGAAGTTAAGCTAGTTCGCGAGAGAGCATTCCCAGGATGGGTGACCCACTGGGAAATTCTCATATGAGTTCCCAGAAACAAAACCTTGAGGGCATGGTCAGGGCTTAAAGCGGACAATATTGTGCTACGGTGGAGATAGGCCCGGGATGTGATGGGGGCCCGGGCCGGGATGTGACATGCATTTTTTTTAATCTTGAACACCCACTTGTAGCCTACCAAGTCTCTGTGAGGAGGAAGAGGTACAAGAGACAAGGTTCCTTGATTATGTAGAGCACTCAACTCATCTTGCATTGCAGCCAACCATACTGGAGATTTTAATGTTGATTTGTATGTTGCAGGTTCAACTTTGGTAAGATCAGCACCACCATTTTCATGAACAGAAGCTAGTAGAGCAATCTTTTCAGAAATGTCACTCTTGGACCGAGTTTGCATAGGGTGAAGATGGTATGGACAAAATCACTTGAAGTTGTTCTCCCTGAAATTCAGGAACCACATAGAGTGAATGAGAGGATTGTTGTGCAGTGCCAGTAATAGGTGGAGTGGCAGTAGAGAAACTGGAGCTTGAATCACTTAAAGTAGCAGAAATGTGATCATTCAAATTTGTAGGACTAATTGCAGCTGATAGAGGCATAAATTCTAGGCTTGGTGTATGAGAGACTAATGGTATAGTAGGCATACAGTTAAACTGAAGTGTGACGATAACATTGTTAAGATTTAGGGTTAACACAGGTGTGGATGTGGAAACAATAGGCAATGGAGTAAGTACATTAGAGCATTGAGAAACCAGAGTAATGTATGGGTATTCTGTCTCATCAAATAGAACATGATGAGATATAAACACTCTTCTTTCTGTGAACCTCAAAACAGATATAGCCTTTATACTTTGAGGCATACCCCAAGAAAATACATTTTGTGGTTTTAGGTTGCAGTTTAGTATGATTATAAGGTCTAAGCAAAGGATAGCATGAACAACCAAATACTCTAAGGTGATTAATCTCAGGAATGGAGTTAAACAAGGCCTCAAAAGGTGATTTATTTTCCAATGTTGATGACAGCATCCTATTGATGAGATAGACCGAAGCTTGACAAGCAAATGACCAAAATGAAGGTGGTAAATAGGCTGTTTGTAATAAGGTAATGGATGTCTCGATAATGTGTCTATGTTTCCTCTCGGCAAGCTTGTGTTGTTCTGGGGTATGTGGACAAGACATGTGGTGAATAATGCCTTTGTCCACCAGAAAATTTTGAAATGGTTTGCCTATATGTTCATCTCCACCATCACTCTGAAACACTTTAACATAAGCATTAAATTGGTTGACAATAAAGTGATAAAAAAAGACAAATGTAGTACCAACTTCACTTTTATTGCAGATTTGGAAAATCCAACAAAAACTAGTACATTCATCAATGAAAGTAACATAATATTTGAAGCCTTCAACAGAAATACAAGGAGCCAGGCCCCAAACATCACTATGTATTATCTCAAAAGGTTTTGCAGATTTGGATGGAGACATGGGAAAGGGAAGTTTACTAAATTTTCCTTCGAGACATGGAGAACAAACAATAGGTAAAGAATCAGAGGTACGAGAGACATTTGAATTTCTAAGAATATGAGATACAATGGTATTAGAGGGATGACTTAATCTATGATGCCAAAGTCTTGATGTAACTTGATGTCCAAGATATGTAGCCACATACGCCTTCTGTGTTGAAACTGGATGTGTTGGATAAATGATCGGATATAACCCATTACAGCACTGCCCTTTGTACAAAATCCTCCCTGTGGTTTTGTCCTAAATCCAGAAATAAAAGGCATAAAAAATTAACCAGCAATTATTATCCAAACATATTGGATGGACATATAACAGATTTTGTGTCAACTTTGGAACATAGAGAATTAGATTTTAATTGAAATGACTGCAGTGGAGTATGAAGAGTTGAAGAGCCAATGTGAGAGAGAGATAAACCTTCACCTTTGGCTGTTTGAATAGACTCATGACATAGATATGATGTAGCAAGAGAAAGATTATTCAAATCGATGGTCATATGATTGGTAGCACCCGTATCAGTAATCCAAACTTGTTGAGGTGGTGCAGAGGGCAGTTGAGTTGATATTGAATTGCCAGAAGCATTGTTGACATACATTGCAGTCATTGGAGATGATGATCTTTTTTGAAAACAGAACTCAGCACTATGATTTGAATTCCCACAAATTTGACAACCATTAGATTAAGATGCATTTCTGAATCTGCAAGTAGCAGCCATGTGATTGTTCTTGCCACAAATTTGACACCTTTGATAAGATCTAAACCATCATTGTTAGCCAAATGATTTGTCTTCACACAAATTTGACAAGGGATGATATGAGGATTGCCAAATTGAGGAGCAGAACCAAGGATTCTAGAACCAGGATTACCATTATTGAAAACTTGCTTTAAGTTTTTGAACCTGTTATTCAATTTAAATCTGCCATTGTTCTGATTATTGAAAGATTTGTAACCAGAGTTGGAGTTATAGAAAGTGTATGGCCCACCAGATTGCGTCTGAGACTGAAAATTTGAAGGTCTCTGAGTAAAATTAGGTGAATGAGCCACTAATGCATTAAGCATTGGAGAAGTATGAAGAGTCTCAATCATTACTTCTATAACAAGCAATTATGACTGAAGATCTTTCAGAGAAATAACAGATTCACGCCCCTTAATCACATACCTGATTGTATTATACGCAGATGGTAGGCCATTAAGTGTAAGGATCACAATATCATCATCTTCAAAATAGACACCAGCAACAGACAAATAATCGCTAGCTTCTTTGATTATTTGAAGATACACATTAATGGAATCAATACCTTTCTTGATAGTTTGCAACTCAGATTTCATCTGAAATATGCTTGTCCGAGTAACAGTAGAAAACTATTCCCTGAGGCGAGTCCATAGGTCCTGAGCACTTGTGCTTCCAATCACACAGGAAATGGCTGGTGGTGATAAAATAGTTGTGATAAGCTACATCAATGCTCTATCACGCATCCTCCAAACCAAATATTCATCAGATTCCTTGCAAGCAAGAAACTGATCAGACTGTTGTCTAGAAGAAATTTCGGAATCACCAAAATCTGGAGTTAGAAACCGAGATGGACATGGTGTAGAACCATCGATAAACCCCATAATTCCATGACATTCCAGTAAAAACTGCATTTGGAAATGCCAAGTCAAGTAATTGGTATCATCCAATTTCATGGTTACAAAGGTTGAAACCGATGAAATTAGAGAAGTAATAGGAGACTGCAATATCTGTAACTGATTGGCGGTCACCATTGTTGAATCTTCAAGAAAATGATGTATAGAGAACAAAACACAAATAGTTGGTGTGCATTACTTGAATCGAAGAAAGTGTCCCAAAATTAGAGACGCAGAATCCTAAATCAGAAAGAAAGAACCTGTGATCGAAGAACAAGAATGTATCACGAGAAGATTGTAGTAGTAGTAGCGGAAGCAAAGATTCCAAGATCGAAGAACCGTCAAGTCTTTACACTTGTGCTGGTGAAAGAGCTGATGAAGCTTGAATGGTGATTGATACCATGTTAACCAAGATTGATCTGTTGCAGTAGAGAAGATGAGTGCAGCAGAGACCGCAAAAACAGAGAGAGAGAGAGAGAGAGAGAGAGAAAGAGAATTAGAGAGAGAAGTAATCTTGTTCGTATTGATCTTTTCACTAACAAACACAGTACATTTACATTGTAGTACATATATGTAACTAAGGTAGCTTATAGACTAAGCTAACAGATATAACAAACTCTTAACTAATTGCCTAATCTTATGACACATGTCAAGAGAATAACCCTTACATTGCCTAATCTTAGGGATGCCAATGGTGGTGGGTCGGGTCGGGTCGGGGAATGCAAATATCATAACCGCTCTGTTATAGGACACCTCCATCGCGTATACGTACATGGCACCGTCATAAGTTTATTGAAATCATATAGAACTTGTTTGGATGTACTTTTAAAATAACTGAAAGCGCTTTTAGTGAAAATGTTTTTAAAACCAATCTTTAATAAAAATACGAGTGAATCTTGGAAAAGCATTTAAAGTACTTTCTGGAAGAAACACATAACTTGTACTGGAATCTATAATAATTTTCTTTAAAAACACTTTCAATCATTTTAAAAACATATTCAAACAACCCATAATGTTGAAAGCAACATTAAATACTAAAAAGATGACTCCTAAATTTGAACAGTGAAGAAAACGAGAACTTCAAAGATTATAAAATTACATCTTTATAATATTATTAACTGTATCGGGACGGGGTTATCAAATTTGCACCATCGCGTTTAAAAAAAGGAATCATCCCCACGATTATGATTCATATACACAAAGAATTTTAAATGTGTGTGGAATAAGGGATGATACATTACATGTAACAATATAATTGGTGAGATAATTGTATTAAAAGAATTAGCAACTTGAAAATAAAATTTTATTCTACTTATATAATGGCACATGGTATACCATCTATGTTTCGGACACACTAAAAAATAATTCGAGATAGAAAATGGATAGAAAGTGTGATTGAAGATGAATTTTTTCTAATGCTCTCTAAAATTTAGCTAAGAGTTCATTTAAGACATTCATTATCATTGGAGATAATGTAATTTATTATTCACGTGAGTTGATCTTAATTGATATCTTGTTGATTAAGAATAAGATTACACCGGAAAAAATAGACATATTCCTTTTTAATTATAAAGGCCGAAACCGCTTGACTTTCTGGAAAAAAGAGAGACAATTCTAATCAGATAAAACGTGGGTTGGTGACTGGTCCATATCGGGGAGAAAATTTTTGTTGTGATCGGAATATGAATAATACATCATGTTTTTTTATATAAATGGTGAAAAATTATGGTTTTTAAGTTATTAGTTTTTTAACATACATATTTCATCATATGTATAATGACACGTGATATACCATCTTATGTTCCGATCATATTAAAAAATCTCTCCGTATCGAGACACAAAGGACAAAGTCTCTATAGGTAACAAAGCTAACTTTGATCATCAGCCGTTGTAGCACCGAAGAGAAAGGGACAATATCCACCGAAGAGAGAGGGACAATATCGTAGCACCGAAGAGAGAGGAACAATATCCACACACACACACACACACACACACCCACACCCACACACACAAATATTTTAGTATAAATACCATTACCAGAGCCTGTCTAAAACACCCATTACGCAAAAGCTATGGAAGAAAAGGCATCTGCCGGAAAGAGCATGTACGGTGGTTCTCTTCTTGTGCCTAGTGTTCAAGAATTAGTAAAGAAGCCCATAACCACAATCCCACCAAGATACATACAGCCTCATCATCAAGATGGTAACCAAGAGCATGAAATGATCATCAATTCTGATCATCATGCTCATCAAATACCATCCATTGACATGCAGAAATTGCTTTCCCAAGAATCAACCAGTTCCGAATCTGAACTAGCTAGGCTCCATTTTGCTTGCAAAGAATGGGGTTTCTTCCAGGTAATTAGATTACCTAGCTTATTCCACTTACATCTTTCATCAGATTGTTCTGATTGTTTTTTGTCCATGAGAACTTCTCGATGATCATTTAGTCCAGTATGTCATCTAGTCTTCGTTGGCGATGTGAAGATCAGTACATAAATATGTAATCATGTAATTAAATATAAGGTTTTTATCAAAAATCGTCTATGAAATTGGCTCCCACCATCAAGATAATCTCTGATCTTGGAAATCGATCAATGTAGTCTCTGAAAATAGGTGTCGCAAATCAATGTAGTCTTTTGTCACAATTCTGTCAAAAATCATGTTGTATGCTGATATGGCACATAAATATGTCCCACAAGATGTATAGATTTTTATCACAAATAGTCTTTTAAACTGACTCACACCATCAAAGTATATTTAGTTTTTTTGTTCTTTTTCTGGGTGAACTTGGCTACTTTCTAGTCCTAACCTATCCTTTTTCACCTTGCCTGCATACTGAATTTTTAGAATTTGCTAATTCGTAGGCTTTTGGCCATAGTATTCACTCTATATATTTTTACAGTTGGTAAACCATGGTGTGAGCTCTTCCTTGGTGGGGAAAATAAAGACAGAAATTCAAGACTTCTTCAACCTACCCACAGAAGAGAAGAAAAAGTTTTGGCAACAGCCAGGAGACGTGGAAGGTTTTGGACAAGCCTTTGTAATTTCTGAAGACCAAAAACTCGACTGGGCTGACATGTTCTTCTTGAACACTCTTCCTGTCCAATTGAGGAGGCCTCACCTATTCCCAAAGCTCCCTTCTCCTTTCAGGTCCTCTTGTGATCTCAAACATATGTGTTTATCTTGATTTTGTGCATTATGAATGTGAATCCAGGGATATATCGAAAAGTAATGTTGTTTAGTTTATAAAATAAAAAAAATAAAAAAATAAAAACTGACCTTATTGCTTACAATCTCTGATAGACCAACATCCCACCAAACGGTAAAAACCTACCCGCACAACCGCAACACCACCCAGACCATCACTCGAATTCCAACCGCTGCAGGACCACCACCGCTCCAAAACCTCCCCACCTTCGCCCATCTAACCCTCCTCTGTACACTACTTTCTCGTCGCAGAACTCGAATCGAGACGGCACAGCATCACGAAAGAGCGAGAAGAACCCAGACACTAGATAAAGAAAACAAGCATAGGTCAATCGGCGTGTTCGCGGACATGGCGATTGACAACCCATTGCGAGCCTCGAACCAATCATGACGTCCCGGACATAGCGGTTGGCAACCCATTACGAGCCGGCATCGACGCCGCTGTGAGGGAGGATATGCAGACGAGGCAAGGCATCTGATTGTTACCAGTCTTCGAACTCAAAATCACGAGGATCTATGCTATATTGCTATAGCACTTTACAACCAAAGCTGGGTTGCGATTCTGATCTTAGGTTTTTTTTATAAAGTACATAAATTATGTTATATTTGGTCAATGATAACAAATATTATGTCGTGAAATCTTAAAGTGGATGAGAACATAAGACACTAAGCTAGAATATCAACCCTCTAAAAAAATCGTTGACATTAATCCAATTTTCTATTTTACAATTTAAAAGACTAAAAACTAATTTATTTTGAAATTCCTTAGAAATAGACCCTTGCAACTTCTATTTTTTAGACAAAAACCTACCTAACTTTAAATATCTAACTAAAACCCAAAAATATTTCAACTCATGCCACTATATCCAAATCATATATTGGGCACATTTTATTATTATCAGATATATCTGAAAATAATTCACCTATATTTTTACAATGCAGAGAGACTTTCGAAACTTACTCATTGGAACTGAAAAACCTAGCCATGACTATACTATCACACATGGAAAAAGCTTTGCAGACGGAAGCCAAGGAAGTGACCAACTTATTCGAAGATGGATTGCAAGCGGTGAGGATGAACTATTACCCTCCGTGTCCTCAGCCGGAGACAGTCATCGGTCTGACCCCTCACTCTGATGCTATTGGCCTCACCGTCCTCCTACAAATCAACGAAATGGATGGCCTCCAAGTAAAGAAAGATGGGATTTGGTTTCCTGTGAAACCATTACCTGATGCCTTTATTGTGAATATTGGAGACATTCTAGAGGTAATGATGTTCACTGGTAACTTAAACATTTTGAATATTATCTTGCTAGATACATGGATGAAAATGTTATCTGACTGTCAAATTTCATATAATTGATTATCTGGTGAATGTGAATCCTACATCTGAAAAAGAAGAAATCTTACATGTGCTTATAAGAGATTAGGTTATTCATATATTACTAATTGGTTTTATGGTAGAACTCTAACTTTTTTCATGGTACTAGAGAAAGTTGGCCCATGTGCGAAGCTTAACAGCCACACGTGCTCCACGTCACCCAGTTAGTGTTGTCCACGTGTTTAGCTTGAAAATTTGTCACACGTGAGGGGGTGTGTGAGGATGTGAAAGCAAAAGACTCTCACATCGGTGAAAACCTTGTAAGGGCTTATAAGATGTTAGACTACTCTCCATAATAGTTTATGTTCAAATTTAATTTTACACCGTGACTTACAAAAATATCTGGAAATTTTTTTTTTTTTTACTCCAGAATTACCCAGTACCAATATTCACTCTGGTGAGGATAAAAATATCTGGTAAAAAAAATTTTTACTCCAACATTACCCATTACCAATATTAACTCTAATGAGGATAAAGACTGTAGCGTTATTCATGTCATTTATTAACTATATTGCTAAGCATGTAAATCTTTCACATAGCTTAATCTTTAAAATTTTTTAGTGCGTGAGTGCGTCCTATATTTTCTGAGAGACATGTTGAACAATTATTTAAAAAAAAAAAAAAAAAAGAAAGCTTGATCCTTAATAATTTATACCTATTGCAGCTATTACTTTTCATTTTTAGTGGTCAAGTATGTGCATGTATGCATGGCAGATTATAACAAATGGGACGTATCATAGCATTGAGCATCGGGCAACTGTGAACTCTGAAAAAGAAAGGCTCTCAGTCGCCACATTTTACTCCCCCAGATTTGGTGCTGAGATTGGCCCGGCCTCCAGCTTGATCACTAAGCAAACACCTGCAGCATACACAAGGGTGGCAGTTGAAGAATATTTCAAAGCATTATTTGAACGTAAGCTTAATGGAAAGTCTTTTCTTGACGAAATGAAGATTAAGTATAATGTTAATCAGTAGAGAGAGATCTCTGAAGAGAATAAAAGGTGTATGTTGTAAAATTAATATGCCCAAATTAACAAGTGTGGATGCCATCTCTAGTTGTATCGTGAGACAAACTAGGAGTAATGCTAAGGAATTACATTTTTGTATCACATTGATATACCATCTTATATGGCAAGTAATGCATACAATAACATTCAACAAGACAAGTTCATTAATTGATGTGGCACTTGCCTCATGAGATAATATACTGATGTGTAAAAAAAAGGGTCTCCTTAACATTTTCCGACAAACTATGGTTATATTTTCTTTCTTGGATATGATGCTATATTTGACAAACTCATAGTTGAAAACCTTTACAATGAATACATGAGAACACCCCAAATTTGAAAAAGACATGAGACGTAACACTATTATGTAATCAAGTTTTCTAAAAAGATAATGTTAGGGAGACTAATATATTAAACTAAATTTACAAATAAAATAATGTGTCATCAATAAGAAATAAAATTAACCAACAGTTAATTAATAATTCAATCATTAACAACCTTACCATGTAATTTACAAAATTATTTTAAAATTTTAATCTTCTTAGTATTTTTCAAAAATATATTCTCATTGCACGCAAGTTCCTGCCGTCAAGCTTGGACAGTTTAAGCAATGGCAGTTCAGTGGTAACTCTACCTACTATTATTCTACATGCACTACTGCCTTGTAGACAATATTTTTAAAAGAATAGAAAACAACTTGCGTACACATAATTACAAAAGGCACAAGTGGAAAGAAAAGAATGTGGATTATACAATCACTCCGACAGAAATCAAATATATAATTGTGATCCCTCCAACCAATGATTTGTTGTGTAACGATTCCTTCTGGCTTGACTTATGCGACCACTGATGTGAGCAAAATCCATGAAATTCCTTTGAGAAATTAAACAATATGAATATGATAAAGATGCATGGGATGCTATCTAGACCACTAAACCAGGCTTTGGACAGTTACACACACAGTGGCGAAGCTGCAAAGGGACAAGGAGGGACGTCCGCCCCTCCCTCTCGCCGGAAATTAAGCATAGGAGTGGTGGTTCTGCCCCTCTGATCCTGTCAGAAGTTATGGTTGCTTGGCCTGCTTTCTGGTTCCAGATTCCTGTTGCTATGCAGCAGTGTTTGTTTGTTTTTGTTTGTTTGTTTTTTTTTTTTTTTCTGAATTTTTTTTTCTAACCAAATGATGCGTTTAAATTAGTATGATTAAAAGAAAATAATTGAAGTGGGGACCACTGGTCCCCCATTACCTCTGCCCTCACACGTCCCCCTTTCATGTTGTTTTTTTTATTCTTTTTTTATTTCTTACTTTATATTATACTTAACCCCAATTGATTAATTAATACGAAATTTTAATTAATATAGAATCACAAAGTAATACACTAATATAGTTATTGATTACTGATTAATTGAATTGAATTTTGGTATATTGAATAATTCATATGATTATTGGCATTAATTAATTGAATTGCTGGTTTAATTACTTAGTAGTCATATAGTATATTTTACTCAAGGATTAAGAGTCTAAAACCGGGAGGAATTAGTGACCTTGCAAAGGAGTTGGTGAAGATCGGGAGGCATGCAAGCTATATGATAGCGTATAAGCTTCTTATATTAGTTTTGGTGTTAGTAGCTGCAACCGCTTCAATGGAGAGAGCTTTTTCTGCTATAATAAACATCATTGTGTACAAAATGGGAGATCAAGGATTGAGGAATAACATGATTGTTTACACTGAGAGAGATATATTTGCTTTTATTGATAATGAGTCTATTATGCGACATTTTTATGACACGAAATCTAGCCAGCAACAATTGAAATTTGTTTGTATTGATAAATTATGGAAGACACTACTATATAAAAGGATTAGGTTGTTGACATATTTTTGAACATTGCACTCTTTTAAATAAGTTCACCCATCCCCCCAACAATTTCTGACTTTGCCACTACACACACGTGCCGGCACCTATAGAGTGGAATTGTCGGGAATTTCTTGACTCATAGAACAATAGAAGGGAGATGGGGTGAGCAGTGGCTGGATAGGAGACGTGTTGGCCAAATGACGAGGATGATGAAAGGGACCTGTACAAGAATTTTGGAGTAGATAACTGAAGTAACGTGGAGCATGTGTTCAAATGTGGAATAACTTGCTCTTGTCCATTAAAACAGTCGAGGTTCCACTCCAAAATCAAAAGGAACTAGCTTGATTAGAGAAAGATATATATAACTGAACACGAACATGAGAGAGAGAGAGAGAGAGAGAGAGAGAGAGAGAGAGAATGTAAAAAGATCTTATATGTCCAAAACATCCTTTGCTTACACCATAGGCACTAGGCAAAGCTATGGAAGAAAATTGAGGGAAATTGGCCTTGAAATTGGGAAATTCACACCGGGAAGGGGTGCGACAAGGTTCCTTGTCGGCAATCCGTCGTTTTTGAAATTAACTCCAGCCACCATCACCACTAATGGACTCCTCATGAACCCAGGAACATGTCCTAAGCCTTGGTTGGGTGGCGGAGCACTAGAGGTGGTGGATCGAGGCCACTAAATTTCTAGGGTTCCGACTGGTTTCCAGGCAAATTGGAGTTTCTCCGGCCAAATTGGACTTAGCCACAGGTATAAAGTTTGTTTTACACTTCGAGATCTTCATTTCAGTAAATTTTGAGAATTTTTAGAAATAGTTGAAATTTTCTGGCAGGTTCGGGCGACCAACCGCCATCCAAGGTGATGCGTGGCCAGAGGGCCGTCAATGCTATTTTTAGGCTAAATTTGATGTCCTGAATTTAGTTTTGATATTCATATGACGTAGGTTGATCATTTGAACCTAAATTCACTACAATACCTTACTTGATCAATTTGTGAATCGATGATCCGAATGTTAGATCATCACCAAATTTTGAGACCTTATCGTACATAATATCTGAGGACCTTAGGAACTTACAGATTGGGAATCCGACGTACGAATCTTCCCAAATTGGATTTGCAAGTTTGTAAAGTAAAACGTTGACCGCCACTTGATTTCGTGATTGGCGGAGATCCGACCATTGGATTTGAATGAAATTGTAGTATGTTATTCTAGAAGCGTAAGGTGAACTACGAATGGCTTGATCCCTTCGTTTAGGATACGTAGGCAATCTAACCAGGATGTTAGATGCATCCATAAATTTAAAAAAATGATTATTTTTTAGTGTGGTTAGTTAGAATTATAATTAACCATTATTTTATTGTGGCCTACCTGTGTATTTGGCTTCCAAATTAGAAATTTTGGGTTGTTACACATAGAGTGGGGGTCCCAGGTAATTAAATTACCTAGCCTTTTGACTTAAGATTCATTAAAAGTTTTTTTTTTTTACATCTTCATAAATGAGAAAATTACACCACAAATCAGATATATACATATATATATATATATATATATTAATTGTATGTATCTTTGTGCAGCACAATATAATTTCTACTGATGGCAAAAATTGTCGTGTATATGAAGAGACTTTTCACTATGCCCGAAACATGAGGTAGAATACCATATATCATTATACAATTGAAGGGACATTCGAAAAAACACTTCCCACCAATTGTATAATAACGTGTGGTGTTCCGCCCATATTCTGGGTAGATTGGATAATCTCTCCTAAATTAGAGACTATGATTGGTATAGAATTTTTTTAAAGAGCTCCTAAAATAACTTTTTAGTCTTTTTAGTTACAATTTAACTAAAAAAATAAAGATCACAGTTGGATATGTTTTTGTAAATTTAATTATGGCTGACCTGTTATATATGTAGCTAAATTTAGCACCCCTAATATTGTTCTATCAAACAAAAAGAAAAGATATACAGGATAATGAAGAAAGATGAAATTGAACACAAACCCTCAATTAAGGGATAATTGATCTTTGATCACTTAAGTTGCACGCTGCTAATTCATTATTACAAAAGTACCCAGTAGTGTCATTTAAAAAAAAAAAAAAAAGACAAGAAAAACTCTTTTATGTCGAATATTAGCCAAAATCCGACAGAAATTCATGTAATGGTGGATAAAAGAACCGACAGTATTGTTTGCGTCACGAAAAGGCTATTGTTGTCAGTTACTTCCCTTAAACTGTTGGATAAATAGATACTATTGTCGTCCATAATTACCACTAAATCAATTAATAATTAAAAAAATAAAAATATGTTTTAATAAAATAAAAAATAAAGTTCAAAGAGAATAGCATTTACACAGATTTATAAAAACGCACCGGACATGATCCAAAACGATTCAAAGTTTACAGGGATTCAACAACTAGCTATTTATTTCTTCAATCTTTGTTTTATTTACTCTTTGTTTCTCTAAAAGGCATCGACCCACTTTCGCAATGGCCGAGCAGCTTTGCTGCTGTCTGGAGGTATCTGGCTAGCCTTCATCTTTGCTCCTTCTTTCACCATTGTAACTTACTAAGTTTGTTAGCAGTAGTCTAGCGACAAGAAAAATACTTAAAGAGACTTTTAGAGAAAATGCACTAAAAGAAACTCCATGAGTTCACCATTAGGATAAATTAAGAAACCCCAAATTTTCTTTTAGAGAAAGTGCATTAAAAGAAATTCAAGATTCCAGTAACGCAATAACATAATCAAAATTCAAAACACAAACTCGATTTAATACAAATAAGTTAAAACTCACCACTTCTAGGATACTCAAGTTGCTCCTCGAATTGTTCATCCATGGACAGTGAAGGAGAAGTGTAGTAGGGAAGGGGAAGAGGAGTGCAATGGGGAAGGGGAAAAGGGAATGGGAGTGCAGCAGGGAAGGGGAAGGGGAGTGCAGTAGGGAAAGGGAATGAGAAGGGGGTGCAGCGGGCAAGGGGAAGGGAAAGGGAAGGGAAGTGCAAAGGCGCAGGAAGAGTGAAGGAGAAAGAGATGCACGAGGGTTTTGAAATAGGGTATTTTCATATTCCTGTCAGATAAAAGCGCCAGTAATTGTAAATAACGTCAGCAAAACTGACACCAACTCTGAAAAAATGAAAAACCTACTTCAATCAGTATCTGACACAAACTGCAATGTTGTCGGTTAAAACCGACACCATTATATGCCAATTCCCCAATTCCTAATTCCGTCGGTTACAACTAACACCGCCAATTCCTCGTGCAAAAAAAGCAAGAAGTTTGAAAATTAAAACATATCTTTTCGGCTGAAAGCGCC